CCCCCCCCAGCGCCTGCATGGCTCCTTCACAGGCAAATGGCACACCTACCTTATCAGCCAGCCGTTGCACAGACAGAATGATTCTAGACTTACAATCTCAACATTATTCCCCCTCGGATCAACAATAAACGCCGCGTAGTAGTTGGGATGATACTCCGCCCGCAGCCCAGGCTTCCCATTACACTTCCCTCCCGCCTCGAGCGCAGCCGCGTGGAACGCATCGACTGTCTTGCGATCTATTTACATTAGCCCCTGCTCAGTATCCCCGAATACAGCGAACTCATACCGTCCGCGACAAACGCAAAATGCACACCCTGCGGCACGTCGGTCTCTGTCTCCGAAATCCAAAAGTCGGGCACTTGGTCGCCGAGCCCGACGGCGCCGGGGAATCGCATGATCTCCTTGTATTTGAGAGGTGTGAGGGCTTTGAGATAGAACTCTATCAAGGGCTCGAAGGCATCGGATGGCGCGTTGATTCCGACGTGGTCGATGCGGCTGGTGGGGGTGAATGAGTCCGGGTTGAAGTCCATTCTAGCTCGAGCTCGTTAGGAAATGTAAAATGGTCTTTTGAGTAGGATATTGATCTTAGTGGTTGCTTCTCTTGAGGCTTCAAGACCATTGCTCCTGATGTTTCTTGTCAATGTGGTTGTCCATGGCAGTTATATATCTGAGCGAATACGAGCCCCAAGATCGCCGAAAACGCCACATGCCGAATACGAGTCACCCCGCATCATCTGTCTAGTCGGGGAGAGGCTCTTGATCTCATGAGGTCACTGACTGCTTTTCGTCATCCAATCGAAGGGTTCTCACGCAGCACCTGGTCGCCAGACGGGCGCATCTGCCTGGAGATCCGAGTTCCTGGGCGCTGCTGAATACGAGAAATGGTGCTTACCTGAGATTAGTGATAGCATTTATGATTACTGATCAAAAGACGACGATTGGAGAGGTACTGATACTTGGACTAGCATGGCCACTTGGATATAAGGATGCAGGCTGGAGGCAGAGCGACTATTCGAACGGCTTGCCGGTTCAATCATCCGCTTTCTGACTTTGATACAGTCTGGGGGCTAATTGAAGAGTCAGTCTTTTTCGACAGGGTAATTTGACTATTCGACAGGGCTTTCTGAAGCGGAACCCCGATTGGGAACGGGCCGGATATACCGTTTTTCCGGCTAAGTTAGCCATGTCTTAACTCCTTATGTAATTAGTGGTGATTTTTGTTAAGAACCATGGGCTAAGATTTATATAATAATTTTATATAAATTTAAGCCATGAATACTAAAAATAACAAACTAGAAATCTAGCCTAAAAATAATAATAGCTTTATTTTTAAATATATTCCTGCCCCTAATATTAACCCCGCTAAAATTAACCCCGCTAAATTTAATTCTAAATACCTTAATAATAACAGCCCGGAGGTATTATTTCAGTGGGAGTTCCGGAGTTAATGCTAGGTATAATTAAATTTTAGGCCTTTTATTAGTTAGTATAAGTACTAGTTTAATAGTTAAAACTTACACATGTTTGGCCTGCAGTTTAAATACTAAATTTTATATAAAAAGTTAGAATTTAAAGCGCTACGCGCCCGCGCGGAGTATTTTACCGCTAAGCTAAACCTAATTAAAAAGCGACGACGGGTTAATTATGTCAGCACCCGTTCCCAATTGGGGTTCCGCTTCAGAAAGCCCTGTCGAATAGTCAAATTACCCTGTCGAAAAAGACTAACTCCTAATTGAACAGGGTAAGGTAGATTTATTCCAACTTGGCTTAGAGTCTTTTTGAGAGGTTCAGGTTGGTAGCTACAGTCAAAGATACGTGATGGCTGTTAATTTACTCTTATTGCCGTAGCTGCTAAAGATACCTAGAGCTCAACTCCCACCTAATTAGTGTTCAATGTCACAGCAGAACGTCGCTCAGTAGCCAGGACACAGAGCATTTTACAGCTTACTTATCGGACTTACTCTTAGTCTACGCCTTGTTCTAGTGCGATTCAAAGCAATATGGGTAGCAGAGCTTTATTCTCTCAGTTGGGCACAGAGAGAACATAAGGTTTCAGCATGGTCCTTCCTGTACATAACCAACTAGAATCTGGAAACGAGAGTAAACCGTTGAGAAACGAGGGTAAAACAAAACTGCAAGAAAAGCCAAAAGCACAGTTAATCCGTCTTTGACATTTTGCTGTCCTTCCCAACCCACGCCTCCATCCCCCCTTCCGCCAAAAGGCCCTTCACAACCGCCCTCATGGCCTGGGCTTCCGGAAGAGGGCTACCACAGTGGCGCGGAAGCTTCAAGCCCCCAAGGCCCCTAGCCAACTCGCTCAGATCATGAACCAGGTGCTCCTTCTTCGGACCATACACGGCAACAACGGCTTTCTCGCTCAGGATCTTCAGATCGACGATATGACGGTGTGCGATCCGCAGCAGGTTCAGCTCGGTGTGGCCATCGTACATCACGAGGATTGTCGAGCGGTTCATGTACGTGGTGACGTCCTTGCTGGCTAACTCCGCGCAGAGGTTGAGGTCGACGGTGGAGGTTCCTGCCATTGGGTTGTTGTACTCGCGGTCAAGGAGGGTGTTGCCTGTTTGGACGTCGACCGCGCTGAGGGTGATTCCGTTGCAGTCAGTCTTGTGGACCTTGAGCGCGACGATGTTGGCTGTTTTCTCTGTCTTCTCCAAGCTGGTTGTGACGTTGTTCAGCCGGTAGCCGTGCTTTTCGAGGCTGGAAGGGGACGCGATGTATCGCTCCACTCTGTCACGGGTTACTGGGATATTGGGTATGTTGTGGGTTTTTTGGGAGCGGGTTGAGTCGGGGCGTGTCTGGGGGTGGCGCTTTTGGTTGTCTGAGTGGGAAACGCTGCGATTGTTCATTTTGGGTGTTGTTGGTGTTGTTTCTGGGGTTTCTTGCAGAGTCAGGAGGTAGAGGATAGATGGGTGGTGGTGTGAGAGTGTAAATGCGAGGAACGAGATGATTACTATGGTGCTATATATACCTGATTGTCATGAGTTCGGGAGCTGGTCTTGCCCAGTCCCGAGGTCTTCTTCATTCACTATGGTCTCTTGATTCACCGTGTTTTCTATCCACCAAGATCTTGGGGTAAAACGAACGAGGCGCCTCGGATAACTCTCACGGTACATCTCCGCATGTAACGGCGGATATGGCCTAGTCTTTTGTTATAGGTGGTCGATGCTCGTCGAGGTAATGGCCTAGCTGAAGCATTGATATAATTCTTAACTCAAGTCCCCCACAGAAATCGCCTTCTGAGACGGGGTCAAACACCCAAGGACTTCTTACGAATTGTCCCGTAACCACAAAAGCAGCAATAATTTTGTATGGTTTCGGCGCCTTTGACCCAGAAGACCCAGAAAGGCCCTCTGTTCAAATACTTAGTTAGAGATGAATGCCTCTGTAAAGACCCCCGGTGGGGTCTGTGTAACATAGGCAAGTACTTGTCCTATCATCCCATAGTTGCCCTTGTTTTGTGCCTGGGGTTCGCTTATTACCAGCTCTGCCGAGGGCTCGAAACCTTTTTCCATAGCCTTGGTGGTAGATTCGGTGGGCAACGACCGGAGACATTCTAGAGAGTTTGCAAGGCTGGGCTGCTTTGTGCATACTAGGATTTACCAATGGCAGTGCTACATAGGACCACACCTACTCCATAAGGTACCTCTCAAGCATCGCAAATTCGTCACTTATCACTCTTTACGCCTATAACCGATTATAGATGCACATTATCTGCGCTGCTGATTGGCCGGAATACGAAAATAACGGCTTGGCCTGCGCAGACCGAACGGCACTGCTACTTCAACTGGGCAAGCCTCAAAAACAAAAACATACAACAGCTGGGATTCGCATGTGGTCACCCACCATACTACTAACCAGCCGGCGTGTGGTTTAAGTACGGCTGAGCGGACGGGAAGCCCTGTTCTCCACACCCTGTGGTCGTATGTGGTTGAATCGCCTTTTCAAAAGCATTAGAAGCAACGGTTTATGTGCTGGCGACAGTAGCACGGGCGTGACTGACGGCATCCAGGCACTGAACGGGGGTTTGCTATTCAACGAAGCTACTAGAAAGAAGACCAAATATGATGCCACCCCGTTATGCACTTCAGAGCGTAGCCCTCCTATCCGTCTATGCCCCGTCGCAATGCCAAGACCATGTCTAGATCTTGGATAGTGCGCCCCCTACAGGTTAATGAGCGGTTTATCTAATGCCTACCCTATAATGGTAGTAGATAACATGGCTCCCGCATGTCCGGTAGCGCTGGTATATCTTTGGGACCTGTGAGACCATGTACCGCACGATACTGATTCAGGAGCACCTATAGGCTGCGGCACGCCATGTTTACTTCTCCTCAGCGGATAGCACAGTATACCGGGTACTCTTCTGAACGAACCGGGCGTCCATTGGACAGGGCTAGCGCACTATCTCCTGCTGAACCTGGAGCTGGAGCCCTAAGTATGTTCCCCAGAGTGGAAGGCCCACCCACAGGTTGACCCGTCGCGTAGGGTATGCATAGGGTTGCTCTGTCCTCTTGTAGATTTTCGTCTTCTCTTCCGTCCTCCATCTTTGAGGCTCTCTCAAGAATCTCATCTTCTACTTGATTGAAATCGAATATTCCTTCTATAGTAATCCGTAATCTGTGTCTTGGCTTTAGAATCGTCAGCATTCAGGCATGATTGAGGGTCTTCGCATTGTACGTCGTTTGGTGGGCGCATCTTGAAGGCCCATTGAAGTAACCACTACAGCCTACCATGATACCTAGCATGTATATCATATTCTTTCTCGTAATGTTGGAAATCGTAAGGTTCTGCGTATACAGAACGGGAATTAAACAGAAGTCTCACGTTGCTTTTGAGGTTCGAGGTTATACATCTTGTCGATACATTCTCTGAACTACTACCCTGGCCTTTTGCAAACTGCTTGCCCTCCTTCTGAGTGTCCATCGGCCATGCTGCCAAAATGGTACTCTCTACTAACTCCTAATCTGCCAGTCTCCCGTTGGTTACAGCATCTTAATTTAGTACAACCCAGCAGAAACGTTTCCCCGTTTGAAGCCTTTGTTCAATTGTACGAAGAACAATGGGGGAATGTTTCACCCGTACATAGAGTTCCAATACCATGGTTCTTCGGTACTATGGTGCAGGCTCGGTTGTCCTAGACAAAGCGTGCATAAAGAAAACGACCAACATTGTTAGGGGACAGGACCTGAAGCATAACTTGAAGCAATACATAAAACATGGCTCTAAGTATAGATGGAAAAGATGTTTTATGTGATTTTCCACAACTACATAAGCCATGTCAACTCTCTTGAAGGATTTTATACCACACCATCAAGACCTACTATTCTACTCAAAAACACACCAAACGTACGCAATGCCACGCCGCCCCAAAAGAGGACGACGCCCCATCCCAAGAACACCCATCATCAAGGGTATCTGGAAAGGCGCGCTTCCCGAGCATAGACCCGATCCAAATCGCGGGCCTGCTCCTGACCTGGCCAACCTCGGCCAGTACACTTCTGACCAGCTAATAACGTACATGGAAAAGTTCCCCAACCACGCTGTGTATATCTTCGAATGGGCAACCGAGCCAGGCAACATCGGGGCCCAGTGGCTGAACCTCTGGCCATTCCAGACCCCGGCCGACGTGGCCAACTGGCATTTAAACACCTTCGGGGCGAACACCCTTAACCCTCAGACACCAGGCGCTACAGACACCATCGTTAGAAATGCTGCGGCTCATCCGCGGCCGCTTGACACCCTTGTCAAACGAGACGCTCTCCATGCTCTGCACGCGCTGCATGCCGTCAATCACTGGGACCCCAGTGGGTATGCAGCGACAGGGAGCAGTTTCCTCAAAACAGCCCTCCAGGCGAACCTCGACATCACGGATCCAAACAGACGGGGTTATCTCGTTTACAACTACATTCTGTACAAGACCCAAACCAACCGCGCTTTTGCCCAGGCCTTTCCGATCGACCAACGTCTCACAGACACCCCGGTGGTCCTGAACCACCTCGACGTCGCCATCCAGGATGGGCCGTACGACGCCTTCTCAAAGTGGTGGAAGGCCCTCGACGAGGCCCCAGGAGCTGCCCTTCCACACCTCGTCCTCGGAGGCCCGGCCGCTGTCCTGGACCCAACAAGCCACGAGGCCCTCTGCAAGAAGACGACCGTCCTCGACGCAGAGCATATGCACCAGCACAACCAGTTGAATCTCGCGAGCCTCCCCAATGCCTGGCACCACGCCGTCTGGAACCCCAATAACAAGGAGTTCATGGACTTCATCCAAAGAGAGCAGCCGCCTCTCCCGATGCCCGGCGTAGGGCCAGCCCGAATCAACCAAGTCAGCGGCAACGTCGGGTGGGGACGCCCGGTGGAATACGCGCACGAAAATAAGAAAGTCGGCGCCTTCAAGACCCTGGTCCGGCTGGGCGCCAACATAGACGCCTGGGTCGAGGCCGAACTCGACAACAACTGGCCGCAGAATGACGACAAAGCCCTCGAGCCGGACGACTTCTTTGCTGCCGGGCTGCGTGGCTACCGCAATATCAACCCGCCCAATGGCACAGCGAACGGGACCCTCCTGCACCGCGTTGTCACCCGCCTCCACAACCAGGTGACTGATCCCATCTTCACCTCGCTCCACCCGCGCGATATGGCGTCAAGGCGGAAAAGACTCACCCACGACGCTGTCCAGATGATCTACTATATCCGCCGCGGGAATCAGCACGGGCAGCCGAATCTGGCGACGACGGATATCAACGGGCGCACGGCGTGGGCCCTTGCGAGACACCATGCGATCTTGGGCCTTGATGACGCGCTGACGGCCACTGCGACTATAGTCACGGCGGTTGATGGGAGCCATACTGCCGCTAACCTTCTGCAGGCGGCTGCGCAGGGGCCGGCCCCGGCCCCCAGTGCTAATATTGATGATCCAACTATTGTCCCTGGGCATCGGTATCCGATAAGGCGCACGAGGAGGAGGTAGAGACACTGTTTTATGCATCTGGGAGTATCCCGTCTGATGTTTATATATGCCCAATTGTTCTATGTTTATGGTGCTTGTCGGGAAGCCTGGTGCTGACCCAGGCCGTTGTGTATAGTATAATCCGTGTACATAGATAATTACAACTATATTCTCTGTTTGACGCTTATTCAAACTGTAAGCGCAGGCTGTTCTATTTGCTATGGCTCCAGCAGCTGTTGGTACTGACCTCGGGACCCTTGAAAGTTCTGTCTAGGTTGAACCCGCCTGAATGCTACCTCGGACAACAACCAGTGAGTTTCTCGGTAGTACACAAAAATCAATTCTAACAATTGTTGGAAATATGGAATGCTGCAGGCCTGGGTTGTCTGGTACAAAATGTACAAAGAAACCTGCTCAACCATAGATTGTTAGAAACAATAACGAAACGGATGCTCTATGCTGTTCTTTATCTACTTGTTTTATACTGTGTGTGAAGTATATATAGCAATGAATCTTCTAAGGGAGGCTAATGTATATAACAATGTCAATCCTAAGGTTGCACAGGAGCTTGGGCAATGTCGAGAAACAACTAATATCAAGACCTATATTCAATACATACCAAGCGCATAACATACGCAATGCCACGCCGTGTACACCCCATTATCCAAGCAATATGGGCCGGCAACCCACTCCCTCCCCATATTCCCGACCCAGCCAAAGTCCCCCCCAACCTCAACGGCCTACAAAACTACCCCGGGGCCCCTCTCATCCAGGCAATGGAAGACTTCCCAAACCTCGCCGTGCAAATATTCATGTTTGGCATCAACCCCTTCAACAGCCGCGGCCCATACAGCACAAACATCCACACCTACTGGTGGAGATCCATCCAACTGCTCAAAACACCGGCCGACGTTGTCGGCTGGCACACAATCTATTACCCAGGCACCCCGCTCAACCCTACAACCCAGGCCGCCCGGACAGCAATTTTAAACAACGTCACTGCGAACCTCTGGCCAATAGACAGGCTTATTGAGAACGACGCTATCCACGCCCTTGTTGCCCTGGAGGCCACATATAACTGGGACCCGCTGGGCTACGACGCCACGGGCTCGACCTACCTCAACGCCGCAGCCAAGTATATGCTCGCCAAACAGGCGGCCTACGAGGCGACACAGGCAGCGCAGGCCGGGGCCGCACAGCAAGCGCAGCAGCCGGAGCCGCCGGAATGGCTAGTGTTCAACTATATCCTCCACAAGGCGCTGGCGAATCGCAACTATGCGATGGACCGCGTCACCGTCCCCGCCCTTACGCTCTCAATACCCGGGGCCCCCGCGGCCGCGATACTGAACCACCTGGACCTTGTTATGCAGAATGCGCCGTATGCCTCGTTTATACGCTACTGGGATGCCCTTGATACGCCGGCTGCCGGACACATCCAGCTAAACACGGCGCAGGCACCCCTGCAACCTGCGAGCATCGAAGCCCTCTGCAAAAGGCTACCCCGCGGCCGCGCGGAGAAGCTCAAGGCTAACAATGGACTTGACCTCGCAACGACCCCGGGAGCCTGGTATCTGGCGATCGAGAACCCACACGCCAACTTCATGACTTTTCTCCAGCGAAGTGCTGCGCAGGGGCAGATAGACACGATAGTTCTCGGGATCGCCACGGTCCCACCCGTCGAGCACGCCGCGACCCGAAACAACTTCATCGCCTTCAAGAACCTCCTCGCCGCGGGCGCAAACGTGGACGCGTGGGTCGAGGCCCAATTCACCTGGGCGCGGTGGCCGAATCTGAGGAGGAGGTTCTGGCGCGAGGCGCTGGGGTACTATACACGGATCAACAACCCCATTCACCCCCCAGCCTGGAATGCCAATGGCGGAACGCTCATCCATACGGTGGTCCATTTCCTGAGCTTCAACTTTGCGGCGCCCTGGTTTAGGAATATGACGCCTACGCAGCGCGTCAGGGCCAGGAGGGACATGTGTATGCGTGCGGTGACGCTTATTCGCTTGGTTAGGCGGGGGAATCGGCATGGGCGGCCGGTGTTGGGGGCTACGGATGCGGCTGGGCGGACGGCGAAGGCAGTTGCTAAGAATGATGGATTGAGCGAGATTGAGGCTATCCTGTAGTTATCATCATCTGTGGTTGGTGTGGGGGATGATACATATAGCTCTAGGTAGTATTTTGCTGTTTGATGTTGATCTTCTGATTTACTTAGGAGGCCTGGTGCCAACCGTGGTGGAGTGTATGAGAATGTTAAATATGAGATTCTGCCATATAACACCATGCGCGCCTATGTTCTCTCTCTCCGTAGTACATGCTGCTTTAGTTGCTTGCAGATGACCGGACTTGGTACAGTAGTAGTAGAAACCATATACTCAGCATCGAGGTTTCCGTCTATCAGCACTGCTCGAGGTCAAGCAACGCGACGGAACAACAGCTCGTTTGGCCTTGGCCGCTGTTTCGAGTTCTTCGGGAGTAACGAGATTTCGTTCCTTTGACAGCGTCAAGACCGCTAGATAAAGCATTATGAGACGGGAGGGGGTGCATTGTTCTAAAGTAGGCGGACTATGAAACACGGCTTCATTGTACTGATGTCAGTGGACAAAGAATTGGATATAGCCTGTTGTTTCTAAGGTGTCAGAGCTTGAAATAGGCGTTTCGCATAGGAGGGTGTGCTTGCTCGTATTAGAAGCTGCATGCACAGTGGTTGTGGCCAAATCGAAAAAGGTATTTCCTACCATTGGTCTCTAATCACTCATTATGTTGGAATATTTGGCCAAACGGTACCTGAACACGTAGAGACTGATGCTGTCTAGATCCACCTGTATAGGTAAAAGCTTGCGCCACACCTATATCAATCAGGGTTGGGTTAATACATAACCTAAATTCCCACCACAATCAGAGTACGCAACAGCAAAGCCCCCAATATGGCCTATCCCTTCCCTCTCAAAGAAGTCAACAACATCTGGAAGGGCATTCCGCCCAGCCCAGCGCCCTCTCCAGACCCCAGCTACCCCGACCTAGACCCCACGAATCTAGCCCAATACACCCGCGACGAACTCATCAACTACATGGGCATGTATCCCGACCACGCGGTCTCAATCTTCGACTACGGCAAAAAGCAGCCTCACCTGTGGCCGAATATCCCGCGCATCGACAGTGAAGCTGAGCTGGTAGCCTGGCATAACAAGACATTTCCCACCACACCTCTCCCCCAGCCCAGAGAAACAATCCACGCTAACATCCTCACACTACGCACCCGCTCGCCGATCGACCAGCTCATCAAGACAGACAAGATCCACGCCCTCATTGCCCTCCACCGGTCAGGCCGCTGGCCCAACCCACACGGCTTCACCCGCCAATGCAGCTACGCCTATCTAGCCTGGAACAACGGCCAGAAGAAGGGCCCGTCATTCCTGGCCTTCCACTATATCCTGTACACATGTAAGCGCAATCGTGACTGGGCATTTGAACGCCCCAGCGCCCCCACCCTGACCGGCATCCCGGGCACAGGGAACCACCTCGATTTCATCATCAGACATAGCCCTGAAGCATTCTTCAGCATCTGGCCGCACCAAGATAAGGTCGGGCCGGGGCCCTTGGATCTCGCGCCGTCAGGCAACACACCCTTACAACCGCGTTCCATATCCCAACTCCTCAAGCACGCCGAGCCCCCGCAGCTATCCAAGCTGCGCGAAAGGAATAACCTCGATCTTGCCCTCAACGCACCAGGCCCCTAGCACGCGGCAGTGGGAAATGGCGAACCGGAAATCCTGGACGCCCTGGCGAGCTCGAATCCCGCAATGTCCCTAATCCGGGTCCCCAACGAAATCAACGAAGACGTTCTCCAACACGCAGTCCGCTTCAGACGGTTCGCGGCCTTCACCAAAATCCTCGCCCTGGGCTCCGAAGCCATCTTTTCTTAGCCGGATGAGGCAGGTCGGGTTGCGGTTACAATTGGGATGATTTTGTACATACATTTGTAGAGTATTTTACTTGATCATGCTTCATTGACAATGTGGGGTAAGCCTGGTGCTGCCTGCTTTTGCAATTCAATATCCTTTTCAAGTTTCCTGGTTTTGTTGCCGAGGTGCTGTCTTAAGGAGCCATGATATATCCACTCTACTTATACTTCAGCCATATTCTATTGGGCTTCTGCGAAATCGCCCGGAAACAAGCGAGTGTCAGAACAGACTTTGAAGATTAGCTTACTGACCAGTGTAGAGAGATGGACCACGTTATGACCAATGTCTCTATTCATGCTGTCAAGCCTGATGTTGAAGGGGATGTCAAAGGAATGCGCTTAAGTTTATAGAACCTATTTAAAATAGCAGTTTTGTAGAGATGTGGCACTCTATGCTTTGAATAGCAACGCGGACACGGCACGATTATATATATTGACTATAGGCAAGCGCAATCCAATACAGCATTCAGTGAAGAACTGGTATATTCTCATAAAACCTGTGCCCGGTTGTAGTCAATCTTTGAGTAATGTGGAGGCTCTTTAACAGGCTCCGCAATAACAGCTTTGGTCAGGTCTTGCTGCACTACGTCTTCCTAGGGGCCATTGTGAGACGTAAGAGGTATCCATGATAAATTCATCCTCGGTTCTTCGCAATTTGTCTGATGCTCTCAACTACATACTTCGGGGAAACGTGACATTCAAGCATCATAACTTGAAACCACTGGCAGCTGAACGTGACATTGCAGCATCATGACTTTTTAAACCAGCAGATATAACGCACAATCAGGTGAGCACATCCCGAGTTCCTCCCAACCGCAGTTCAAGTCCACACATGGCAGTCTGAATTCCATCAAGTTGCAGTTTCAAAAACATCATCAGCACTGATTGACAGGAAATCAAATCAAACTTCCTCTTCATCATCCACATCGACGGCCTCTACACAATCCTCAAGGTCTCGTTTCGCATCATCATCATCCACGTCCCGAGAGCGAAGGCCAACAAGCCACTCGCCAGAGCGACCTGCGTTATTGGCCGGAGTGTGGCAAACGGTGCCAGCTACGCGGTTTTGGAATGTAAGAGATGTTCCACCCCGGCAATCGGCCGTCGTCCACGATCTGCCGCGACTAGATGCAGACAAGGAAATGACACAGTAAGCTCATCTTACACATGAACACTGAAGGCCAGGGATCTCAGGGGAAGTGAGATGACTACAGTACCTATTATTGGGCAGCGTGTAGAGGATCGTGCGTCGAGCAGACCCGAAGTTGCAGCATCTGTTCTCTTGGATGTTTCTGCAGCATCTGCTGGATCCTGAGCATCCTCGATTAGTATATCCGCAGATGTCGGCGGCAGAGGTGAGAGGAACGAGAAGGAGGGTGGCAAGGATGAGGAACTTCATCTCGCTTGGGAGGAACTGGAAGTCGCGGAACAGATATTTGGACAGTCGTATGGAAGAGTTGTTCTCAGTGTTAGAAAGGACTTGGAAAGTTTTCGGATGTTGGCAGAGAGCATCGGCCTTTTATGTCTTTTCCAACGCCCTTGCTATCCACATGGTTAGCTTACAATGTCGGTGCTCGACAATATGAGACGAACTTTTCTGTCGTTCAATGCCGGTTATCCATGCAGTTTGACAATAACATCACAATTGTCTCACCGATATGCAAGCACAATAATGTGTAATGGGCCTGGCCAGTCTCAAGTCTTAAGATCTCCGCGGGCAAGGTCTAAGGTCTCAACTCCTTGGGATTCGCTTGTTCAGTTCTATTGTTGTTACTTCTCTGATGTAGATAATTCTTAACTGATTAAAACATCAAACTTTCAACCAATGTTCCCTAGCTATCTAATATTTAGCTTTTTGCTTTGTCCAAGAATTGCCCACCATACCGTACATCTTGTTCAAAAAGAATATACAAGCGAAAATAGTTAGCATACTTCTTGCCCATGCTCATGATACACAACAGTGCCATGCTGTGATAGGCCAACCACTTGACCAGACCTATATTCGTGCTACTTGGTCCGCCATCTTGCAGATCCTCGTCTTCTATCAAAACTCTAGAATGAGTCCTTGGCCCATTTATCTGACCCTAGGATGTGTCTAGCTGATGTCTTACCCCGCAAAACAGACAATAGATCAACATCAGAAATGATATCATGACTTCGGATCCCGGTCCCTATTGTTCTCCTGTATCTAGAACATCACCAACATGCGCCTTACGGATATGCACTACAGCGATTAAGTACTCTTCTCTACAGATTGTAACCATGACCTAGAACTAGACACAGATCTCCGCCGCGGTTAACTCTATGTAGTCGCCTCTACTCTTGTGAAAGCTAGACGGATACAAGCATTTTAGTGAATGTCATGTCCAGGTTCCGCAGTACAGTCCTGCAGGGGGCCTGAACCCCGCACTGATGAATCACTGAGTTTATCAGATCGTGCTATAATCTTCTAGAAACCAAGTTACCCAGACTCTCGGGGCCACTGGAGCTCCCGGCCTCCGAAGCAAAGCAAATGCCGGCTAGCGTCAGGCCCCCAATTCCCGGCCTCCGAAGCAAAGTGAAGTTCGACTGACGTAGGCTGGTAGCGGAGAGTCATAAAGCTTGTAATCTTCGGTTGCGCCTAGAGCACCTCTGAAGGTGCAAGGTGCCTCCGGTTGACACCCCGCCATTGCCTAGAGTCAACATAAGATTACTACCATAGTAGGTGCTACGGCCGTTGAATAGCCGGGTATTAATGGTCAATCCCTGACAGAGATAATCCTAGTCCCCAATCAATCCATCCAATCTCATGGTCTTTTCGTCCAACCAGTATTTTGACACAGTTCACCGCGGCAACAGAATTTCAGAGCGGGGAGAGCTCATAGCCCATAGGGGCATTCGCACTATGAGGATGCTTAGATAAACCAACGTATGTGCACCAGCCTGCCCTGATGGCTCTCCTCGGAAATAGCTGTTGTATAACCGAGTTTGAACATTTCCATGCGGCAAGACCACGTTTTCCCCGCCGCGGGGTGTAAGCGAGGGCCGCCTCAGCCCTGTGACACAGGGATCAAGACTCTTCCAAAGATCGAATCCTAGTAGAGCTCCCTGTCGGCAAAGATTTCCATTTGAAACCATACGGTAGGTAAGGCTTAGCGCAGCCAAGGCTTCATTCGGTCCAATTGCTTCGTTGCCCGCCTCAACATAGTTACCAAGGGAATCTAGCCCTCTCTCAGCGCCGGCAACCGAAGCTATGGGATTACCGGCCGAATCATTCACATCAAATCATTCATGCAGCAGTCAACAAGCATGAACCCTGTGTCAAGCTCTAGTGAGTTCGAAGTCCTGGTAGATTGCACTGCAGATGGAGATTTCATAGGCTACGAAGACACTATCTCCACAGAGAAACAGAAGCACCTTCGCAGCGCAAACGTCCGAGGAATCACCGCGATGCATCAATTCGGCCGGAAGAAGCGCCACCCATATTGCTTTGTTGCTGCGCTTTAAAGAGACTATGGATAGTATGATCAGCTTTGGGGCGACGCAGGATGGTCAACCAGAGTGCTGTCCCGTGCCGTCCCATAGTAGTCCTGTGCTGGAGACGGCCATAGTCTGACGAATGAGCACAAAAAGAGAGCATCATTACCTAGATACTATAGCCAGTGACTGCGTTACTACAGGACCACAGGGAATACCCTCGAATCAAGCCTTGACTATACCATTTCATCATAACGTCATTATCAAGCTCTTGATACAGAAAAGCCGAAGCTGATGAACATCACCACGATCCTCGTGTCCAGATCCACACCAGGCAACAAGACCCCTGGGAACTAAAGGATATACCGGAACCCCCTCGGGGCATCCAAATTCGCATCATCGAGGCTCTCATTTTCCTTCCTCTCCAACCCCCTATTTATCCTCACATGCACAGCCCGAATCACAAACGCCATGACGGCAACAAGCAGCGCCACAGCCGCGGTCGCACTTCCGCCAGGAATATATCTTGGCCCTGACGAGCTGGGCCACATGTAACTCCCATAGATACTCGCCGTATTGCCCAGCATATTCGCCGTCGCAATAGCAGCAGACCTCTTGACAAGCGGTCTGGGAAACGAGTTCGCGACCCACGAGATGATGATCTGATACGCAGACACAGCGCCCATGGGCATAAGGAACATGCCCAGGAACCGCGCGCCGATGTTCGTGCTTGCCGTGCAGATAATACACCCAGCTATACTGACTAGCATCAGACAGATGATATGCATACTCCGGTCATCCGTCTTGCCGGACGACCAGGTCACAACGAGCGAAACAAGGAACGTCGCGATCCAGACCGGCGCCGTGATAAGCAGCGTCTCGATGTTCCCGTAGTTGAGCGTCTGCACAATACTGGGGAAGAAGTACTGGAATGTCTGGGAGAGGAGGGAGGCGTGCTGCAGGAGGATGAAGAGGTAGATGCGCTTGTCGGTGAAGACGGCGATCAGGGCTTCCTTTATGCTTGAGGCGGCGGTGTCGTCTGCTTCGCCGGCGTCGTTGATCAGCCGCCATTGCGCGTAGGCTTTTTCCGAGTCGGAGAGCCAGGGCGTTGTGGCGGGGTAGTTGGGGAGGAGGAATCTGCACATATTACATGTCAGTGGACGGGAGCTGGAGGACTGGACTGGACTGGACTGGACTGGACTGGACTGGAGGGTAGAGGGAGACGCACGGTATCAACATCGACAGCGCGACCGTGATACTGCCTTCAATGATGAACAGCCACCTCCACCCGGAGATCCCATGCGCCATGTGCAGATTCCCGAGCACACCAGCACCAATAAGGCCTCCAAATGCATTCGCTAGACTCGAGCCCGCGTAGAACCACGCGATGCGGTAGCTCAGTTCTTGCCGCGTATACCAACTCGACCTACACACACATTACCACATTAGCACGCCCACAACCCTCTATACCCTATACCTCCAATGCGAGGTAGGACATACATCAACATAACAGCGCCCGGAAAAAACGGCGCCTCGACGAAGCCGAGAAAGAACCTCGCAACAACGAGCCCCGCAAACGAATGCGCCGCCGCCTGACACGCCGAGATAACGCCCCAGATGCCCATTGCTATCCCCAGGAACAGGCTCGGCCGCACGCGCGTGAGCAGCAGGTTCGACGGCAGCTGCATGAGCAGGTACCCGACGAAGAGGATGCTGGTGGCGAGGTTGAAGTCGGTGCCGGACATGCGGAGGTCGGATTCGAGGGTGCCGAGGCGGGCTTGGGAGAGGTTGCTGCACGCATAGCGGTTAGTTGGGGTATATTAAGGTATGATACCCTAGGGGTAGAGGGTTAGGGGGGCGCATACTTCCGGTCCAGAAAGTTCAGCAGGTACATAATGACCAGCAGCGGCAAGAGATGTAAATCGACCTTGCGCATGAGTCGGCGCGTCATGTCTCTATGCCATTCTTCGCTCTTGGCCGCGTAGGCGTGGTACAGCTCGTCGTGCTCGAAGTGGGCTTTTTGCGTGGTGTGGTGGCTGGCGACCGTGACGGCCTCGGCCTTTTCGTCGACTTCGGCCATGCTGCTCTGGGTAATTGTGGACGACAGAATGTTTTGCAAGGGATTGAGGGGGACTGCAAGCTTTTAAGCGAGACTTGCTTTAGCTCCAGGCGGGTCGTCTGACCTCCACGTCTTGTGGAGGTGCCAGCTTCGGCCAACCTCCGAGCCGGGGAGTCTGGGGGGAAGGCGGGGTTGTGGAGGTGTCGGGGCAATGCATACCGAGTGGGTAGACCTTCTGAAAACGTATCTGATTTATTATGTGTACTCGTTGAGAGTATGTTGTTGGAGGCACTGTTTCTGCTGCATCCGCCCGAGTCGGCTTCAACCCAGCAAACCGCCGCCAACTTGGCCCGGATTGAGGGGCAGCAGCCAATCAGGGCATTGCAATGACAAGCCAAAGCCGAAGCGGGGATCCCCAGAGTCCAGGCCGAGTCTGGAGATTTCCCCGAGCTCCACCCCCTCGTATGACGCCCGGGTCTGTCCCTGATTCCAAGTTTTAGTCAAGGCTGGTCGTACGGTTGCTGAATATTTCACACTGTCCGAGTGAGCTTACAGTGCTTGCCATCCTTGAAATCACCGTATCTACGTTCTTCAGACAGTGGTCCTTGGGTATGCACCCAAGTGATCTCAAGGCCTTGCCAAAATCACGGAAGGCAATATATATATTTCAACGATGGGGTGAGCAGTGGGTTCAAGCAAGTCATGTAAACATCTCTCTACTACCCCGTGGCATACAAATATAACAACTCAGATACAAAGTCTGTCGCTGCAGCGCCTATTGTCCCATCTGAATTGTCGACTTCCAATTATGGGATACACTCGTGGAGAAAGCATGGTACCCTCCTCCTCGTTACAGCGCCGAGTGCACCTCCGTCCCCAACATCTCATTTCCCATGCCCAATAGGCTCCGAGGAACCACCGCCGTTACCGTTCGAATTCGAGTCTTCATTCCCGATCGGCTCGGTATTCCCCGGGCCCGTACTGGAGTTCTGCGCAGAGCGGCCGTCCAGTCCAGCGCCAGCTTTTTTGCGATACGCATAGCTGCCTTTCGCGAAACTCTGAGCATCCCGAGCCTCGACATTTTTCCTAAGGAGCCAGTCACGCGAGCCATTGGGACCAGAAGTAGTTTCCACGCTGCCATTTGTTAGCTGGCTGTACGTGGATCGCCACTAAATAATGGAACAGGAAGCGGGGATAACGCACACTGAGCCCTCGAAATCATAGACAGATTCGCCTGCCTTGGGAGTCTGGGCGCTGCGGACCTCGACCTGTCCGTCCAGGGTCCGGACCTGAACAGGCGCAGAGACTGCGAGGGTCGCGAGGAAGGCGACGGAAAGGGCCTTGGTGAGATGCATTGTGTTCGATGACCGTTGCTTTGCTTGAGTTGAGAGAAGGAGGAAGGTTGTTGATGGGTACCTTCGAGGGAGCAGGTGGTCATATTTTTAAGGTACCCTGGGAGACCGCGAGGCTATCAACTTCGCCCCCAAATTGCGCTGTACACCAAGGACCCTTCAAATTCTGCTATATTCATTCCATTCCATGCCTGCACCTTGCCTATCCTTAGCTACAAGTGGCTGTATAGCCCTATCTCCGCAAACACGCCAAGGGTCCAGGGCGTGATGGTCGAGTGCGGCTGAGGATGAGGCAAACATCAAAATAAGCGAGGGCCAATCGAAACTCTGCTCTGAATTCTCGGTCAGCAATGACAAAGAGCAAAGCGAGCTTATGCAAGCTTAGCTTCAGCCCCGTCGGGGAACAGAATGGACCCCGATCCAGGGTCCGAGGCGCTATTTGGAATTGATTGCTTCAGCGTGGGGAATCGGGCTATCCAACTCAGCTGCACGGGCTGTTATCCGTGGTCGATCTAGTAAGGGGCCCCAGCTGACTTTGGATATGGTATTTCACCTTGTTTTCATTCTCCTTCCGTAGTGCTGATTTAGCCTCTTGTATTTCGCCTGCCGACAGTGTAAAATACCCTGTAGCCCGCGTGCTAAGTGGTTGCAGTACTTTAGTTTAACCCCTTAAAAAATAAAGGTTATTTTATTAGGTAAATAGTAACTTATATAGCCCTTTAGCTTAATAATCACGTGCTAGTATTATAATAACCTAATTTAGCCTTTAAAAAGTAATTTTAACTTATTTTAGGCTTTAAAAAGCCTTATATAAATACTTAAAGCCTTTAAAAAGTACTAAGTACTTATTTTTATTAAAAAAGCACTTATTTTTTTTCCAGGCTTAAACAAGCTAAAACTAGGCTAAAAATTACTTTTTAAAAATTTTTAAAAACTAGAAGGTCCTGGGTTTAAACCTGGTTATAATTATATAAGTTTTTTTTTATAGGTTAGTTAAATTAGGTAAAGTTAAAAAGTTAATTTATTATTTTTTAATTAGGCTAGTATGGTAGTAAAAACCTTTAAAAAGTATTAAATTTTTAAATTTTAATTTTATATATAAAAATTTAATATACTTAGCTTAGTAAAAAAGTGTTAATTCTTACTTATTTAAATTAGTAACTTTAAGCTAATAAAAAGTTATTATTTAAAATATATTTAAAATAGCCCTGTACTTAAAATTATAAAAAAATTAAAAAATATTATTTTAATATTTAAAAAATTTATAAATTAAAAATATAATATAACTTTATAATATTAGGTTTTTTATACTTATTTATAGCCTTATTTAATTTATAAATATTTAAGTAAGCTATTTAATTAATAAAAACTAGGTAAAAATAACTAGCTATAATATAAAAAAAATAATTAAAAGTAAAAAAAAATAAGTAAATAAGTAAACTAATTTTATATTAAGGTTTAGGTAATTTAATTATAAAAGGCTTAAGCTTAAAAGCTAAAAAATATTATAATTAAATTAGTTAGCTAAATATTTTAGTAAATAAAATATATATACATGCTAAGTAGCCCTGCACTTAATATTTATTAAATATATTAAAGTTATATTACTAGCCTTTAACTTTTAAGGCTTAAATTAATTATAGTTAAAAAACTTTTTAAATAAGATTTTACCTAGTATTTTAATATAAAAAATTATTATATATATTAAACTTAGTAAAAAGTCCTTTTTTAATATATTTAAAATTATTTTATTAATAATTATCCCTTATACCTTGTAAATAGTAATAATATATATAAAAGTTAAAAAAACTAGGTATAATAATAGGTTATATTTACCCTAGTAAACTTTTACTTTAAAAAATAAATAAGTATAATATAATCCTTATTATTAATAATAATACCTAGCTTAATATATTTATTAAACTTAATATAAATAATACCCGGGAGATTTATACATAAATTAAAGTTAGGTAACTAATTAATATTAATAATAATACCTAAAGATTTATTTATTAGGCTACCTTTAATTTAATAATTTTTTACTAATATAACACGGGCGCCTATATAAAAATATAAAGTAAAATATAGATTACTTATATTTTTAATTAATATAGTTTTTGTATTTTTACTCTTATATATAATATTAATAATTAAAATTATATAGTTTAAATCCTATAACATGTTATAATTTTAGGTAAAAACCTAAGTTTTTTTATAATATATATATAATATATTTTTAAAACTATTCTTACCGCTATAAATTAATTATATATATAATAAAAAAAGTTTTTAATTATTCCTTATTACCTTATTATAATAAAAATTTTATAAAGTAATTTTAAAGGCTTTTGCATGTAAATTACTTTTATTTTATTATTAAATAATATTAAGCTTAATAATAATATTAAATAAATAATATAAATAGCGTGCGTGAACCTTATTAATATTTTTTAATAGCTAATTATAAAATAATAACCGCTGTATAATAAGTAGTAATTAATAAAAAATTTTTATAAAAATAAGACTAATTTTTTTAAAGTTATTATTAATAGTAGGAAATACTTTATAATAGCGCTAATTAATTTACTACATGCATGGTAACCCAAGTATAAACTTTTTATTAATAATAAAATAATATATATTAAAAAAAAGACTTTAAAGCGCGCGCAAGTTTTATAAATTTAATACTTAATATTTTTACTAAATACTAACTAAAAAATAAAAAAGTATATATAAAATATACCTTAATATAGTATTTATAGCAACTTTAGTTAAAGTAGTATAAATAATTAATATTTTTTAGTTAGTAGCTATAACTATATTTTATAAATATATAAATATTAATTTAATAGTATGTGTTTTACTAGTTTTTACCTAATTATTTAAGTTAACTTAAATAAAGCGCGGAAAGTTACTAGTAAAAATAAATTAATAATACTTAATTATAAAGTTATATAGGTGCCGCTGCTTAACCTTTAATTTCTTAATTAATATTTTAAAATATAATAATATAATAATTAAAAATATTATTTTAATATTATCCTATTATTCGCGTTTTATTATAATTTTAGGATACTTATTAATATAGGTATTTTAGTTATAAAAGTAATTAATATTATAATTTTTAAGTAAATTAAGATTTTTAAGGCATGTAAAATTATTTTTTAAAAGTTATATAATAAGCTTAACCCATACTTTTTACTTTTTTTTATTTATTTACTTAAAATTATTATTATTATTTTTATTTAAAGCTAAAGTAGTAAAAATATAATAAAAATTATTTAAATAATTATGTGTTTCCTGGCAAATAATATATATATTATAAAAAGTTAAATACTTAACACCTTTAATAATTTTTAAACTATTAATATTTTAAAACTAGTGGTAAAGCATTAGCTTTACACATGCTAAATTTTTAATTTAATTAATAAAATACTTTAAAAAGTAATTTAAAACACGCGCCTTTTTTTAATATTAAAAATATATTTTAGCTATACTCCTGTACTTATAATTTAAAAAAAAATTTAAAAAAGTAATGTTTTTATACTTATTTAAATACTATTTATATTTAGTAAAAAAAAGGCCTTTTTTAAGAGTATTATTAGCCTTTAAATTATTATTATTAGCCTAATTAATAATAAATAACTATTTTTATTATTCCTTTAAATAATAATTAATATAAGTAACTATTTATAACCCCTGTATTAAAAGTAAATAAAGTAAAAAATAATAAATTTTTTACACTAACTAATCCTGCTTAAAAATTAACTTATTTATTAATTTTATTATAGTAAAAAAAAGGGGATTATTTAGGTTTAAATATAAAATTAACTTTATTATTATATTCTTATATAACATGGTCTTTATTTTTACTTTTATAATATATTTAATAATATAATTTATTACTACACAAGTGCTTGTGTAGGGTGCTATATTTATATTTATTAACTAACTTATAAATATTAACTAGTTATAGTAATTTAAATATAAATTATTATATTTAAAATATAATTAATAATAAAATATTTAAAAAGGCTTAGCTAAAGATGTATTTTTAGCATGTAATATAAAATAATAAAAATAGTAATAAACCTTTTTAAATCTTTTTTATCTTTTAAGGTAGTACGCTTTAAAGCACTAGTGTTTTTATATATAATTTAAAATTATTAATAAATAAGTAACTATATTATACTAATTTTTTAAAAATAAAAATATTATAAAATACTTATTTACTAGGTTAAACTCCCGCCTAGGCTTTAAATTAAGTATAAATATATAAATACCCTAAAACTTTATAAATATATTTTATGCTTTAAAAAAATATATTTTATTTTAAAAAAAAAATATTAATAGCAAGAGTTAGATTAACCTAGTATAATTTATGTAAATATATTAATTTATAACCTTGTTATTTAAAATAAAATTATTTATTATTAATTTTAAACTTAAGTTTTAAAATAATTTTTTTAAATATTTTAAAACACAACTAAAAATAGTAAAAAATAATATAAAGGTTTTTATATAAATTATCACGTGTAATCTTAATTTATTTAGCTAATAATTTTTAATACTACTTTTTAAAGTAAGAAAGGTACTGTATTAAATTATACTAGTAAAAATTTGTAATAAATAATATTATAAATAAATATAATATACCTAAATTTAATATAAAAAACTTAATTTACCTGTGCTTTCCTATTTAAAATAAATAAGTACCTTTTAAATTATTAAAAAATTAGGTAATTAAGTTTAATAAGATAGTAAAATTAGGATTATTATTTTAAAAAGTAGCTTAAATATTTTTAATAGTAATATTTACATGCGTACCAGCCTTTTAATAAATATAAAAACCCGCTTAAGTATTTACTTATTTTTTTATAATTATATTAAATATTATAAATTAAAAATAGGGATATTTTGTAAAGCACTTATTATAGTACTTTATTAAATACTTAATATAATTATTATAAGCTACTTGCCTATTTTTAAACAAGGTAAATTTAGCTTTACCTTAAAAAAATAAAATAAAAAAAGTGCAGGCTAAAAAAGCAGTACTATAATTAAATTTTAATAATAAAGTGCTTTAAAATAAAGGTATATTAAAATATAAAATACTAGGGCTAAAACTATAAGTAATTAAACTAAAAAATTAAGTATTTACTTATTATTAAATTTTTATTAATTTTATATTCTTTACTATAAGATTAGGTACTATAGTAACTTTTAGTAAAAGCTTTTTATTTTTATTTAAATTTTTAAAATTAAATTTATTAGTATTAAGGTCCTGTATTATTATATTATTAGTAATATATATATTTATAGGTAATATAACTAAAGCTTTAGTATTAATTTAAATATTTTAATACCAGGAATAGTGGGTATATAAATAAAAAAGCTATATTTAAATATACTTTTAATAAACACGGAAATCGCGCTTATACTAGTAATAAAAATAAGGGTTATTTTTTATATTAAATAAATAAAAAAAAATAATATTTACTTTATATAATAATAAAAAAAGGGTATTATACACGCGGTTAATATTTTAAAAAAAATAAATAATATAGCTATAATATTTATACTACTAGCCATATACCTATATTACTTATACATGTATATATACCTTTACTATTAATATTTTTTTAATTTATATTAAATTAGGAAGTAGGGGTTATAATATAGGTATTAAGCCTAAATTAAAATAATTAATATTATTAAATAATTATATATTTTTATTTTAATTTTTTATTTTATAATACTTGCAAATACCTTTTATTAAGTATATTTTAAATTAATACTTATTATAATTACTATATTACTTTATATATTTATTAGCAAGGGCGGTTTAAAAACTTATAAAATATTTATTATTAAATATAAAAAAAGCTGGCCTAGCTAGTAGCTTGGGATCCTAAATATTAATAATAAGGTTTATTATAATAGCAGGTTTAATTTTAAATTTAAGTTTATATTTAGGTTTAGGTAAGGTATTACATGGTATACTAAATATACTTAAAGTATTTATAATAAATACTTTAAATTAAATAAACTTGTGCTAAAACAAGGGCGTTTATATAAGTATTAAAAATAAAAAAAAACCTAGTATTAAACTAATTAAAAAAAAAGTTATTTACGCAGGTGCTAAAAATAAAAAAAAATTAATATTAAAGTAAAGGGTCCTAGTATTAAAGTAATTAAAAAAAAAGTTATTAATAAAAAAACTAGTAAAGAAATCCTAGTTAGTAAAGCCATGCCTTTATTATTTATACTTATAAAAATTATTAATTAAAATAATATAAAAGTAGTTAAATAAGCTTTTTTAGCATGATTAATAACTTTATATTTTTTATAAATAGTTACTTACTTTTTATAAGCTAAAGCTATTAATTTTATATTTAAACTATAAATACCTTAATAATAAAAAATAAAAAAAACTTATAAATAGCTAGCTGCCTGTAAAGCAACTTATTAAATAAAAATTATATAATTTAATAAGGTAGTAATTAATATTATAAAATTTAAATAGGTAATAGCTAAAAAATTAGGCAAAGTAGCCTTAATATTATTATATTTTATTATTATTAATATAAACTAAAGTACTAAAGCAGGTTTACTAGTTATATTTAATTAAGCTTTTATAAGCTACTAAAAAATAAATAAATAAGGTTAGTATTTATAATTATTAAATAATAAATATATATATAATTTACTTAACTATATTTTAATAATTTTAGTATTAAGTAGTTAGCTTTAATATATACCTAGCTAAAATAAACTTTAATATAAGCTTAAAGTTACTGTAGTATAAGTAGCTTTTATTAATTAAAATAATAAAAGGTAAAGTAGCAGGAGGCTTTATAATAAAAAATACTTACTTATAAAGGTATAAAAAATGCGTATATTAATAAAATATAATAATAAAAAAGGTTAGTTAATAATAATAATATTATAAAAAAAGGTGTAAATAGCGGGGTTATAGTAGTAAGCTTTTAAAAGTAAATATTATATATAAAAGTAAAGCTATTTTAAAGCAAAAAGGTATAGGTTTATATAATACTACTTTAGCTTTAAGTAGCTATTTATAAAATTAATTAAAAAAGGGGCAATTAATTAAAAACGGCAGAGCTTGCTTAGTCAAAATTTGCCAACCTAGTCATTCCCGGGGAACTAACTTTTAAATTGCAGTCCTAAAGTACTGCAAAAAATCATAAGTCCTTTTCGAGCACAGGGGAAGCGAGCTTTAGATTCTGGCTACACAGCGGCAGCAGGTGCAAGGGTAAACATGGGAAGAAACGATATGTAGTACATTCAATCATTGTCCAAAGCAGACCCACAAAACGAAACCATGTACCCTAAGCTGAAGTCCACCTAGCTTGTAACGGAATGACCTACTCATCTCACCAGCTTGCACTACAATACATATCTCCGGCGTCAGTTACCAGAAGATGACCTCGTTACCACCCTTCGGCACAGAGATGCCAACCTGCTTAGCATCAGACGTAGATAGCTTCCGCGCTGACCGGCGCACTAAACTCCGACATCATTCCCCTTCCCTCCACCAACAGCGGCCTCAGTGGCATGGATATTATCAGTTGCATAGTCATTCCCCTTACCACCACCAACAGACCGAGACGTCGGTTCATTGTAGCCCTTCACTCCACCGACACCGGCCTCCGCACCAGATTGAGTGGCGTCCGCGCTGACAGGAACGCTGACCGAGCCAGATGCTCCACCGGCCCCCTGGGTATAAGCACCTGCATCAGATCCATCGCTGGAGAGGGAAGCTTCTCCCTTGGGCGTCGCAACCGCGATGTCCTCAGCGAGTGCGGATGTGGTGGCATCCTTGCCGTCGGATGCAACCATCTTAATAGCCGCGAATTCATCATCGACAGGAGCCTCGTTGTATCCCAAGCGCCCACGTGTGCGGAGCTTTGTCCAGGCAGAATCATCGGTCGAGGAGTCGGCGGGGGTGTCGACGCCGGAGAGGTACCTAGGGTAGTTAGTTGTTAGCCAGCTGGGCGAGGCCTTGACGTAGAAGCATAGGGCAGGGTAAGACATACTCGGATCCCAGGTCGTGAGCGTCGCCTCGGGCCTGGAACTTGCTCCAGACACCGGCGTTCTCGCTCTCTGCTTGCTCGCTGTGAGCATACTGTTAGCTACCATACCGTATGCACACGTAGACAACGGCAGACACAGTCGAAACAGGACGAAACATACTATGTCTGCGCGGCGTTGTTCAGTGCATCGACGACGCTGTTTGAAGTCTGCTGGATTCTGCTGACTGAGTCGCTGAGCGAGGTGAAGAGTTGGGATAAGGATTGCTGAGCGTAGGATTAGCTTAGGTGTGGATCAACGACATGGGAACAGGCTGATGTTCGCACCTGCGCGCTGCCGCTGAAGCTCCCTGCCACGGCATTGAAATCCGATGAAAGGCTGCCGAATTGGCTTGAGGTACTCTGCGCAAAGGACTGCACGCTGTTGGCGAGGGCCTGGAGCTGCGCGTAATCCACCTGGATCTGCGGGGAGGGAACGGGGGCAGAGGCCGCGAGGGCCGCGAGGAGAGAGGCGGAGAGGGCTTTTGTGAGCTGCATTCTCAGTGTTGCTAGGGAGATTGCTAGGGAGATCGCGAGGGTGATCGAGAGAAGTTGATGATGATGTTGTTGATGGTACCTATCACTACAGAACCACAACTTCAAACCCTAATATTTATACCCCAGCACTAGGGGTAGAACCCAATCCACAAGGCCATCCGCCCCCAATACCAAGAGCAAATACATCTAAGCAGGAAGTATATTTAGCGCTCGCTATACGAACTCACGCTCAGGCTGCGCCTTTGGTGTTTCAACCCCTGTGACGCCGTCTTGGCTGCAGCGCAAAGCCGCTGCCTGCATCCGTGACTGGCCACGACCTCGTATTCCCCTGGGGCTGAGCGAGCCTCGCGCGCTAAACTGCGCGAGCACCCAATCTTGATCGTAAGCTCAGGCCATGGCTATAAATGAGAAATAAAAACTGGTGCTTACTGGTATGCATGCACTCAGCTTCGGGCGCAGCCGCCCAGGGACGGAACTGAAAATAGCCCTAGATGGTGGTTTTGGTACATCAATGGGCTCGATATTTGTCATCGCAACATTCAGCGCGCGACGGAGTAGAGAACAGGAGCTAGAGCCTTGCCTGGGGTGCTGAATAGGCGGCAGAACCTGGGCGGAGCTCGTTATTCGGGGGATAGTTGTGATGATGGGGCCCACCCACGAAGCCCTAGACCTCGGGATTGGGGTTAGTAGACAGCTTTAGGCATTTTCCCATGCAAAACCTCGTCAAAGTCCAATCTTCATTGGTATGTGCATCTACTGTGGTCTCATCCTTCCCAACATTCTAGAGGTCATTTTCAATTGAGCCCTCGTAGCCGCAAGGTGCATCGTACCGTAGAAGCGAATATTCAGCCCTGGAGTGCAAAGAGTGTACCATGATCAAAACACTAACACTCATTATTCATTAAGACATTCGTATCTAGCCATATATAACAGATCATCATAAAACATCAAAAGCCACCAAAGAACCAGACCTCCAAAATCAGCAGCAACAGCAATCATCATCATTCCCATTCCCACCCCCACAGCAGTCACCGCAACAATCATCACAACCACACCCACCGCAGCAGTCATCATCATCATTCCTCCCCCGATCCGGCGTCATCGACTCAGGGGACCTATACGGCTGCTGCTCCTCATACCCACCATTCCCCGCATAGGGCGAGTTATCATACTCATTCCCATGCTCGGAGCTCTGATACCCATTGCCATTATCTTCATCGTCCGACGGGTACCGCCCATCATCACTCGACTCTTCCTCCTGCTGCCGCTCAGCTTCAGCCTCAGCCTCGGCTTCAGCCTGCAGTCTCATCCTCTCCTCCTCCTCCCACCTCTCCCTCTCCCACGCAACCCCGGCAGCAGCACCCGCAGCCGCACCCAGCGCCGCCCCCGCCGCAACACCAGCAAGCGCCTTATTCCGATCCCTGCGTTCCTCCTCCGCCCGAGCTTCAGCTTCTTGCTGCTGATACCACATCGCCCGCTCATACTCAAACTGCCGCTGGCCCTCGACGCGCCGCATCTCGGCCATTTCGGCGCCCATGGCCGCGCGGTCACGCGCGTACTGCGCGTTCAGGGCCGCCTGCTGCTTCTCGAAGTGCTTTGCTTGCTCGGCGGCGCGCTTGTCGAATTCTTTTTGTTGCTGGGCCGAGTGTGCGTGTAGGGCTTTGTGCTGCGCGGCGAATTGTTTCGCGTTCGCGGCGTTTTGTTTTTGGGTGGCTTTTGATTGGGCTTGCAGGGTTTTGTTCGTTGAGGAGATTTGGGCGCTGTGTTGCTTTAGTTGGTGACTGTGCTGCTGTTGGGTTTGCTGGAGGTGTGAGAGGTGGCGCGTTTGTGCTGGGGCGGAGTGCGCGTGGGGGAGGGAGTGAGGGCGTGATGAGCCGTGGCCGCCTCGGGGCATTTGCTGCGAGGGGTGGTAGGACATCTGGGGTGGTGCGCGCGGTTGAGATGGACCGGGTCGGAGGTGCGCTGGGACTGGAGGGTGAGGGTGAGGGTGGCCTCCGGGGCGGGCGACGGGCTGGGAGTGCGAGCGGCCGTGAGGCTGGGGGACGGCTTTGCGGCGGGGTGCGGACATCTCGATTCAATTTGGATTAGAAAATGGAGAGTATCAACGATTAGCTAGATGGCAGTGGTTGTTGGCTGGAATAGGACGGTCGGATTGAAGTGAGAAAGGGGACTGCGATATCTTATAATCCCCATCCCCCTCTGCTCAGGGTCCATGTCCAGCTTATCACAACAACCCTAGACCCTGCTTAGCTGATTTGCTTACCGAACAAACTAAGCACGGCACAGCCTTTGGTCAGCATCCAATTTTGTACTTTAATCGGCCCCAGCTTACAAAACGTGTCTCGCCCCCAAATCAAATGCATTTCGTGTCCGAGCGCTGCCCTAATCCGGAAATCAACGAGGCTACGAAGCAAACCCAAGCTTGCGCCAAAGGCTGGCCCTTGGCGCCTTCCCTTCCTTGAGCTCTACCGTAAGCGGCCCTATAATTAACCATTCCCTTGAGTTGTATCAAAGTATGATTCGCCGGTGGTATGCAGGGTGGACGGAACGTGCTGTCTAGACCCTGCCGTCAGGGTCGGTGCTGGGGCTGAGTTTGCGGCGAAAGGCTGAAGAACCGGAAACACACGTACTCTGAACTCCGGAGTGCTTTGAACCCTGACATCGCTCGGATTCATGCCTGGATGCGGAATAGGCTGATTTTTCCGTATTCCTGCGGCCCTCTCGTAGCCGTTCGCATGGATGGATGCACGCGTCACTCCATTCCTCCTCGATGCGACGACGAGGCTGAGCCTAAGCTATCACTAGCTGTGAAGAGCCCGACACGATGAATCTGGATGGCCTCCGCTTGTTGCCAGCTGCCAATCGGACTTCGGTCGGGGAACGTACGATATGCATTCATATGGCACTCTGCGTCCATTGGCCCGAGGTGCCGGGCTCTTCCTTCAAGCCGCCTTTTTCCCATTCCCGCTGGAAATTGATTCCCTCAATCCTTAGCGAGCCTGGCAGGATTTGCTGTCCGAGTTTCAAGCCTTGTGCGGCTGGTTCTCTCTTCTACTCCGGCTATTTTTGGCTGCAGAGGGCCCGCAGCCTTGTTTGTCTGGCTTGTCCCGCCAATCGATGGATCAACTCAGCCTTGTCCTACCATACTATAGCCATAGTGCGGCAGTCATGTGGCGATTGGAGAATATCGAATTCATTACAGTTTCCCCAGCTGGAATATTCAATATCCTCCACTTCGGCCGAGTAGATACCCACTACCGTTATTGCATCTGCATGGTGGCGGTGCGTGGCAGTGGTATGGTAGTCTGAAAGAAATCATTGCAAATTGAGTAGAGATGTCTTTTCTCTAATCAGCCAATCTAATATAACTACAAAAGCCGCCGCCTCGGCGGCACTCTGATTGCAGGGCGAAAGGAGCTCCAGACATATGCCCTGCAAGCCTACGTCCCATGCTCATACCCACTCCTCGCCCTCAGCCCAGGGCCCTGATAAAAGAAAACCCACGGAATCGGCGCCATGCCCGCCGCCAAAAACCCCAACAGACTGGTCGCCCAGCCCACCCCAAGAACGCCATACATCTGCGGGACGAACAGCGGAAACGCCGTGGAGAGCATATACCGCGTCAAACTCGACGCACCGCTCGCGCTCGCACCATACTTCGACCCGTACACGTCGAGCATGTAGAAGTTGCACGGGATGTAGATGAGCATGCTGCCGAGAAACGTGAGGCCCTGCGCGATGATGGGGACGATCCAGTGGATGGTTGGGTTGGCGGTCCACGCGAATAGGAAGAGGCCCGTGGGCAGGATGAGGGAACCGAACATGGCTGTGTAGAGCTTTAGCTCTGGGGGCGAGGAGCCGCCGCCTTCGGTTGAGTTGTTGCGGACGCGCAGGGTGGGGTGAGTCTGGACGAGTCTGTCGACGGTGAAGAGGACGACTGGCGCGCAGATACAGCCCGCCACCATGCCGAGGAAGGAGAGGCCTTGTGCTGAGGGTGAGAAATTATAGACGGACCCGAAAACGCGCGGGCTCGCGACGACGAATGTATACAGGAGCGCGAACTGGAAGCCGCAGTATAGGCAGATGAAGCCAACCAGGGGTTCGGTGAAAAGCATATGCAGCGGGCGGATGATGGTGGAGGTGATGAACTCCTTAAAGAGCGTTGTGGCCGTTTGCCGTCGGACCGGGATGCCATCACCCAGTATCTTCTCGGCACGTTTACGCAATAGGATGGGCTTGTATGATTCCCGGATGAAGAGGGCGGGCGGGTGCACGATCGCCGCCATGATGAGCGGTGTCCAGGCTGTCCAGCGCCAGCCTTTCTGTTCCACCACGAACGAGCCGATCAGCGGGCCCATGGAGCTCCCGATCGTGGGCACGGCGTAGTATATCCCCAGCGGGATGACTCGGGCCTCCGGGTGCGTGTAGTCTGTGATCGTTGCCGCTGCGACGGAGACACCGGGTGCGGCGAAGAGACCAGCAATAAAGCGACAGATGATGAGACTGGCGATGCCCTGGGAAGCGCCGACGCCGATGGTGAAGAGGTCGACCATGGGGAGGGTGAGGAGGTAGACGAACTTGCGGCCGAAGGTTTCGGATAGGGGGCTGGAGATCATGGGCCCGAATGCGAGGCCCAGGGAGTATGCGGAGAGGGGGAGGAGGGAGACGGTGGTCGAGACGTCGAATGCGTGTTTGACTTGTTCATGGCCGGACGAGTAGATGGAGGCGTTGACGGTCGTTGCGAACCCGATGAGGCCGATGACGATTGTGGTGAGGGTCTTTCGCAGGGTCGACCAGTTGCGCGGATTGCCGGGGTCGTCGTCGCTGTCCCATTCTTGGAGGCGGCGTTGGCGTTCGTTCTCTTCGTCTGTGATGTCGAATTGCATCATCTTGACATATAAACTGAAGAGACCAGCCGATAGCTGTAGGGGACACGGCCATGGTAGATAAAGTGATAGAAGCTCGGCTATAGCTGCTGCCCTTAACCGAGATCGCGCCAACAACGCCAGGAATCTGTCAGGGAGTCATCCAATTGGAGCAGAGATGCTAAGCATTGCAGCCCTATGTGTCAACTCTCAGGGCGTACCGTCCGGAATCTCCCGGTGCGCTCTGGCTCTGGGGGACGTCAAGGGTCTGCGGGGCCGATCCTGCTGGATAAATATCCGTCTGTGACTCACCAGGCCTGTCTACAAGGAAGTACGTGATCTGCGCTTTACTTCTTGGGTACGTGGTGTCCGACTCCCGGGCCCTTCAACCATTGACTATCACACGGTCACACCGCATCTCGATCACCCCGTATCCACTCACCTCGCTCACCTCGCTCACCTCATCCCCCCATTACCCAATATGGTACTCTCTCACGCCAAGATCATGTTTCGCAAGCTCCGTGGTAATGCAGGTGGCAGCCGCAGCAGCGAGCCCGCACCATCAGCACCGGCCACGACAGCAGAGAGCGAACCCGTTGACCCCCCTCGCGCCATCCACATCAGCGACGTCAAGCGCTCACCCACCAAAATCCCCCGCAAGCCCGGTATTGAGCCACAATGCATAACCGTCATGATCGCGAACGCCAAAGGCGCCGCCGACTGTTGGCATCTCTGGAATGTACGTACTGGCGCAACAAGCCCCCGTAGCCCTACACCCGGCCGAGCTCACCGCGCGATCCACTAGCTATTCTCTCGAGAGACAGGATGCGGCTGGGAATTCGACCCGACACTGGAAGACAGCGGGACAGATTACCTGTGCGACGGTTTCGTCTACGCCGTCCGCTTCCAGCCCCCGCCCACCGGCCCTTATGCTATCACAGCTATCCTCGAGCTCATGCAGCATGTCTTCCTTGTCTTCTCGTACGACGCGTCGTCGAGGGAATCGTGGGATGAAATGGTTACCGCCTATGAGAAAGTGCGCAGCCGCTGCGACGGGGTCCTCCCCTTTCTTAAGACAATGATCGCCGCCATGGGTGAGGGGGAAGGTGAAGGTGAATGCGCCGTGTCCCACGCCGAAGCCGAGGCGTTTGCAACCCAGAATGACTGTCTCTTTGCCAAGTTCTCGCCCGGAGCTGGGCGCGGCATTTGCGATGCGGTCGGCTCGCTGGTTGAGCTGGCGCACGGCGCTCGTGGCCAGTTTACCATGGATAAGGAGGGGCTTCCCCAGAGAGAAAAGAGGGCGAGGGCAATGCAGACACTGTTTCCTAGCTAGGGATGCTCAGGTCAAGACTGCCAGGGTGGCATCTTATGGATGGATGTGAGACTGTAGCCAAGGTGGTTGGCAAATACAGCAAATGGGACGCTGCTATAGTCTATGGTATGGTACCTAAGTCGCCGGTCTTGCATCTCGACTCAACCCGTGATGAGCCCGTGTCTGCCCACTAGATACTGTGCCATCTCTACCCACTCCTCTTCCAAGAACCCATTGCCGAGGGGTTGTAGATATCGAGCTTGCACTGATAGGTATAATCAGAAAGGCGTGAAACGTGAAACAAATGAATACCATTAGCGACTCGGACCTGACACAGCCCTAATCACTTAGGTGCCGCTCCCTTTAAGACAACTTTTTCTCAGTAAACATTTTAAACCTCTTGTTGGATTTTCTTACCGCCAGTACCAACTAACAAATCTTGAAGAGAGCTCCTACGAACGTTATACCAGGTTAATATACACATTTTCAAAGCACCTACAACAACCAACGGCTTCTTGGACCTTAATCAGGTCTCCTTTGTTACAAGACCACGTATGATTAGGGCTTCGTGGAACAGTGGTATCGCCTAGGGCAGTTAATGCTCGCTGAACTGGAGCCCTAACCAAGCCTTCGTCCAAATATAATCACCCGAGCACCGTCTTGATTTCTAAGTCACCACAGAGCCTATAGTACCTATTTTCATAGCCCAACACTGAGTCTGTCGTTTCTTTAAGACGCAGTCGTCGCCCTACCATGAAATGATATATAAAAACAGAACCACATGTTATAATATCCCTAGCCACCCATCAGCATCATCCCAAGTAGTATCTGCGCGTGAACGAACCATACCATATAGTAGGTAAAACGCGATGCGGATTCCAAGCCCAACTACCATAGCATTCCACTAGAAATATCAAGAACAAGCCACAGCCTTCGCAAGCCTCATCCCCTTCAACCGCCGATACGAGAACCAGCAAGCGACATGCAAACTCGGCTGCGTCCTCCGAATCGAAGACGCAACGCACCTCTCCTTCACGATCCAAAACTTCCGTCCGGTGATATCCTCCGCCATCGCGGCTCCAACCGCTGAAATCCACAGCGTTGCCTCGGGCGCATGCTCGAGCCAGGATCCGCGCTCCGTGCCGCCCATGGCCTCGGCCAGTGCGCGGCGATACCACGACATTTGCTCCTCGGACCACGCCACCCGGTCGTCTAGGAGGTACGCTACTATTGTTGCGGATATCGAGCACGTTTTGAATAGCGCGAGCTCGGATGCGGAGAGTGCGGATTCATTCTGCTGCGTGTCGAGGGGGAGGAGCGGGTCGGATCGATGGGACCAGAATCGGTCTAGCAGGCATCGCAGGCGCTGGGAGCTGGCGGTGTTGAAGTTGCTGGTCATCGTGGCCGTGGCCGTGGCCGTGCTATATTGTTCGTCGCTACAGGCTTCAGCTTCGTGGAGGAGCTGCTGGATGTCTTGGAACAGGCCGCGCAAGTAGAGCCGGACGACTTCGTTTCGAGATTTCTCTGATCCGTCCAGGATCAACGAGATGGTGTAGGCCGGCGAGGTTGCGACGTGGTCCCATTCTGGAACGGGGAAGGGGTCGGGGTAGTCGAATACGATCCAGAGAAAGACCATGGCACTAACAAGTCAATGTCAGGTGGCGTTTCACAATGCAAGGAGCAGACACGCATACTTCTGGATCATTTCAGCCAGATACCCCTCGAAGCCGAGCTTGTTGAGCCCGCCGCGGGATGCGACCATTCTCACTAGGCCGTGTTGGTGGATCTCTGACGTCTCGCGGTCGAATTGGAGGGGCTGTAGCAGCGTGGTGGTATTGTTAGTTTCAACAGTATACTTCAGCCGGGGCATCTTACACCATGCAAAGCAAGTAGGAGAACAGATGCAACTGTGGCATCGTCGAGGTTGTTACTCGAGGTGGCCAGCCTATGTCTCACCAGCCTCACTGTGTTAACCTGGTGGTAGAGGGTGGCGTAGTTTGGTTCCTCGATGCCCGTCAGAGCGTCGAGTTGCACGGAGGCTGAAAAGAGCGTTGCGTGGAATAGACATGGGTCGCTGAGCGCAGAGCTGATCCAGGAGGAGCGCATGAATGTTGCGAGCGTGGATCTGTCGACCTTGTATGAAAGTAGGCCCATTTTATCTTGGACTACTCAGCGAAGATGGTTAAATTATCTTCTCCTGCCGTTGGTTTAGTTGGAATGGGGCGTACAGAAGCGTAACAAGGCTGGAAAGTGATCATGGTATTCGACTGGATATCGGGGTCTGTAGGTGGGAGACTTGGTGTTGAGGGTAACGGAGAAGGCATGGGGCGTGCGCAGGAGCTCGAGGCCGGGGAGGTCGTCGTAGACGCAGATATCGCCGAGGCTGGTACCGTTCAGAATCAACAATCGCTTAGAAGATGGAATTGGCTGCAAATACCTTGTACATCTGGTGCAATTTGGCTGGACCTTGTCGCACCGTTTCTTGTCATGTCTGCAGGAGTCACAGGCCCTTAGTGGGTTCAGTGGATGGTGGTCAGAGGACACGGCACTGAACGCAAAATGGTTCCTATTGCCCAGTATAAATAACGAGACCCAACATTGGCCAGGGAAAGTGGTATGGGGTACACCCTGCGTTTAGTGCCTCGCTACTTGTATCGGTAATCGGCACGACTTTTCCGTAGAGACCAAGCGAACGATTGCCGTAAAGACATTGATGATTGGACCTTCATGAGATAAGCATGCAGAAAGGCCTCAGACAGAAAAAGCCTCACCGTTGACATCTTGAGCACGATGGCACGCGCTTGTCACATTTCCGCTTTTTTGCCCTGCAGGCAAGACACGACTGGGTGGTGTATTTTAGGAACACAGGTGGCGCCATAGGGACTTGAATCACAGCGGAGTGTACGGTTATTGGTATTTGAGATCTCGATCCAGGGTCCAGAGAGGGGTATCATGCAGCAAAAAGGATGGACCCTGTCAGCATCGAGAGGTTTTTCACAGTGCACACCAAGCCCTCAGCCTCCTCACGTGCCAACGACCCACTGGGACTAACTGAAGTGACTTGGGGCTCCGTATTGACTTGGGGTTGGACCAATCAATGCTTCACAACATGTACGCTAGCGGAGTGTCTCCGAGAGCGGCTCGGACCCCAGACTGTTTCTGGAAAGCTGAAGACAGGATTATGGGGCAGCTGAAAGTCTACTAACCATAAGGCCACCTATGCGCCATCGAGCTTGTTGCCCGAATGCAACCCTATCTCTGACTACCCCTACTCCGTACAACAGCTGAGCCTCCGCCCACTGTAATCCCGGCAGTGAGGTTACTGGCGGGCAAATCCGTTGGCTGGATTCTATATCCAGCTCTTCGGGATTAGCTATTCTTCGAAAGAGCATTCGATCTCCGGGTGATGCGTTTCCAGCGAAAACAAAGCTACCGTAAAGAAAGGTTTCCATTGAAGGTGAGGGAAAAAGAAACAAATAGGAATTAAAGCGTAACATCCAGGTATCTCCTTACATAACAACCTCCAGCTCCCTACCCAAAACATCCCTCCACTCCCCCAGAAACGCCTCCACAAACCCAGCCTCATAAAACGCCTCGTTATAGTTACACCCCAGCAGCATCCGCCCGTCCCACGTCCAAAGATACATCTGCATCAGCCGGTTGAACATCTGCACCCCGATCCACCAATCCACAACCTCAACCTCAACGTCCCCGCCAGGACCGCTATAACCCTTCGCCAGGAACCTATCAACAACACCCACAGAGCTCAGCTCCGGCCGCGCCGCGCCGGGCATCGCCATCGCCGCGTCCAGCGGCACAGACATGAACTCGCCGATCTTGCGGTGGTAGTCCATCATGTGCGGGAACAGCGGGGATAGGTCCTCGCTGTAGAACGACGCAAGATGCGCCGCGATCGCGTTGAAGTCCGCACATTCCGCCAGATCCACGCTACACGGTTTGCCCGTGTGGTAGAGGCTCGCGCACCCATCGGCCCCGTTCCACGGCGCCGGGAGCCGGTCGCGCAGGTCGAAGGGGTTGAAGCCCATGAGTCTGCCGCCGTCGACATCGACATGGGCGCGCATTGCTTCGAACAGGGCCGCGTGGACGGTGGTCGTGACGCTTTGGCCGCGGGCTTTGCTGGCGGCGATGATGGATGCCGTGACGTCGCGGGGGAGACTGAGGGCAGCGCGGCGTGGCTTTCCGGGGGGACCGGGGGGAGAACATTCCCTAACCGAGGCCGGGGGCGATTCCGAGAACAGGACGCTGAAGACTGCGTCTGACGCGGCGCTCATCTCGGGCGTGATTTCGGGCGTGGAGATTCCGGTCACGGTGTCGAAGGGTGGTGCCAGGCGCGCGCATTCGGAGCCATCGAAGGATTCGGGTCCTACTACTTCGCCGGATGCGAGGAGCGTCAGGAACTCGTGCTGGAGCAGGATCATCCCTCTTGCGTCTGTGCGTCAGTGCGGTGAACGGAAGAGCAGCTCGTTTGAATGGGAGAGGTAATGCAGAGTCCATGCGTCAGTTGGGTCCAGGTCTGATTCCAGCGTTTCGGCGGATCGGGTTTCGTGCTGTGGGTGGGTGATGATGCTCTGCTTTGTCCATTCTTGTAGTGCTGAGGGCGAGGGGACGGTATAGTGAAAGGTTGATCCGGAGGCATCTACAACTGCTGCAATGTGCGGATGCTTGTGGCGTAGTGCGGTCCATGCGCGCTGGATGGCGGATGTAGAGATTGGGCTTTTGAGTTGCACGGCACTTGACACGAACCACTGCTGCTTATCGAGATGAGCGGCAGACGCAGCGATCGAACGGTATAGGTGCTCGGAGGTGTCAAGAGGGCGGGCGTATTGCCCTGGGCTGATCTGTTGCCATGACATGTTGGGAGGAAGGTAAATTGGACAAGGGGAGGCGAGTTGTGTCGAAGGCTTGTAGATAGCTGAGAGAAGTATCCTGGTCACCTACAATGGGCGAAACTGCTCTATTTATGATAGTTTGGGCGGGAAACGCCCTCCTCATGGCTCTAGATTGCAAGATGCAAATGCACAAGCGCCACCTGTTGTTCAGCTTCACCAAACTACCAACTCTTCAGCCGCAAATTAAGTGCAAAGGCCCATACAAGAGCATCGCCTAGCGATGAATTTCCGCCCCAATAAGACGCCATTGACATTGACACTAGCGGCAAGCCTCCGATTCTGGGGACCTGTCCCCACTCATCCATGGTACCTAGCCTACAGGCACAAGCCACGCCCAACTAGAAAATGCCATGCGAAGGGCTGCCGGTGTGGCATGTGGACATGGAAACTACTTTGCAGGCCCAGCGTGGTCTGGTAAGTGAAACAATTAGTGATCATGAAGCCGCGCGCCAATGATGAGTAGATAACAGCCAAGAAGTAAATTCTATTTTCGTCATTTGAGCACTCTTAGTAACAAAGTGACATCTCAATATTTCATGAGCACCATAGTGACATTCGGTACAAATCATATCATGCCCTATAATCAGCTATCCCGCACCCCTCCCTCTACTGGCACATACTTACTCCTCGATCTCAAATACGCCCCATACCTCATAAACACCCACGGCAGGGGAACAAGCACCAGCGAGACAAAGCCCAAAAGTGAAATAGACCAGTCGATCCCCAGGGCCTCCATCGCCTGTTCCCAGAACAAGGGCGTAGCCGCCGACAGCAAATAGCGCAGCATCACCTCGCCCGCAAATGCGGACGCCCCGTACTCGGCGCCGTAGATGTCGTTCTTGTAGATGTTGTAGGATAGCTGCGTGCATAGTCTAGTCAGCGTCGGGAGCGGAGGGACGACCAATACCGGGGTTGCAGTATGGTACTTACAGCGACGGTAGCGTGGCCCAGGCCAAACAGGACGCCTGAGAGAAGTGGGACGGCGCAGTGGATAGCTGGCCTTGCGGTCCACGCGAGCCTGGATGTCAATTAAGATCAGCCTGTCGCTCTTTCTAATCGGGCAGACAGGGGAGGGTGTATCTACCAGAATATCGAGACCGGGATAGTGAGACCCCCCACGCAGGCAGCATGGAGTCTAAGCTCGGGCTCGACTTTGGCGCTGGTGGCCAGCGCGGCCTGCCGTGCTTTCTGGTACTTGCACTTATCGCAGATCCCTATCACCACGATGCCGAGGAGGTTTCCACCTAGGATCGGGAGGAAGGCCAGGCCCTGCTCCTTCTCAAAGAACTAGTAAACGCGCGCGAAGATCACGGGATAGGCAATATACCAGCAAAAGAAAATTGCTTGGAGGATGGCGCAGGCAAGCAAGGTGGGGAACACGATTGGTTTGGTGAAGAGCATGTGGACGGGGCGGGTGAATGCAACGCGTAGTGTCTTGATGTACTCCGTGCGTGTGGTGGTAGCGGCGGTGCCTTCCCCCGTCTTCTTGTTGTGCATCTTGAGCCGGTAGGGCTGGTACGTTTCCGGGACTGGAAAGGTCAGCAGCATGATTGCGCCGAGCACGATGGCATTTAGCCAGAAGGTCCAGCGCCAGTCGCCTGTTGTCGCGACGAGCGCAGCACCGGTCGACGGCCCGATGGCTGCCGGGAGAAGATTCATCAGCGCGACAGTCAGGGCGAGCATTGTGCCGGTCTTGAACAGCGCGACGTCCCAGAGATTATTCACAATGCCGACGCTGACGGTGCCCGCGGGGGATATAGCCAGACTGGCAAGGAAGCGGCAGACAGCGAGTGTCTCAAAGTTCTTTGCGGCGCCGCCTAGTGCGGTAAAAAGGAGGGCAAGGGGGATAAAGAGGCGCATGATCCATTGTCGGCCGAAGAACTCGGAGAAGGAGGTGGTGATTGCAGGGCCAATGGTTTGGCCTAAACAGTAGATTAAGATGGGGGAGATTGCGACTGTGGTTAAAACATCAAATTAGTACATTACGCCTGGTATACTGGCCACATAAATGGAGTTGCCATAAATGCTAGACCTTAATTAGTACTGCCCTGTAGCGGGATCTTATGGGATTACCTACACTACAAAGGGTGCAATACAGGCGCCAACAACAAAAAGCAGTCGTCTGGCCCGTGGCCAGTCTCGGGGGCTGCCACAACCTTCTGTCACCTCTTTAGCCCCTTCTTTGTTAGACTAAATACTTTGGGGAGGAGTCATTGCAATGGAAGATACCCGACGTTTGGGGAGAATGTGCAAAGGCCTCAATATTCCAGGCCGCCATCCAGTACTTAAACTACTGTACAAGCCAACCGCCCGCTCGGACGGGTAAAGGCCAATCTCAACTCGGATAAGGCCGATCAAGCCCTGGTTTATGCCAGCCCAGCTGAGTCTCGAGGCTGAGGTGGATTAGGGTCGGGTCCCGCCCGCTAGTCCGACATGCAACGGCACAGACTCCAGTTTCTAATTTAGAATCCAAACAATAGAAGACTGGAAGATATTATGTATCCTTGAAGACTTGGCATACGTCTACTTAAGTCTACTTTTTTCTCCAGCCATCACCTGGACCACATGCGAAACAATGCTCTCTTATTTACATCTCTTATTTGCGCTATGCGGCTTCCTAGCCTGGGTAAGTAACTTCTATATAAACAAGCTCTGCCACTACTAATGATCCCTCTTGATAGTTAGCCGGATTATGCCTTTATTAAATCCTCCTCCATCCGCTGCGACAGCACCCCGGGCCACTGCTCGCCAAAACCACTAACTAGTACGCAGCATATTACACATGGAAAGGCATAATCCACCTAAAACTACGGCAGTTGCATAAAATACATGGTGCATCCCTATAATTTACGCAAAAAAATATACCACAACAGGGAATCTAACTTAACTTATCTAATCCAGGAAATATCGTCCGGTTCGGTCCAAATTCCATCTCAATCAACACAGCCACCGGAATGGCAACAATATACTCTGCGCGCGCGAACATGCGCAAGGCAGATACGTACTCGGTCATGAGCGCAAGCAGCCACGTCCCCAGCACAATTAACTACATCAATAAACAACAACACGCCTCCAAGCGCAAGGTTCTCGCGCGCCTCTTTACCAAGACGGCGTTAAGGGACGTGAAGGATCAAATCCTGCGCCATGTTAATACGTTCTGCGCCGGTTTAGCCGGGGAGAACTACCAGCCAGCCTGGGGCGCTCCAAAAAATATAGCGGCCTGGTCGGACTACCTTACCCTTAATATCATCAACAACCTATGCTATGGAAAGGCGTTTGGTCTGCTCCGGGAGGAAACGCATCGCTATATTCCAAATATTATTAGCTGTGTAAGCCGGCGTAATGCAATTGTACATCTGGACTTGTTTTGGATTTAGGTATAGGGTTATCTTACTAACAGGACAAAAACAGTGTTTCTTCCAGCCCAAAATCGCAAAATACAAGCTTAATCATATCTTTCTGTCGACTATATCCTCCCAGATCCAACAGTTTGGAGGATGGATCAAGCAGCAAGCGGATGCTAGAAAAGCCGCATTTGCAGGTACCACGAGCAGCACGAGCCCTGCGAGGGACTTCTTCGCACACCTATCCTCACCCCAACCCGGCAACGCAACGCAATCAGCGCCTACTCGAAAGGAAATCTGGGTTGAACTGCTGCAGCTGGTAATAGCAGGCGCCGACACAACCGCCGTCGCAATCAGCGGCGTATTCTTCCACCTGCTCCACACCCCCAGCGCACTATCCCAGACCACAGCGGAGATCCTACACACGTTCGATAGCTACAGCGATATCCGGCCCGGCGCGAAACTGCGCTCCTGCAAGTTCCTGCACGCCTGCATCAACGAGGCCCTCCGTCTCTCGCCCCCGGTCACCGGCTTAGCACCGCGCACTGTGCTGCGCGGGGGCATCGAGGTCGACGGCGTCCATTTCCCCGAGGGTACGATTGTCGGATCGCCGATCTACGCGCTGCATCGAAATTCGGCGTACTTTGCGCAGCCGGATTCGTTTGTGCCTGGGCGCTGGTTAAGCGGGGAGGGAGGAGAGGATACCTACAGTGCAGCTGGAGGTCGGGTGCCGTTCTGTCCGTTTAGTGTAGGGCCGCGATCGTGTGTTGCGAGGAGGCTGGCTATGGATGAGATTAGTGTTGCGATAGCGAGGACCCTGTTTCTTTACGAATTGCGGTTGGATGGAGAGTGGGAGGGGAAGGAGGAGTATCAGTTGAAGGGGTGGATGACTTCGAGTCGCGAGGGGCCGTTTGTGCAGTTCAGGTCTAGATAATTACTGGAAGCTCGGGACTAGAACCTTGGGAATGATTCATGGAGATTAAAAAGGTAAAAATTGTGTATGCATTCATAACTGCTAATACATCATTTTTTAACTCCTAGCTTCCCTTTTCGTGCCGGGCCTGTCCCGACTTAGGGCCCAAATGCCCTGATTGATTACGGTCATATCACAATGAATGTTTCTGTGCACCCCCTTCTTGCTCCTTCTCGAAGCGTGCCCTCTCAGGCGAGCCAATAGACACGCTGTTCCCCTGCGGACAGATTGGACTCTGGTGCACGTGAAGGCATTCCGGCAAGGGCTCGTTCGTAGCAGCAGAATTTCAACAACCATTAGATAAGTTGGAGTCGCAGAAAGACAGCAATAGTTCCACCCTTCCCAAGTATCAGGAACATTAGCGGCCCTGTTTGAAGCTGTTAGTTTTTTCTAGTAAAGTCCAAAAAAAAACACGAAATCCCACTGAAACGGTGAAATACGTACCATCGAGTGGCCGATCTCCAGCTCATACCTCTCAGTCTTTCTCTCTTCCAGGACAAGAGTGCTTCAGGTGAATAAGTCTTCTTCTCTCCGAGTCATGATGGCATAAAAGTCGCTGATCAACTTAAAAATGCAAGGATAGTGCTGTGGTAGCGCACGAATAGGCATTGGGCGAGATGCACGGTCGGGGGTCCTTACAGCTCCGGTTGCGATGCTGAGCACTGTGATAGCAACAGCGAGGGCCATATGATCAGGAGTCATTTTGATGTAGACGGTTGGATTGAGTATGAACCAGAGATGTCATGTTTCTCGCCGGGGAGAAGGAGATTCAAGTACTCAAGAGCCCTGGAGATCAGGAGTTCTGAATAGCTTCACTTTGCGCCATTCACCGGTCAATTCACCGGAGGTCTTGCGCCCGCGGTGGTAAGGACTACACAGGTGAGGGTGGCCGGGGAAGGTGTAGGTATCTATGGTCGTCACCTGCGACCTGGGTACCTGGGTGTGTGTGCCACCCGCATGCTTCAGCTTCACATTCAAAGGACTCAAATGATCAACATGCTGAAGCCAAGGACTCGAGGAGAGCCGCCTGGCAAGGGAATCGCGGGGCTTGGCCGCTCTGAAACTGAAACCTCAGCTGTTCGCTTAGGAGGATCCACACCCCCACAAAGTGCATCCAGCACTCAGCCCCCATCTCGGTCGTGGCTAGGCTGGCCGTTCGAACCGCGGGCGCAGGCCCTGCGCTAGCGGCATTTCGCCGACGCTGCGGCCGACTGCGGGCACAAAAGCAACCCTGCATCCCAAGCCTCGGACACCTTGCCTTACACAAGAAAACAGCTGCCCTGGTTATGCCCGAGAAGAAAAGAGTCGCTGTGATCGGGCTCGGGGCCTCAGGGCTCGCGGCCATGAAGAACCTGGCTGAAGAGGGCTTTGACGTGACGGGCTTTGAGCGCAGCAGCTCGATTGGCGGCGTCTGGAGCTATGAAGATACGCCGACAAAAACAACAGCTCTCAAGAGTATGTTGTGACAATGATCTGGTGGTCCTTACTGATTGTGAATGACCAGGCACATATGCAAACGGGTCAAAGTACAAGGTAAGCGCTCAGCGGTTGGAGTAAGGGTTAATGTCGCTGACGCTCGGTGGTAGATCTGCTTCACGGATTTTCCATATAGTGCTGGTATGCTTGGGACAAGTTAACACACTCCTAGTGGTCAGGTTGACCGCTGACCTGTTGGTGCATCTCCGCTTAGACACACCAGCCTTTCCGCACGCCAGTCAGGTTCACCAATACCTCAAGGACTATGCGGCACATTTCAATCTATATGGCTCAGTACATACGAACATCGACATCCTCGCCATCACACGTAACGAAGAAGATGTGTGTTGGGACTTACGCCTCCGTAAGAACACTTCCGTGGCGGCAGAGGTTGTGAAACAATTCGATCGAGTTGTCATTGCCACAGGGATCAATCAGATCCCTGTCATCCCTGAGATAGATGGGATTGAAAAGTTCCGAGGAACGGTGATCCACTCCCAGCAATTCAAGAAGTAAGTTGTTCCTAGATTGATAGACCAATCCCATATTAACATCCTAGTCCGGATGCATTCACAGGACAACGAGTACTCGTCGTCGGCCTGAATAATTCCGCTGGAGACACAGCTACAAGTCTGCTAGGGCACGCGGCGAAGATATATCTGAGTCACAGGGGCGGGACCATCTTGGTGAGTGACAGCCCAGAATATGCAGGGTAATAGCAGTGGATGAAGGCTAACCCAAAAATCTCGTTGTTAAGCTCAAACGATGGAACAAGAACAAGCCCGTCGACCACGACATCTCATGGACGCGGCTGCAGATCATGCAGAAATACATGGACTACGTCCCCAGCCTCTACAACTGGTCCGTCCTCCAGCTGCAGAACAAACTCTGCCCCGTGCTGCCAGAGTGGAAGCTCAACGACAACCTGCCCCCCTTCACCCAGCGCCTGCCCCTGATCAACGACTCCCTCGTCCCCGCAATGCACGAAGGGAAAATCATCCCCGTAGCCAACCTAGCCACAATCCTCGACGCACACACCGTCCGCCTAGCCGACGGCACCACAATCCCCGACCTCGACGCCATCATCTTCTGCACCGGGTACAGACCCGACTTTTCCATCCTGGGCGCCTACGAAGCCCAGTTCACCAGACCATATCGGGGCCACGTACCCGATGACCAGGGGTCCTCGTCCTCCCCAGCAAAGCAACTCCCGCGCTTATACCAGAACATCTTCTCGCTCGAGTACCCCGACTCACTCGCATACATCTGCGGCGTTGGATTCCAAATGCCCGTGTTCCACGTCTACGACCTGGCGACCATGGCGCTCGCGCAGGTGTGGAAGGGGGCTGCGCAATTGCCATCGGGTGAGACGATGCGCGCGCAGGCCGAGCGGCACTATGAGTGGCTGTTGGAGCGGGAGCGATGGGGCAACGGCAATACCAACGGCAATGACAACGGCACGGTGCGGAGGAGTGTGCATACCGACCTGGTGCAGGCGCCAGAGTGGTATCGGTGGGTGAATGAGACGGCGGGGACGGGGGTGTATGAGAAGTTAGGGTACGGGGCTGAGGGATGGAGGTTCTGGTGGTGGGAGCGCGAGTTCTGCGGGACGCTGATGCATGGGATGTTTAGTCCGCATACGTATAGGCTTTTTGAGGGTGGGCGGCGTAAGAGGTGGGATGGGGCGAGGGATGAGATCTTGAGGGTTGTTAGGGAGATTGAGGAGATGGGCCGGGATGGTGCTGGGGATGGTATAGGGGGGAAGATGGAGTAGGATGGTCATAGGGACGCCACATGCAGTTGGGTAGGAAAACACTGTATATTATACACTATAACAATATAAAATATACCTAGCAGCCTAGAAGAGTATTGAAAGTGCTATCCATTATGTAAGGCTTCGACTTTCCTCTTTTTCAAGCACCTAGTAATAATACAGTAGTGGATCTCCATGGAAAACATGGATTGTCTACTACCAATAGAGGCGCCCAACTCAGAACCTGAAGCGGGGAGTGGACCGCTGCTCATGGAAAGAGTGAACCGTTTGGGGTTGGAATATGAAGACAGATGGCCTCTGCGAGCAATATCTGCCCTAGACACCATAGTACCATCATCCGGTTCAGCCCTAGCCATGCGCAACCAAACCTGAGAACCTTAATCGAGCTTCCTGGGAGCCATTCCCAGGTGGAGGCAGTGTCGGGATGCTTTGGAACTATGCACATCGAGTATACATGCTAGGTCTCGTATATGTAAGGTAATGTGCAAGGCCTACTACCCTTTACTATACTAACCGCCATAATTAGTGGCATACGCTAAGTTAACAAGAGTCTATAATGCTACTGGGGGTGCAACTGGGATTTAGAAAGTTGAATAAATGCCTGCAAAGAATAATCCGTCCGAAGGGGAGTGGCACGTTGACCAATCTAGGTAGGGCTGCGGTAGAGCCCTTGGACGTCGGGTTCCAGGCAACCGGGAAATGGCCCTGGCCCACCCGTTCAGCCTTGCGGGGTAATCCTTAAGATCGACGTCAGGTGTGGCTCGTTAGGTTTTGGAAGACTTGAACGATGTAAAAAGACATGATGCCATATGGATGCTAAGACCAAAAGGTGGCGCAGCACTCGAAACAACAAAGACTGGCCGCTTGATGCCTCGAGCTAGTCCATACTAGCAGGGGTGACAGTGGCTCAGCTTAGCCCAACAGATCAGGCAGAATAATAACCGTGGGGCCAGTGCTCGATACCTAAATCAATAATAAATACGAGGTTCTACCCAGAGCTTAGCTAGTTACCATGCCCCCACTGATCCGAGTCTACTCCGAGATCTGAAAGCCGCATAGGTAGACCACGGAGTGAACTCAACAAATCACTATGGCACGCACCTATCCTCACGACAAAGCAGTCATGCAGGACCATCCACCCGCCTACACCGAAGCCACAGCGCCAGGCCGAGGCCCAGGCCCAGCTCTAGCACGCACTCCTTCATCCACGCTCTCAACCCCAGCAACCCCCTCCCTCTCAAGTACGCCGCGGTCCATCCGAAAAGGCCACGCGACCTCCTTCGCCATGCTCTCCCTCTGCGACAGCGACAAACTCCGCTTCATCCGATTCCCCGAACCCCTCACAGCCCTAGCCTCAGAAGTACTCACAGCCCTATGGCCCAAGGGAATCCAAACCGTGCAGAAATACGACGAGAGCCTCGAGTTCAAGCTGAAAGGCAACCCACTCGGCTACGGCGGCGATAAAGAGAAAATCGCCATCCGGGTAACACTCATGGGGCTGCTTGATGCGTTCGCGAAGGAGGGCTGGGTCGTTGTCCCGTCTGCAGGTGGCCGGGTCAGTCGGATGGGCGATTACAAGAGCTACGGGCAGGGCGATAGTCTGATCTTCCACCGCCAGCAGCCGCAGGTACACTCGTGGCTCTGCATATCCTTCGACAGCTCGGACTTGATTCATCTGCTTAATGCACCGACCGAGCTTGCGACTAGTCTCATTTCCTCATTCGGCGACCGCATCGAGAAATGTAACAAGGATTTTGTGTCGGGGACGTTCGAGCTGAAGGTCAGGGGAAATCCGTGGACAAGGAATAGCGGGAAGGGCGCTGTGCAGAGCCGGTTGCTGGCGTTGGATCTCATGCAGATTCTGGAAGAGCAGGGGTATAGCATGGCCACGGCGCTGGATATTGACCATGGCGATGGGGGGAGCGAGTATGAGAGTAGTGGGGAGGTGTGGTTTTGGTATCGCTGACCACCTTATCTTAACCTTTATACTTTTGATGCCTGTTCATACCTTATGTAGCCATGCAATGCGGTTCCCACCGTGATAATGCTGGATAAAACACCCTGCTTCTCCCCCGTGTGTAGAGCAACCCCCACAACCCACACACCTGCACAGCCCCCACAAGCATCAAAATCCCACACCACAGATGGACATTCACGAAACTCAGATCCTCACTTCCAGTAGACCCCAGGTCCGCCAGCACCCCCACAATCGGCGCCCCGATCAGCGTCGCGAAACTCGTCATGCTCTGCGCCATCCCGAGCCAGGCGCCCAGTGCACCGGGGTCCGGGCAAATGTACGGGAAGACGCTTGAAGGGAGGGGGCCAGTGCCCCAGGGTAAAGAGAGAGGCGTACCGTAGAACGCGGCAAAGAGTATAAAGCGCACTGGACTCGTTGCGCTGATCCAGGCCATACAGAGGATTCCGCTCGCGACGCCGGTGAGGATCCAGCCCCAGGGGATCAATGCGCCGAAGGAATGCGCTGCCGCTGTTGTCACGACTCTTCCGATTATGGAGGATGCTTGGCTGATGATGAGGATGTATAGCCCCATCGACCGGCTCAATCCGAGCTTCGTCTCTGCGTAGATAGGGATGTAGTAGAAGGGCGACATGTAGCCGAGGTAGAGCGTGAAGGTTGCAGCCGTGAAGGACCAGAAGGACGGGCTCCTTAATGCCGTCATGTCGAAGAGTTGGTATTTACGCGGTTGGATTGGGCTTGAGGCTGTTGGCTTGGAAAGCGGGGAGGATATCCATGCCATACAACCACCAGTAATAAACAGAATTAGCATGACGGAGGCGATAACCCGCACCGTCCACGCAGATCCAACCCGCGGAAGCAACTGCTCAAATACAAGCAAGGTTGTATATCACACCACCCGCCGGCGCCCCCGCAGTCGCGATCCCGAACGCCAAAGCCCGTTTCTTGACGAACCCGCGACTAACGATCGTCAACGCCGGGATGTACAGCAATCCAAACCCTAGTCCCGTGCATATCCCCTGCGAGAGTAGGATCTGATAGTACGCCGTAGACAAGGAGAGCATCATGATCCCGAAGACAGAGAGAAATGACCCGGTTGCGATGAGGGGAATGTAGTAGCCGGCGTCGAAGAGGGGGCCGGAAATCAGCCCGCCGATTATGAGGAGCCAGGACTGGAGCGTGYCGATCCAGGATACGGAGGATGGTGAGGTTGTGGGGAGGAAGTTGAGGGTGTAGAATGTTTGGAAGGAGCCGAAGGCGAAGGCTAGGCCCCTGTATTGTTGTAATGGGGTTAGTATAGGAGGTGAATTGGGTGGAAAGTGTAAAGAGGGCGGGAGGGGATACCAGATGTTGAAGAGAATGAAGAGCGTGCTCAAGACTTGAAGCCAGCTGTGGAGGCCGCCTTCTTTGGGTTCAGGTGGAGGAGGCGAGGCTGATGGGGATTCATTGACTACAGGACCCAGAGCCTTCTCAGACTCTGTCTCTGTAGAGGTTGACGACATGCTTGCTGATAGTGGGACGAGTGACTTTTACCCCATTTTAATCCTTCAGAGTATCTGAACTTTCAAAGTCCGCATCAGGAGGAGTCCGCCAGCCCTAGGATACAACCCGAAGAGTGGATGAGCAGCACAGCGTCAGGGCCTCCATATATGAATAATGCTTTGTAATGCGTGCTGATACCCGAGAATTATGTGCTTTAGGATCATACCTAGGTATTTTCTCCAACAAAGAAGACACAGCCAGTGGACGATCCCCTCAAGCACGCCAACCTCGGCCTGACACGGTTCCCCCGCCCGCACGCGGCTTTTTCTCCGCTATTGGCCTTCCTAGGGTATTCTCTTAGACCTTTGATCAGGTACGAAATATCTATCCATGGATGTATATCCCACGTCTATCTCCAGCAGCCCTTGCACCACGCGTCCATCACTACACCTCCCCCTTCCTCCTCCCAACCCCCTCATAAAACACCCTCTCCTCAAAAACCCGCACATCCTCACCCGCATGAATCCTCCCCTCCCTCTCCTCCTGAATCCTCAGCCTCCGTACCCTCAGCACATCATACTCAACGTTCCGCGTAAGCCACCACGTCCACCCATTCGTCACCCACGCCACCCCCACAACCGCCGCGCAAATCGCAAACGGCGTCTTGTACCCGTTGTATGCAAAGCGGCTCTGGAAGAGCTGCGGGCCGATCACGCCGCCGACTTGCCCGACGCATGATTGGAAGGCCAGTGTGAATGCGGACCCGGTTGTGCCTTTTAGGGAGGAGCTGCGCCCTGTGCGTCCGGAAGCCGTTAGTGCTGATGATGGAGAGAAAGGAAGTGAGATGAAGGGAGACGCACAAGCCCAGAAGGGGATAAAGTAGACGGCATAAAACATCGTCCCGAACACGCAGGCAATGTATATGCCAACCTTGTCATCAAGAACTGCCAATAGGATGAAGAAGAGCAACAGGGGGCCCATTATGACGGCCATAATATACGCCGGGCGAGTGATGTATGCCCTCTTCAGGAACCAGCCCGTGAAGACGATGGCTAGAACCGACGCTGCGGCTGGTGGGATGTTGAGCAGCTGGTTACGTGGGAGGCCAGCGAAGCCCAGACTCGTCGTGATGGTGGGCAGCTGCCAGCTCAGTGCGTATCCGGCGAAGTTAATCAGGATCTGCGATAGCATGAAGGAATACGTCCGCTGGTCCCTGAGAGCATCAATCACCTCGCCCTTGTCGAAGCTGGCGTCGCTTTCCCTGGGAGCGTTTTCCGATAGGCGTGTTTCGACGTATTCCTGCTCTCGCTCGGTAAGCCATTTCTTTGTCCGCGCGGACTTTGGCCAGTCGGGGAGAACGAGGAAGATTACGCCGGAGAAGAGGATCGTGAAGATGCCTTCGAGGAGGTACACCCTGCACAGTACGCCGGCTTGTTAGCCCGTGATCCGAACACGGCAGATTGACAGGGATGCAGGTGCATGTGGACTGGACGCACCATCGCCAGGCACTTAAGCCTCGCATCCCATTCATGTATGCGATACCGTATGTTAGAAGCGACCCGATGATCCCTGAGGTATTCTGGAACCCAAACATCCACATAATTGGCGTCCCCATCTCATCGCTGCGATACCACCCGCACAGCTGCGCGGCAATACCAGGGAACATGCCAGCCTCGCACATCCCGAGAATGAAGCGCAACGCATACAGAGCGTGTTTATTCTGCACGGCTGCGTGGCAGGCGAGCACGATTCCCCAGGTTAGCATGATGCGGCTTTGCCAGAGGCGTGGGGTTAGGCGCTTCTGTAGGAGGTTGCTGGGGACTTCGAAGATGATGTAGCTTATCTGATGTGGTGAGTTGAGTATCAGAAGGGGAAAGGAATGGATGCGTACGAAGTAGATGGATTGCACCCAGTTGTACTCGTTTGCGCTCATGTTTAGTTCGTTCAGGACGTTGCGGTCTTCGCCGACTTGGAGGACTTTGACGGAGGCTGCGTTTGTGTAGTCGATCTATCCTATCAAGTTAGTACCCATGGAGAATCTCACCAGAGATGTATTACCGTCTTGATAACATAGATAACACCAATCAGCCACAGGAACCGATTGTTGACCTTGCGCATAATCCGCTTGTCGTCTTCAGGCGTAAACGACGAGAGGAACTCGCGTCGTCTGTCCCCGTCACTCGCCTCGCTGGGCGCCTTTGCCACATCTTCAACCAGTACTTTCGATTCAACCTCTGTCATTCTGTGGTAGTGCAGCAAGATCAAGTCAACGAGTGGAGGCATAGTGAGAAAATGAAGGTGGCGCACCTTTATACCCATCGTGACGGCGGCCAAGCTCACTAAGATACGCATCATGGCAGCGAGTCAGTAAGAAAAGAGTCTTGGATATGGCGCAATACCCAACTCCAACGGTGCAAGAGATTCCATCGCAGAAGACATCTCTGGTGGGAGCACAGGCAATCGGACGAGGGGATGGCGTGCGAGAAAGCAGCAGCAGCGAATGGGATGTATATATGAGCCTTACTCGGTCGAGAGGTTTGCTTAAGATATGCTCTTATCTCCAATTTGCATCGCATCATCCTTGGCTGGGATTGTTGATGCAGACTTGGCAGTTGCTATGGTCGGGTCGGGTAGGTTAGGGTTCAGGTTTGCTTGAACTGGAGTCATTCCCATCCTTATTTGAATATTGGATATCGGATTTCATTTACGCAAACGTCACAGCAGTCATTATATATTTCCAGCCCACCCCATCATCATCACACCCAAGAAGACCCATCTACTCACCCAGCGGATACGGGTGCATGATTTGCCCATCTGCTGCTGTTAGCCCACTCCACCCACAACATACAGTGACCAAGGAACTAAACCCGGGGACTCACAAAACAAACTCGCATCCGAACTCGCAAGGAACACAAAGCTCGTCGCAACCTCACTCGGCTGCCCCGGCCGGCCGAGCGGCTTCCCACTCGCCCACCCCTGCATCTGCTCCTCATTCCGCGTATCAACCTGGATAGGCGTATACGTTGACCCCGGCGCCACAGCATTAACCCGAATCCCCTTCGGAATCAGCTGCAGCGCCGCGGAGCGCGTAAAGCCTACGATCGCGCCCTTGGTGCTCGCATAATCGACCATGCTCGCTGTGCCGCGGAACGTCGTGACGGAGGTGTTGTTGATGATGGAGTCGCCTTTGCCCATGTGTGGGAGGGAGAACTTGGTCATTGCGAACATCTGGATGATGTTTGTGCGGAAGACGTCTTCGACTGTGTCGAGGTTTATCTCTGTCAGGTCGGGGCAGGAGAATTGTTGGGAGGCGTTGTTGACTAGGATGTTGATGGGCCCGTATTTCTGGACGTGCTTGTCCACGGCGTCTTTGCAGAATGTCCGGTCGCGCAGGTCCCCCGGGATCAGGAGACACTGGCGCCCCTCGGCCTCGACGAGCTTCTTTGTCTCCTGGGCGTCGGATTCTTCGATGGGGAGGTACACGATTGTGATGTCCGCGCCTTCTTTTGCGTAGAGTGCTGCGACGGAGCGCCCGATTCCGGAACTGGCGAGTTCAACGCGTTAGCTCCTGTCCCAGAGGAATGAATGGAAGGAGATGGTGTAGGTAGACGCACTCTCCGCCCGTAATAAGGGCTTTCTTCCCGGCGAGCTTGCCGGAGCCCTTGTACTCTGCGATTCCGTCGGAGGTCTCGAGCTTGGTTGATTCGCTGGCGGGCTGCATTTTGCTTTCGAGGCTGCGCGCAGTTAGCAGGGTCTGTTTTGTGAGGGAGATAGATAAAGTGGGCGTACCCCGGTGTGTTCTGGGTTTGGGCGCTCTGGGGCGCCTGGAAGGTGTTGTCTTTTGCCATGCGGGACATGTTGGCGGTGGTGTTGTGTGAATGGGTATGGTATTGGTGAAGGCGGTTAGCGATTTAGGAATATAGAGAAAGGGAGGTAGAGGCTGAGTATATATTCAAATGTCATATCACATCACGATGTAGTCATACAGCGCCCTATGTGTGATGATTGGCTGACAGCGGGCTCTCGAGGCGTGGGGCGCTGATCTCATCATGGCGTAGAGGGTTGAGTTCTAGAACTTGGCCTTGGTATATACTCCGCAGGTTCTATGGACATTCTAGAAACTCAAGGATATTCGATTCTGTCTCTGAATTGGCAGGCGGGATTGTAGCGGAGTATCCCTTTGTGAGCATCCGGATATCCCCGAATCTAGCCCTATTAAATATGGTAGGCGATTTAGGGCGCGAGCTGCCCTGGGCACAACCCCCTTACCGTGCCATGGAGCCCTGATTACACCTAGGTGGTCTTGTAGTCAGGGTCAGGAGCCCTAGGTAAGGTTCAAGAAGCCCATGGCGGCCGAAGGTGCTTAGAAGATATATACATCCAACCTTTTGAGTAAGCCTTGCCGTATAATGTCCCAGGATCTTAGCTAAGTGACGTCAAGTATAACCTCGAAGCTTGGGTTTTCTCTAAATGCGCTAGATTGGCTGGAGTATATGGTATGTTGCTACTGGAGTGCAAATGAAGTCCACTTCAAATTCAAGAACTCGCTATGCTACATCTACATATTCATGCTCGTGCTCTACCATATCATACCATATCACATAAACCAAGACACCCATGCTAAAACATCCGCACCACTGTCGTCGCTGCAACCAGGATCAAAACTAACAAGAGGGTATATAGATGGCGTCCACTCGCGAACGCTGGCTGGGCTTTGATATCAAGAGAGCCCGAGGCCGGGGTGGGTGCAACAAAGCCATTTTGCACATGCTTCTCGGGCAGGGTCCCATTTGACCTCGATGTCTCCTCATTCTTCTCCGGCGTCTCCTTCTCCTTCGCGACGTCCACTTCCACTTCCTTGGGAGCGGTCTCAACGCTCGTGCGTCCACTTTCTGCAGAAACATCGGTATCCCCAATCTTCGAATCCTCCTCCTTCGGAGATGGAGTCACAACAGGCTCCGGCGTCGGCGCAAGCTGCAGAATCAAATTCGCCAGCTCGACATGCCCGTTCTCCTTCGCTATCATGTACGGCGTCCTCCCAGACGAATCCTTACTCCAGACATCAGCGCCCGCCTGAATCAGTCGGCGGACCGAGTTCTCGAAGCCGAGCTGCGCCGCGAAACCCAGGAACCATTCCAGGTCGACCTTGCCGGCTGCTTTCTCGGAGTTGTCCCCGGCAGGTGCCTCGCCCTCGCTCTCGCCCTCGCCCTCGACTGCGGCGGCTGCGGCGGCGACGGGGAGTTCCGCCCCCTGTTCAATCAGCAGGATGCCGATCGCCCCGGCCGTCCAGAGCGCCGGCCACCCCCAGATATCCTTCGTGTTGGTCTCGGCGTCGTGCTCCAGGAGTAGCCGGGCCGGGGCCCAGTGGTTAGCCATGACCGCGAGGAAGAGGGGCGTGCGGCCGTATCGGTTCTGCAGGTTGATGTCGGCGCCGTGCTCGATGAGGAGCTTTGCGGTTGCGGCGTCGTTGTCCGCGACGGCCCAGTGCAGCGCGGCCTGGCCCATGTCCGGCTCGACTTGGTTGATTTCGTCGGGTGTGGCGTCGGGGAGACGTTCCTTGAGCTCCGTGATTTGCTTGGACATCACGAGCGACCAGAGCGGGAGCGTGCCGTGGATGGAGAGGCCTGTGTCTGCGCGCTTGACTTCGTCGATGATGTTCCCGCTGGGTGTGCGTTTGGGGAGTGAGCGGGGGAGGCGCCCTTCGGCTTTCATTCGCTCGCGCGCGGCCCGGAACATCTCGATTACGGCTAGATGGTGGCTTTCGTGTGCGACGAGGATTGGCGTCCGGCCGTGGATGTCTTTGATTGTTGGGTCGCCGCCCGCGTCGAGGAGGACTTCGACGGTCTCGAGGTCGCTTGAGCGGGCGATGTCGTGGAGGGTCGTCTTGCCGTGCACGTCTTGCATGTTCACGTCGAGGGTTGGGTCGTGCGCAAGGAGGATCTGGAGGATGTCTGCGCGTCGGTTTACAGCGGCGGAGTGCAGGAGGCCGCGGTCGAAGACGTCTTTGTGGTGCACGTTGGCGCCGCGGTCAACCAGGAGCTGAACGATGGACGTGCGCCCGTAGTCGATGGCGCGCATGATGGCCGTCCCGTTGCTGCCCTCCTCCATGACTTCCGTGTCAGCACCGGCGTCGAGCAGGGCTTCGACGATGGCGTAGTAGCCGTTTTGGGCGGCGTGGTTTAGCGCCGATGTGCCGTTGCTGTCTGCGTGGTTGATGTCGATGTTGGGATGTTGGAGGAGGAGCTTCGCGGCCCCGACGGCACCTTCCAGCGCGGCAAGGATCAGAGCTGTCGCGCCGTTGGGCCTGTTGCATGTTCTGTTCACGTCGATGGTGGGCATGGCGAGCAGCATGGACACGTAGTCGTCGAGTCCGTTCCTGGTGGCGACCATCAACGGTGTGAAATAGTACATGCGCGGGGAGGACATGTTCACGTCGATGTCCTGCCGGCGCAGCAGAAACCGGACGATGTCGGGAGAGTTGTTGTGCAGACCCCAGTGCAGGGGAGACCGGCCGCTGCTGTCGATGGTGTTTACCGAGACACCAGCCAGGGCGAGGGCCCGTACGATGTCCACGAGGTCTCGTTGCGCGGCGAGAGCGAGCGGCGTCATGCCGTTGATGTCGATCGTATTCGGGTCGTAGCCATGCGCGATCAGGTCTTTCACCAGGCGAAGCAGGTTGAAGTGTGCGGCCAGATGGAAGGCCGACCCGTTCTTCGACGACCAGCTGTTGGACTCCTGCTGGTCTTCCAGGTACCAGAGGGCCTGGGCGATGGTGGCCAGGCAGCTGGGGTCTGTGACCAGGGCCAGCGCTCGAGCAAAGAGGTTGTCGTCGGTCGTCACGCGGAGGTGGTTGCCCCAGTTGATGGACGCATACCGGAGGAAGGGATACCTGTCCAGGCGGTTCTCGAAATCAATGGCCTCGGACGGGCCAGAGCAGGCGCCAGATCTAAACACATCGAAGGTGAGGTAGGTCAGGCACGACGAGGTGATCATCACGTCTCCAGCAGGGAACCAGCGACCTCGGTGCTGCATGAAGTAGTTCTCTGCCGAATAGTGCACGAGCCGCAGACAGTTCGACTCGTCTAGTTGCACCAAGCCGGCGCATTTGGTGGCCAGGGTTCGAGCACGGATGATTTCGCCGTCGTCAATGTCCGTATTGCCTGGTCGGACAGCAAGGGCATGCTCAAGGGCGTGCTCGTGCAGCGGCTGCTTCGCAAAGACAATCCAGCACAGGAACCGCATGACGGTCTCCTTCTGTGCCGGGTCTATCCTTCCCATGGCGTCTTCGTAGGTGCCGTCCAGCTCTTGCGGCAAGGTCTTCAATGCCTTCATCAGCTGGTTGATGTTGAGCTTCGACTCAAGCGTGTCCATGTTGAATTTCGCCAGCAGGAACATTCCCCCGTTGCTCCTCACGACCGTGTCCAGAATCGCATCCATCAGCCCGTCGCGGGCGTCCACAAACTCCTGCAGGGTATCAGAGGCGCTTGTCCGCCAGTGCACGTACGTCGTCAAGTCCTCTTCCACGGCCGCGATCTTGATGACCCGCGTGTTGATCTGGTACTCGTAGGTATGTCCTTTGAAGCCGCATCGCACGCCGGAATTGTAGCAGTTGGAACACAGATCGTAATCGGGGCAGTCATTGCAGTGGTACTGGGCAGGGAGGTCAGTACCACCGCCGCCGTCGCAGCTAATCCCACTCTGCAGCGAGTCGCTATGCCGGAAGTGCCGGACGATGTTGGGCAGCGGCCGCGAGGTCACCATCAGGTTGACGGTGAAGTCCGAGTCATTCGGAGCCAGCGCCTTGAGCAACGGCAGCCGGTCCTTTTCCTTCCGCAGCTCGTCGAGGCCGTCGAGGATGATGAAGACCTTGGTGAATTTTCGGAAGAGCAGCTCGAGGGTTGACTGCAGCTGCGCCCGCAATGGCCTCGTCCCCTCCTTGTCGTGCGTGGTGAACAGCTCCATCATCTCGTTCGTGCCCACATCGTACCGCTGCACGAACTGCTTGATGATACTGGCCAGAAGGTTGTCGACGTCCTGCGACAGGGGGTCATCCCATTTGCAGTAGAGCATGACAACCGCAGCGCCCTTGAGCCCTCCCTCCTCGCGAACCCGTAACCCCTCCAACTCGTTATACACAATCGACGCAAGGAACGTCTTGCCCGCACCAGGGATACCGGGGCAGAAGATCCGCGTGTTGCTGCCCTCGCGCCACTCGCGGAAGTCATCGCGGTCGAGAAACCACTTGCACGTCCCCTTGTGATGCTCGTTCCAAATCATGCTCTGCTTCGTGATGAAATTCAGCGGCGAGATCCAGTCGATCAGCTCCTTCAGCCTCTTCTCATCAACCACCTTCTTGACGCTCTGTCCGTCGCGGTATACATCCTGCGCGATTGCATTCGTGCTCTGGTTGATCGCGTCCTGCAGCACCGTCTTCAACCGGTGCACGCGCTCGATCATCTTCTGGGCATCTTTCTCCGTAAACGGCCACGCGAGCGTCTGCGCGATCTTCCCCCGCGAACTCGTGCTCTGGATCTTCTGCTCTAGATCCTCGAGCTGGAGCTTGATGTCTTTGAGGATGCCGTCGGGGTCGAAGAGGGGCCGGAGCGAGGCGGGGATGTTGTTGTCTTTGAGCGCGTCGGACTGCAGGTGCTCGAGGAGCGAGGTTATCGACATCCAGAGGTAGGTCACCTCGCGGCAGAGATTCAGCCGGTCTTTTCCGCCGGCTCGCACGGTGCCTAGGTACCCGATGATCTGGTAGGCCAGGGTTGCGAGCCCGACGACGCCGGTGGTGATGCTCAGCGGGTCCATGGTGCCGCATCACCTGCAAAGGTGGGTAGAGAGTGAAAACAAAACGAGATATGGAGAAATGCGCGGTGCGGCGCCGATAGCAGGGCGGCTCCTCGTTAAATAAATACGAGGGTCCATTGGAAATAAAGGCTGGGCTGGTGCTGCAGACGCCCCAAGCTACGAAAGGCTAGTCAGAGGGGCCAAACAGCAGACACAGCGAATGGGCAGACACGTCCGTGCATGAAGAGACAGGAAGAACCCGTGTGACACTGACAGTACTAGGGTAGCCTGGCTCAGCCCTGGTTCTGCACAGGCCAATCAGGCTGAGCGTGGCTGCAGCTCGTGTAGACTAGCCAGTATCTGCAGCCAATGGAAGCTCGCAAAAAACGAGGTGGAAATGACAAATCGTCCAGTTGGAAAGTGCTGGATATCTGCCCTTTTGGCCTTTTGGCCTCCAGGTCTACAGCCGCCGTCGCCGCGTGTCATCTTATAGATCGACGCTGACACTGCCTCGTCTCCGCTATTTCTAAGCATAAGACAAGCTTATATTATGGATCGTCTCGCCTCCACTTGGCAGATATTAATATAAGACCTTTCATTCGCCCTATCGTAACTGCGTCGTCCGATCGTCATATACCTACGTCTGTCATATCTTCACGCCTCTTCCAGAACCCACCATCCATCCGTACGCCAGCTTACTCTTCTCCCTACTCCGGAATCTCATGCTCCTCCACCCCAGCATGCCACCGGTACTTCGCCGCCGGATGATCAGCAGGCGGCCCGCTCTGCCCAGCCCTCCCATACAGGTTCTCGCGGTACGTGCCCCTCGGCACCGCATAGTCCTCGTGGAAGAGCCCGCGCCTTCGCAGCTCAGGCAGCAGCAGGTCGATGATGTCTTGGAAGGAGCCCGGCTTGATCGCGTATGCCTACAGCCACATCAGCACGTCCCGTTCACATAGGAAATACACAAGCGTAGGTAGCTTGGGATGGGGGCGTACCAAGTTAAACCCATCCACATCCGCCTCCCCAACCCACCTCTCCATCTCATCCGCAACCTGCGCCGCCGTGCCCACAGGCGTAGCCCCCAGCCCGCCAACCGTGATATGCCGCCCAACCGTCTCCTTCGTCCACCTCGGCACCTCAGGCGTAGCCTTCGACCAGCCCTCCACCGCCGAGCGAATGGCGTTGCTCGGGACGGCCCTTAACTCCTCGTCGTCGCCGTACACGTCCAGGTCTATCCCCGTCCACCCGCCGAACAGGGCCAGCGCGCCCTCAATCGAGCCAAGACTGCGGTAGTGCTCGAATTTCTCGCGCGCTTCGGCCTCCGTGCGTCCGAGGACGGGACAAAGCAGCGCGAGGAACTTGATGCTGCGCCCGTCCCGCCCGTACTCCCCCGCGAGGCGTCGGATCTCCGCGACGTTGGACGCTACGACGGCGGGACTGTGCCCCGCGACGAAGATGGCTTCTGCGTGCTGTGCTGCGAACGTCTTGCCTGCTTTTGAGGTCCCGGCTTGGAGGATCACGGGCGTGCGTTGGGGAGACGGTTGGCTGAGGTGTGGGCCCGGGACGGTGAAGTACTTGCCCACGTGGTTGATTTCGCGGACGCGCTTTGGGTCGGTGTAGATTCTGCGCTGTTTGTCGAGGACTACGGCGTCGGACCGCCAGGAGGATTCCCAGAGCTTGTAGGTGACTTTTAGGTATTCTTCTGCGAGGGCGTAGCGGTCGTCGTGCTGGGTTTGTTAGTTTGGGGTTGTAGGTAGGTGGGAGAAGGGGTGTAGAGGGTATTGTACCTGCGGCTGCTCGGTGCCTAGGAGGTTCCGTGCTGCGGAGTCGAGATACCCGGTGACGACCTAGTACATTGTCAGTCCTGCCTAGGCTCTCTGGGAGAGGTGCTCTGGGGGTGCTCACGTTCCACCCAATCCTGTTACATGGGGCAGTCAGCACGGGCACACTACAACCACCATCAAGCCCTGAATGAAAGCAATGGGAAGCCATACCGCCCCTTCGTCAAATGATCAACCGTACTCAACCGCCTCGCAAGATGATACGGCTGCTCATACGTCGCCGCAACCGTAACCCCAAACCCAATGCTCTTCGTCGCCGCCGCCATAGCCGGCACCACAGCCAACGGCTCATTCACGGGCCACTGCGCGCCAGAGGATATCGCGGGCGCAAGATTCCGAGGCCCCTTGTACACGTCGTACCCGCCCAGCACGTCGGCGATGAAGATCCCGTGGAATTTTGCGCCTTCGAGGAGTTGGGCTAGCTCGATCCAGTGCTCGATGTCGTTGAAGCGGTGGGATTCGTCGTCGGGGTGCGTCCAGAGGCCGGGGGATTGGTGGCCGCTGCCTGGGTGTTGAGTTTGTGTTAGAATTGCGGGTGAAGGGGGTTAGGGTTGGGTTGGGGAGGTGTGGTGTAGCCGGACGTACACATCTCAACGAAGGCATTGAGGATGAGCGACTTGCGCGGTCGGGATTGCTGTTCAGCAGACATAATGGCGTATATGTGTTGATAGTAGTCGAGCTAGGGTTCTCAATTATCCTATGGGAAGGTGGTAGAGCAATTCAGCGCGATTCCGCGGATACTTCGAATACTTATAGCTCCTCCCCTCTCCTCCCCCCATGCAAACGCAATCGCACATGCACCTGCGCTCATAGCTACCCCGCGGGCGTGCGCAGCTGCGTGATTGTACAGTAAGTACTTGTATAGCATCAAAGTGGGCCGGGATGGCGTGATGTGCGACATGCTGTCGGCCGAGCAGTGCGATGGCGAATCTCATCCGCCATATGAGTACGCTAGCGAGCTCCAGAGCAGGCATATAAGGTTACGAGCTTGGACAATTTTTAGATTATTAGATGGGCGAACGGGGCTTGTGTTGGCGATGATCTACGCCGATCCACGGTTCTTGAGCACGCATTTGGTCGGCGAGATCACTCTATCAAGAACAGCGTCAGATGCGATGGACATTGCGCCATTGTTTACAACATGGAAGGATCGACTTCTCTTAATTGTAGCCCTGCATTTGGAGAACAGCCTACCTAAGGTTGATCAGTCGAGAATTTGAGGTATTGACGCTTCATCGTTCATGGATTTCCTTTCCATCCTCCAGTTGGAGGTTGGGTTTGTTTACAGTGGCCTCGTGGCTGGGACTCGAATTTGAACTACGCCGTCGAGGGGAACGCCCACATAACATTTGTCGATGGGATGGAGCCCAATTCAGTCATCTTTACAGGAGAACAGCTTGTTTGAAAACCTCTGCGGCACGCTAGGGAGAAAATATATATCGTGCGCATATATTCGCGTTCTATCAACAAGGGCTCGCGGTACCTGGTTCAACACGAAACAGAAAGTACTGGGGCTTTATAGCCATGCCAGTCGCTATCTAAAGTCCGTTTTTGGAGAAAATCCTAAGGTCGGGGCTAGTTGTTCTCTGGTATACCGCTGCGGAGTACGGAGTATGTAGGAAGCAGGAAGAAATTATTTATTTGATATAAAGCATTTAACAGCGCAGTCAATCAATCAACAGGTCTTGTGGTCTAATGGTCATGACATCAGACTCTGATATAAATTGGAGTCACATCTGGTAATCCCGGTTCGATCCCGGGCAGGACCTCAACTTTCATTTTTTTTTTCTCAATTTTTACTACTCGACTCAACAACCCTGACACCCTTCCGGTTGACATCATACTCCCATCCGACACCAACGCCCTTGTTACCATGTCGCTGATCTCAAGATACCTGCCTACTCGTCACCCCAGGTTTGGCCGAAGGCTCAGCGGTTTGACGAGTGGGTAGACCAACATCAACATCATCAAGCCGCAACTGCTCTTCTATGCCCTCCACGAATGACAAGAAAAGTAGCGCCCAGCACGCTTCTAGCTTCTCAACACCGGCTCGAGGGAGTTTCTTCAAAGAATTTTCTCAGCGGTATGGAAAATAGCGCAACATTTTAAAGGAATAGATAACAACCGACACTACTCTACTCCGGTAACCGGTGACTGCAGATCCCCATCCCCATCTCCAGGATCCGGCCTAAAGCCATTTGACGCATTGCGGGTTGAACACGTTGCTGCCCATGAGGAGACTGCGAATGTTTGAGCGAGAAAGCTTCTACGCTATGGAGGGGATGGGAGACGATGGCCTGGCGGGCTGGATGTGCGGTAGCATTGTCGAAGGTTGGAGGCGTAAAAGACTCGATTTGTGCAGGGCAAGTTGGTTCACTTGTCAATATGCGTAACCATTGTCCTAGGTAGACCTCCCGGTGTTGAAGACAGATGGAAATCATGAGCTTGCCAAAAAGATAAAAAGAAAAAAGAAGACGTCCCCGCACAGAATCGAACTGTGAATCTCCCGATTACTATCAAGTAACAGTCGGACGCGTTAACCGATTACGCCACGGAGACTTCTTATTGGAGAATCTGAAAACTAATTTGTTACATAGCTGTGTCTCAAAATTTTGAGTTACTGCACTGTCTGCACGAGAGACAGTTGACGACCCCGCTCCATCAAGTGCTCCCATCCCCATCCCCATCCCCCTCCCCAACCTCCTCTCCCTCCTTCATCCCATACTTAACCTTCAAATGATCCACCGCCGCCCTCGTCAACCCCCCCACAGTCTTCGCCTTCGCAATCTGCACCAGCGTAATCTCCAGCCCCAGATTCCGCCTCGCCCACCCCCGAATCTCAATCGCCATCAGCGAGTCAATCGCGATCCCCGCAATCTCCTCCTCGTCCATGTTCTCCGCCCGCGGCATCCGCTGCGTCACCTGCGCCCCGATCTCGCGGCGCACGATGGCTTCACTTTCGGGGTCGTCGAGCAGGCTGGGGTTCGTCTCGACGCGTCGCAGAAGCAGGCGGAGTTCGTTGCTTGTGCCTTGACCGGCTGGCTCGGTGCTTTTGGATTCGAGGTTCGTGTACATGGCGAATCGGGCGTCGCGGACCCAGTATGCGCGGACGGAGGGGGCCGAGAGCGGCTTTGTGTTTGAGAGGCCGATTATGCAGGAGCTTGACATTAGGGGTTTTGATTCTGATGGAGGAGTCGCGCACTGCGATAATGCGAGCTTCAGGCCCTCGATTAGCTGCTGCTCGCTTGGGAAGCAGACGGATGATGCTTGGGCGCGCTGCATCGCTTCTGGGTTCGCGGCCATCATGCCGACTTCTTCGATGGCGCCGAGGGAGAGCACTGCTGCCGGCAGCCCGAGATGTCGTCGGTACTGCGTGAACGAGTCGAGGAAGGTGTTGGCTGCGGCGTAGTTCGATTGTCCTGGGTTGCCGCAGATGCCGGAGACGGAGCTGACGACGAGGAAGAAGTCGAGGTTGGCGCCGCTGGAAACGGTCGCGTCGTGCAGGTTCCATGTTCCGCGGACTTTGGGGCCGACGCAGGTGCTCCATTCGGTGTATGTCATTTTGTCGATGAGCGCGTCCTGCCTGGTTAGTCTGGGACTGCTGGTGGGATGATGGGTCGCGTACCTGGAGGAGGCCTGCCATCTGCGCTACGCCGGCAAGAGGTCGGGGACACTTTGCTATGGCGCCTTCTACGTCTGCAGCGACTGTCACGTCGCCAGGGACACAGATCACCTCGCAACCTTGCTCCTCAAGCTCATGGACAAAGGCCTGTTCTTTCTCCGAGACGCCGGCAGATCGCGACATGTACACCAAACACCGAGCTCCTCGCTCCACCATCCACGTCGACACCGCACGACCGAGCCCGCCCAAACCTCCGACAAGCAGGTATGAAGCGTCCGGCCGGAAAGAGAACGGCGACTGACCGGGCGAAACCGAAAGACTGCTGGGCTCATCAGGCATCTTGACCAAAATCTTACCCATATGAATACCCTGCTGCATGTACCGGAAGGCATCGACGACCTCCGCAGCCTCATACACTTTTATTGGACGGATTGGGACGAGTTCATTCTGTTCGCTGAGCGTCTCAAACTGCGAGTGCATCCTGTGCCATGTTAGCCAAGTCCAGCAGTTTAGAGGCCTACGCACGTCTCATAGATATGAAATGCCTCCTTGCCAAACTGAGTCAGGTCAAAGCCCATATACGACCTGTTCCTGATGAACGGCCCCATATTCAGCTGCCCACCACTCAGAAAGTCGCGCTTCCCAAGCTCAATCATCCGTCCGAAGGAGGCGAGACAGTCCCAGGACGCATGCAGGAGAGCGCCGGTCAGGGAATTCAGCACGACGTCCACGCCGCGGCCGTTCGTCTCGCGCATCACGTCATGAAGAAAGTCTGTGCTCCTTGAGTTGAAGATGCGCTCGCGCGGGATACCGAAGCGGTCGACGAGGTATTGCACCTTCTCCTCGCTGCCGACGGTTGCATAGATCTGACAATAGTTAGTTGCCCTGACTATTCAAAAAAAATGAACGGAAGTACCTTGGCGCCGATATACTCAGAAACACGAATCGCCGCAAGACCAACGCCCCCGCAGGCCGAGTGGATGAGCACGGACTACCCTATCGTCAACATAATCCTCAACCTCAGAGACTAATCTTCATACCTCACCCTTCTGCAACCTGCCAAGATGCCCCAGACAAAACGCAGCGGTGATATAAACCGACGGCATCGTCGCCGCATCCTGCAGCGAGACGTGATCCGGGATCCGAAGGCAGTACCGCGAGTGCACCACGAACCGAGTCCGGAACGTCCCTGTCGTTAGAAGCGCCACTCGATCTCCTACCTTCAGATTCCGGACTGCACCTGGCGCGACCCTGCGGATGACGCCGCTGCCTTCGAGGCCGAACTCGTTGGGCTCGCCGAAGAGGCCGAGGGATACGAGGATGTCCTACGCAAGCAATTATTAGTCATGCAACGTTGAGTTGGGTATGGTGTGGAGGTGGGAGTCTACTCGGAAATTCAACCCGATATACTGCATATCGATCTCGACTTCCCCTTCCTGCAACGGCGGGTCCTGGAACGGCATCCAGCGGAGCGTGTCGATGGACCCCAGGGACTCGATATCCAGTCGCCGCGGAAGGTCGCTCGAGGCCTCACTCATATGATCTGCCGGAGAGACCCAGTGGCATCGTCCGATGTGGATGATCCCCTGATCCAACGCGAACTCATACTCGGGGTCGACGTCTTTAATTGCCCGGGACCATAGGAGCTTCTCCGCCACGGAAGCGACGGACTTGGCTGCAGCGGCGTCGAAAACGTCCGTCTCGAATGTGCTGAAATCCGCCTCCTTCTCGTGCCGCATTGTTCGCGCGAACCCGAAGATCAGACTGTACCGTGGGTCTGAGCACCGGAACTGCGATGTCTTTGTTACCCATAGGATGGGATGGTTGAGGTCTGTGAGGAGATTCTGCAGAGCTTTGAATCTGTCTTTGGATAGGTCGTGCAGGTATGGGCCGTTTAGATCGAGAAGGGAGATGATCAAGGACTTGTTTTTGTCATTGTCGCTTTCTCCATCGCCTGGAGTGGGGAGACCAGTCTGCGGATTGCACAGGCATACTTCGTGTCCTTGCTCTTCTAGGACGGTTTTCAGGCTTTCGACCCAGGGTGAAGTGACGATGGTTTCTGTCAATAGTGCGATGGGTTTCTTTGAGGGCAATTCAGGGTCGATGCGAGAAATAAGGCTGAGCGTTGCGTTGTGCTTGCTTATGGCTGAGATACCGGAGAATCCAGCTGCGCGGAGGGCGTTGTCGAGGCCCTTGAAGCCCTGATCGAGTCCCTGGTCAAGTCCCTGGTCGAGTCGCTGGTCAAGTCGCTGGTCAAGTCCCTGATCGAGTCCATGACCAAGTCCCTGGTCGAGTCCCTGGTCGAGTCCCTGGTCAAGTCCCTGGTCGAGTCCCTGGTCGAGTCGCTGGTCGAGTCCCTGGTCGAGTCCCTGATCAAGTCCATGACCAAGTCCCTGGTCAAGTCCCTGGTCGAGTCCCTGATCAAGTCCATGACCAAGTCCCTGGTCGAGTCCCTGGTCAAATCCTTGATCAAGTCCCCGATCAAGTCCCCGGCCGAGTCCATCGAGTTGCTGCTCGAGTTCATTGGACATAGGAGATTCAAAGCCCTCTACGGGACCACTGGCCACCCTCCAGCCTGGCAGAAGGCCCTGTTCTCATGAGTAATCATACAATCACTGCTGCACTAGACTTACCATAACAAAATCAGCAGAGGGATGCGCTGAGCATGTTAGCACTACTCGGCACATGAGACAATCGAGGATTGACGGGCATACCTCGACTCGACTCTTGAAGCAGCAATCTTCCGCGCGGCGCCAGCAGCTCACGAATGTTCTTGAGTGAGGTCTCCAGCTCCTCGCCTTCATCTCTGGGAATCTGTTTCCTTTATTAGCAGGTGATCCATTGCATCCAGGACAACAGAACAAACATTAGACGCAACAGCCAAATCAAAGCTTCCCTTCTCCAACCCCTGCTCTGCCACATCTCTCGTGAGATCGAGCTGCTTGAACTCGACATCCTCCTCAGCGAAAGCCTTCTTCGCAGCTTCGATATTCTCACCAGACGCATCGGTGAAGGTATACGACGCGTACAGCCGAACACCCTCCGGGGACCTTAAGTGTTTCAAGATAGCACCCGTGACGCTCCCAGTTCCACCTCCAATCTCAATAATGCGCATCGCTGGGTTCGAGTGGCCTATGTGGGAGAGGAAATGGCCCCAGCCGTGCTCGTGCGGGGAGTACAGGAATGTGCAATACTGGTTGATATGGTTTCGAGCTTCGTTGGGGAGGGTTTCTGCAGATAAGAGATCTTCACAGTTGTCGTATATGTACCGGAGGCATTCTAGCGGGGCTGGGAGTATGTCTGCGTCTCTGTTGGTGTCTGTTTGGGATTGGTGCTGCGAGAGCAGAGATTTAATCATGCCCTGGCGCTCTTCAGAGTCCATACCGGCCCATTTCTGTGCTTGGGTATCTAATCCGTCTGCCCTTGCCCCTGTCTGCTGAACGAGCCTTGCTGCAGCGGAAGAAACCCACTCCTTCCACTTCTTCATCTGAGGCAGCTCTGGTTCAGAGGTGACACTCTTCAGCTTCGCCGCTGTTTCGAGGATATACAATACACCCAACTCCCGATACGTCTGCATCACCCGCGCGTAGTCTTCCTCCAGCTCAGATCGAGGAAGCAGCGTCTGAGGCTCCAAGAAGTCTATATCCGGCGCCCACCGAATCTGCGAGCCAAGCGGGATAGACGCCGTCTCGCCATCGCCAGACGCAGGAAATCCCGCGACGTCTATCATCGACAACACTGGGATAGCATCGCCGTCACTATCTTTTACCATCATGACCCCCTGGCCCGTCAGCGTCCCAAACCCAGTCTCAGCCATCAACGCCTCCAGCGACAATTCCGCCTCTGGGACATCGGGCCGCCTTACATAGATGTGCCCGATTGCGGCGGGGACGATAATCTGAAAGCGCCGCGATAGACCCTGCGCTATAGCCATGGGAAAGGCCTGCAGTAGATGATCCATTATGGCGGGATGAAGCGGATACCGACACCCATCGCTTGGTTTCGGTTGCGGCAAGTCAACCAGAGTCGCCGACGCTCGTCGGTCATTTGGATCTGCAGAGAGGGACGTGAAGCGCCGGAACAGAGGACCATATGCAAAACCCAATCTCTCGACATAACGGTAGCAAGCCTCAACATCCAAGACTCGAGCGTGCTTCTTGATCTCCCGCCCCGTAGGCCGACGATCAGACCCCGCGCGCACCTGCCCATGGCAATGCTTCGTCCAGACCGCGCCATCAAACGAGACAATCGTAAACGCAAACCACTCCGACTCAAGCAGGTCTGTGATCTTGACGGGCTTCAGCGTCGTGATGAGCTCGTATTCCGCAGACTCTTTCATCAGCAGCGGGTTCTTGATCAGCATGTTCCTGATGCTGTAGTCCGTTGCGTCGGCGTTTAGCTGCAGCGCTGCCTCCCCGGCCATGCTGATATACCCGGCTGCGGGGAAGATGACGTTCCCCTGCAGTGCGTGCTCGGCGATCCAGGGGACGTCTTCGAGGCGGAGGAGATTCCGCCATGCGGGCTCGAGAGCGGAGGACTCGATGCTGCGTGCGCCCAGGAGCTCGTGGTGGAGATGGGATCTGAAGCGCCATTCGCGTGTTAGGCGGCTGTCGTGCCAGTAGCGCGTGTTGTGCTGCCAGGGGTATGGGGGGAGGTTTGCGATCGTGTTGCCGGGGCCGTTGATTGCGTCGAAACTGACTGGGATCCCGCTGGCGTGTACGAGTCCTGCGGTGACTAGCAGCTGCGTGCGGCTGTCGGGGTCGTTTCTGGTCAAAGTCGGGATGTACAAGAGCTCTGACTTGGTTTCCACGGCACGGAAGATCTGCTGCAGGGGCCCCGATAGTGCAGAATGAGGCCCGATTTCGATGAAAGCTCGGTTCTTTGATGTCTTGAGGACCTCGCGAATGGCGGGCGAGAACAGAACGGGCGACTCGAGATTCCGGCGCCAGTATGCGGCATCTAGCTCCGATGGCTCTGTGATGGCGTTGGTCGTGACGCTGGAATATAGCGGCAGCATCGTGTCCTTTTCATTGTGCTCGATGTGCTCCTGGACACATGCCTCGTACTGCGCTCCTATCTCGCTCATGTGGCCTGTCCTGTTAGCTTTATCTCCCATTGAGCTGGATATACCTACTGGAGTGGTAGGCTGTCGATACTCGCAGTCGTCTGCAGAGGATATCTGGATGATCTTTTGTAATCGCATCGACTGCTTCATCAACTACAGCACTATCCCCGGACAGTGTCACACTCTGAGGACTATTCTCGCACGCAATGACTATACCATCGCCGAGATACGGCGTGACCTGCTCTCTGGACAGACCTACAGCCGCCATGGCGCCTTTCCCTTCAACTTGCTTCGCCAATTTTCCTCGATAGTAGGCAATAATGATGGCGGCTTTTGCGGTGATAGCGCCCGCCGCGTACGCAGCTGCAATCTCGCCGCTCGAATGACCGACCACGGATGAAGGCGGGATTCCCCATGCGGAGAGGATGTTGACGAGGGCAATCTGGAGAGCCGTGCAGAGTGGCTGGGAGAGTTCCGCTTCGTTTACTCTGCTCTTTGCAGAATGTGATATCTCATCTGAATTCATTAGCGACGCTTGCTTTACAAAGTAAGAACTCACCTTCGATTGACCATGACGGGCCATCTGGAAGACTTTTCAGAGCCTTATCAAGACTCTGGATATCTGTTCGTGCGGACGGGAAAGCTTCCATCAGGTCCCTCCCCATGCCTGCCCACTGAGCACCCTGCCCGGTAAAGACAAACGTCACCTCAGGAGCCTTATCGCGACCGGTCTGGAAACCGGCCTCGTCCAACGGCTCATTTGGCTTGGCGACTATGAACGCGCGGTGCGAGAGATGCTCGCGCCTGACACCCAGTGTATGCGCGAGATCCTGGAGCTTGGACAAGTCGCTATTCGCATAGTCTGTCACCGCTTGTATACGCTGCTTCAAGGCCTCGGCGCTCCTTGCAGAGACGACCAGAAGACGTGCAGTCTCGCATTGTTGGGAAATAGGCCGCACACTGTCACCGCAAAACGAAGACACCGAGTCCAGAATAGCGTGGGCGTTCGCGCCCCCAACACCAAAGCAGTTGACGCTCACGCGCTGATGCCGGTCTTCTGGCCAAGGCATGACCTCAACCGGGACATGGAGCTTCCCTTCCTCAAACGGGATCCTGGGATTCGGCGTCTTGAAGAACACATTTGGCGGGATGGTGTTGTGTTCAAGGGCGAGAACGCCTTTGATCACGCTGCTGATTCCTGATGCGCCTTCGCCGTGGCCGACATTTGGTTTTACCTTGCTTGTTAGTCTGGATTGAGTCTAGGGGGGCAGGGATAGAGACGTACCGCTCCCATGATGATCCCCTTGCCTTCGAAAAGCTTCGCGACGACCGACGCTTCCGCTGTGTCGCCGGCGACTGTCCCCGTCCCATGGCATTCAAAAAACCCAGTTTGCGTGATATCCGGGATACCGGCTTTCTCGTAAGCCCATCGAACGAGTGCTTCTTGAGAATGAGATCCAGGCGTTGTGATACTCGGTGTATGCCCATCGCAGTTTGTCGACGTCGCTCGGATTACTGCGCGGATGGGGTCGTTGTCTCGAATTGCGTCTTCCAGCCTCTTCACGTACAGCGCATTGACACCTTCACCACGACCATACCCGTCCGCTGCCTCGTCGAACGTGCGACACGTCCCAGTCGGCGACATGACGGTGTTATCAGACATGGTCGCCGTCATCGTCGGCGCAAACATCAGATTCGTCCCCGCCACAATCGCCGAGCAGCAGTCTCCCGAATACAGCGCCTGACACGCCTCGTGAAGTCCGACCAACGACGCCGAACACCCAGTTTGCAGCGTCATACTGCCTCGTCAGCCCGCTCACTTTTTGAACATGAGATGCACTCACCTAGGCCCCTGCAAATCAAACTCATACGACAACCGATTCGCCAGCGCAAACTGCCCCGTCCCCAAAATATGATACCGATCCGTATGCAGCGGATCCTTACTCGCCAGATCCAGCCAGTCCTCGCCATAAACCCCAACGTAGCAACCTATCCTCTTCCCGCGCCAATCTGTCTCCCCCGAGCTCTCAAGACACTCCCAGACGACCTCGTGCAGCTGCCGCTGCTGCGGGTCCATCCGGCCTGCCTCGTGCGCGTTGATGTTGAAGAAATCCGCGTCGAAATACGCGGGGTCCTCGTGCAGGTAGTACCCAGCGCGGGTCTTCACGCAGCGGGACATGCTCGGGCTGTAGAAGGAGTCGATGTTGTAGCGGGTTCCTGGGACCTCGCAGACGCCGTTGCGCTTGTTGATTAGGAAGTCCCAGAGCTGCGAGGGGGATTTGACGCCGCCCGGGAGTCGGACGGCCATGCCTACTATGGCGATTGGGGGGCATGCTGGAGTGGACGGGGAAGAGGGGAGTGCTGGTGCTTGGTCGTTTCCAGAGAAGTTACCACCGCTGCTTATATTGCGCTCGTGTTCAGGGCTTTCGTCCTCTGGAATGCGCTGGTGGAGGACTGGCTCGCCGTTATGTCCCTCTTCCTGGGATCCGTCTCGAGGAGATTGGATTGCGTTGAGTGTGACCATTATACAAGCTGCAATTGTCCCCGTCGATTTGAGTGATGTAGATGAAGGAATAAGGTGAGTCGCTCCAACTTATTCTTTTTTGAACAGAGAGGTTTGAAGCAAGCCCAGGCTGAATCTGTCTGAAAAGTGGGAGATAACCCAGTACCTGCTCCAGAAGATAGACTGACTCCAGGGATAACACCACTACAACCCCTCAAGCATCGCTGATGCGGGGTCTACACCTCTGTACTACAAGGAAATGCAGTCGAATCCTTCAGGCACAGACGAACATGTTCGAGCTCAGCCAGCCACTGTCCTGCAGAATTGTGACGAGTTCGCGCATCTGCAGCAGGGCTCATGCAGTGACTGTGACATTGGCAAGCAATGTGCTTGAATTTGGGGCACACTGCATTGCAGCTCTGGGGACTACTCCGTATACAGCTGAGCACAATCCTATTGGTGCCTCATATTCTTCCAAGATCACTTGAGCGCCTGACCTGGTTTGCACTCAATTCGCAAGCCCTGCAGGTTGGAAGGAGTCCGCTCCCCAAAAATTGGAATCGATGAAGACCTCATTGACGCCTTCGACTCGCCCTTGTAAGGGCGCTCTACGGAGTAACTCATACCATTTGGTCAGCCCTGCGGGAACTTTTGCTGGAAGGGTTCGTCTTGGAAAATGCAGACCAGGCCAATTCGATTGGCACCCTCAAGCCTGACGGACGACTCATAATGCGACTTACCTCGTACAGCGGCAGGTAAGATGCAAGGCGTTGCAGTTGGGTAGGTGACTTCTCCAACAACAGCCAACATCCGCTCCGACACTGCGTCTGCTGATGCCATGCACCGGGGTGAGATCACAGGGCCCGGGGGTTAGCTCGCAGAACCCTTTTCAAATGGGAGGAGTTGGCCAGGTAAGACGCCGAGGAAGCTGCGGGCGGTTGCTATATAGACCCCGAGAACTGCCCAGTTAAGCATCGTCCATAGCAGCTAGTCATCTATCATCCCTTGGAACATTCATCCCACCTCACCCATAGCAAACCGAGTCCACACCCACAAGTCCCACACCATGAAATTCCACACCTCTGTCCTATCTCTCCTCCTCACCCTCACCCTCCCCTCCACCCTCGCCCAATCCCCCGTCGACAACGCCCTCGCCCAGTTCCGCACACTGAACGACCGCATCGACGCCGTGCAGAGCTCCATCGACGGCTACAGCGGCGGCCTAAGCGGCGTCGTGCTCGCCCTCCCCGTCGCAAACTCCCTCTACAGCGCGCACACCGCCGCAAGCACAGCTCGAACCTCGCTGAGCGCCCTGGACCCCCTTTCGCCAGCGGACAGCCAGCGCGCGCTCGACGCGTACAACGAGGTCCATCCGCGCTTGATTCGGGCGCTGAATGCGGGGAGGGATAAGGTAGCACCACCCATTTGACTCCTGCTCTTCTAGATAAATATCCATGAATGGATGCTGATAAGGACGGGTACAGGCCGCGGTCTTCAAGGATGTTGGCGTTGGCTACGTTGCGCAGGGGATGATTAGTAACCTGTACAATGAGAAGAATCGCTTTGAGGAGGCGCTGAGGGCGAAGGTGTATCCGGGGTACTTTCAGAATGACCTGGCGGAGGCGGTTGACGCGGCTTTTCAGGATACGTTGGCGCGGTTTTCTTAGGGGTTGGGTCGTTTACGTGCGTAGCATCTAGCTAGGACTGCCGTTGTTGTTGAGCTGCATCTACTCCGTACATTCTTCAGTTTAGTCTGAAGTACTCCGTCAAATTGCTTCTTCGGTGATTAGTTCGCGTGGATCGGTAATCGCGGCCGTTGATGGCCAACGGAGTGAGACATGACATCGAGGATGCACCTCCATCAGATCCAGTGTCTCCAAGATGACCGATACAAGGCTCCTCACCCGTCACATTGGCACATACACGGTTCAGGTTCGGCGGAGCATCTGCCCCTCTTTCAGCCTCCTTGCAGGTGTAGATACAGTCAGTCTGTCCCCGGACTGTGTTTGAAATTGGACTGCCATGCCTCTACTCCGTATGGGGGTTGCATCGCGTGTGAGTGTGGACCTACCCGTGGACAATTGCACCTGATGCACTGGAAACTCAAACCCTAGCCGTGATGATGCAGGGCTGGCTGAGAATGAGATGTTGGCCACGGAGACAGCGGCAGCGACGGCACCTGGCGGACTACAGTAGCAAACCTGCAATGATACACATCACATTCATCCGACCCTCGCTACTGCACGGTTTTGTCGAAAGTTGGAGGCACCTCGTATCCCGGTGACCCTCCAGCTTTCAATTGAGTGATCAGAGGGGCCTTCATGCAGCGTGGGTGTGCCTGAGCGTGCCTGCATGCAGCCCTGTCCAATGAACGCCTGCATTGGCCCCTTTCTTATTATTGAGTGCCAGTCAGCCAGCCAAGTAGGACTAGGCACAGAGGCAACTGGGCATATCTTCAGTTGCACGGCATCTGCAGGTCGGAATACGGCCGTTCTTGTTGGCATTAGAGCGTGTCTGCAGCGACGGGTCAGAACCCCTTAACCACTCCCTTAATTAAAAGGGGTTTAGCGCTGTCTTAAAATAAAAGGCAGTTTAAAAAATTAAGAAAGACACTCCCTTGTTAAGGGAGCCTATTTCTTAATAAAATTAGGCTTAGTGCGTTATTAGTACCTGTTTTAAATTAAGGCCTTTTATTATAACTTTAAATCACGTTAATATATTTATTTAAAGTTACTTTATACTAAATTTATATATAAAGCTACCTTTTAAAAATAAAAAACTTTTAAGCCTAGTTTTAAGGCAGTGCCTAAAGTATATAATAATAATTATTTTAATTTTTTTAACTTTTATTATATTTACTACCCCTGGTTATTAATATATTAGCCTTGTAGCTTTATTTTTTTATATTAATAATTTTTTTAATAATTTAAATACTTGTACTGCCTATATATTTACCTGTATAAATAAATACCTTACTATTACTAGTATTAATTATACTTAAACCCATGTTAGTACCCGCGCTAGTGCCTGTAACTAAGCTTATAATTAAGCCTATAATTAAGCCCTTAATTAAGCCCGTGTTAATAGTACTTTTAATAACCTAAATACCTATAGTGCCTATAAATCTACCTGCGCGGGTAGGTACCTTATTATTACTAATATTAATACCCTTTAAGCTAGTAAAACAAGCTAGTAGGAATATAGTATTAAAAAATTAATAACTTATTAAAACTTATAATATTAATTTATAATTATATATAATAAGTACTGGCCCTATAGCATTTTAAAAAATAATAAATTATTAATTTAAGTAGGTTACTTATAAAAATTAGTATAGTTTAAAAATAGCTTAAAAAAAAGCTTTTAAACTTGTAGCTAAATTTAATATTTAACTTAAAAAAAAGGTAATAAGTAAAAAATACACTAAAAATAGCTATATAAAAAACGCCTTACTTAAATTCTTAGCTTATTTAAGCTTTATTAAAAGCGCTAAAAAAACGCAAAAATTACGGGTAACTAAGTAAGTAAATAATAATAAGTATATAATAATATATTATAATAATTTAAGCAAAGGTTAAGCAAGAAAATAAGCTAAAAAAAGTACTTAAAATAAAGTTATTTTAACCTTTTTTAACACGCCTATTAAAGTTATTATTTTAACCTTTTTTAACATGCCTATTAAACTTAATAATAATATTAATATACTAAAAACCTTTTTTTACCCTTTTATTATATTACTAAAGGCTTTATATTAAATACCTAAAAACTATTAAATAACCCCTTTTTAAGTAAATTTTATATAAATTTTTAGTTAAATAATTTTTAAGTATTTAAAGGCAAGCCCCGCGGGTAATAAGGTGCAGGATTTTAAAATAAAAATAAATTAATTTAATTATTAGTTAAAAAAGCTATAAAATACTTAGGGTTAAATATTAGGCTTTATAAAGTATTTTAACTATTACTTTATAAATTAGGCTTACTTAAATATTTTTTAATTATTATTAGCGCTATATTAAAGTATTTTAATATTAAATTTTTACGCCTAACGCGCAGGCAAGTTAAAATATTAGTTAAAAAAATAATAATTTAATATTTTACTATAATAAAAATCACACTAACTTGCTAATATAACTTAAATACTAGGTATTTTTAATTTTTAGTAATTAAACTAAAAGCCTGCTTAATAAAAATTTATAATTTTAAAAAATAAATATTAAATACCCTTTACTTAAAAATAAGGCCTCTTAATTTTTTATATAATATAATAATATTATACTTGCCTTTATAGGCGCTATTTTTATATAAAAATAAAGTTTTTTTACCATTATATAACTTTTTAAAAAGTTAATTAATTTTACTTTTATTTTATATAAGCATGTTATTTACTTTACCTTTAAAAGGGCCTTATAAAAATAAAATTAAATTATTAAATATTACAAGGCCTTAATACTTTACACCGTGTTACTTTTTATATTTTAAATAATAAAACTTTTAGTTATTTTTTAGCTTATAAACTAGCCTAAAAGTGCTATTTATAAACCCTTAAACTTATACCTTAAAATTATAAGCCATGGCTAGCTTATAAGCCTTTATATAAGTTAAAAAATAATATTAATAAAAAAATTTTTTAAAACACTAAGTTATATAAATTAAAGTATTAATATAAATAAATAAAAGCCATAAGTAGCTTTATTTAAAAAAGCTTTTTAAGGTTTTTATTTTATATAAAAATAAAAGGTAAGTAAAAACAAGGCATATTATAAGCTTATAATTTAGCTTATTATAGTATTAATATTTAATTTAACTAAGTTTTAAAAAAAATAAAAATTAATAAATTTCCCCTGCGTTAAAGCTATATTAAATTAGCTAAAAACTTTTATATAAAATTATATACCTTTTATTTATTAAAAATAAAAAAGCTAGCGCTCCCGCGGTAGCTAATTAAGGTTAAATTTAAAATAATAATAAAGCTTTAAACCTTAGTAAATATAGCTAACTATATTAATTAAGCCTGCCTTTTTTATATATACTATTAAAATAGTTATAAATAATATTATTTTTTTTATTTTAGGTAATGGTGGTAGTAATAAATAATAATATTAAGTAAACATGTTAAGTTTATGTTTTTATATAAATTACTATAATATTAAAAATATTTTTATTTTATATTTAATTTTAAATTTTTAGCTGGCTTGGCAAAGGCCTACACATGACGTCCGGGCGATAAAACCGGCAGTATTAAATTAAGGGGTGGCTCCAATTTTTGGCTGCAGACACGCTCTATTGAAGTCATGCGAGTGCTTCCTCACCAAAGTACGTACTATAATGGAAGGAGGGACTGTGCCTCTTCTAGACCCGAAGGGATCATGATCCCAGTTCCTCATCAGCAGTCGATCCCACGCTTACCCAATGTCGTCAATGATCGTCCTTGTTCTCGTTCACTCACAGTTCCTCAAGCCCGTCTTGCTCCTCTTCATCCTCGCCAATTCCCTGCAGCGCCATCCACTCCCCCACCACCCCCTCATAATCAGCAGGACGATACGCCTCCGTCCATTCCCTCCACCAACCCCTCAAACCACTCCCATTCCTCCTCGTTTCGACCCCAAGATCGCCAAGTAGCCCATCCACATACGGCAGACTATCGAACACCAGATCCTGATGCTGCCCGCCCAACCCACCCGTCTCGCGAGGCCGTCGGACCTCCCCGTAGACTCTGTCACGGATAGCCATGCTTCGAACGGCGGTGTACATGTCGGTGTCTAGATTAGACTTCTTGATGTCGTTGTCGTGGTCAAGAGGCAGATGCAGGTGGGCGATCCTATCGCTGAAGAGCGCTGTTATCCATAGGGCTTGCGCCTGGGCGACGAGGACGGCGTGGATGGAGACGGACATGCCGATGAAGGCGAGGTTCCTGCGCTCGATGAATTGGCGTTGGACAGGGAGGATGTCGCGGCATAGTAATGGAAATGCGGACTCATTCTCCTTCTCCCGCGAAACAGAGTGTTCATGGTAGGTAGGTGCATTCGGTGTCCGCCTAGGCAGGGTTCTCAGATACGGAACATCCTCATGGATTGTCTCGAGTGCCTCCTTCGTAAGGACTGAATCGTCTTCCTCCAACTCAGGCTGTTCACCTGCATCCGCCTGCAACTGCACAGGGATATCACACCTCCACCCCGTGCAGAGCACCAACGCATCAGCACCGAGTACATCGCCATTCCCCAAATGAACCCTCCCTTCACTCAGCTCCTCCAACTCAGCAATATGAACGCGTATCCTCCCCGCCCGCACAAGGTCAAACCAGCTCGTCTCGTAGTTGTGGATGCTGAGCGAGTTGCCCATCCAGAAGGGCGTGGTCCAGGGCTCGAGTTTCTTGAGGTCGGGGTGGGAGTTGTAGCCATTCATCTTTCGGATTATATAGTCGAGGTAGCTCCAGAAGAGATGCGTGATCCATTGCCCGAGTCTGGCTCGATGGAGGAACCTTTTCACCCATGATGGCCTGCTAGGGCTCGGTGTCAACGGATACGGTGCAGGAGCAGGGTCGAATAGCGTAAAAAGTCTGATAAGTGATAGTTTCGCCAGCGAGATCTTAAACGGACCGAGCGAAAACTGTCGTGGCCAGAGATAACTTGGTCCGCCTCCAGACGGCCGAATGACCATGTCGACCTGTGCGCCGGCCTTCGCAGCGGTATAGCACACGTCCCAGGCGGACTTGTTCCCCCCGACCACGACGACGCGCTTACACTGTGCCAGTGCCTGCGCCTGTTCTCTGAGTTGCTTCGAGTGCAGTATCAGCCCACCGAACGCTCTAGATCCCGGGATGTGCGGAATATATGGCGTCGACGTGAGACCCGTCGCGATGACCAGTTTCTTTGCGTAGATCTTCTCAACCCGCTGTGAACCAGCAGATCGGGACTCGGTTTTAACCTCCCATACCTCTTTCTCAATCATCGCATCAACAACCCTAGTCCCAAGCCTCACCCGCTCCGTGAGCCTAAAATGCCCCGCAACATCACACAGATACGCATGCACCACTTCCCCCGGAATATGCCCCGTCCCTTTACCCTCAACGCCATATCTCTCCGGAACCATGGGATAGTCACTCAGTTCATACGACCCGAAGACATTATTCGTCTTGAGGCCCGGGTAGAGTCTCTCGCGAGCCCAGGTTCCGCCGAGCGAGGATGCCTCGTCGACGATGACCAGTTTCGCGGATGGGTGGACTTGCAGGTATGTTTTGGCCATTGTGAGGCCGTGCAGGCCTTTATTGTAGTGGATGTTAGGTGTAGAAATAGAAACTAGTGGGAGCTGTGTGGACGTACCTGCGCCGACGACGAGGAGATCAACGGGGTCTTGATCCTGAGCCATAGCACTATTGATGACCTTGATGATAGAGACTTGATGTCCCAGCACTGCACCTTATATAACGGCTGGTCTTCATCGCACTGCATCTCGTATCCAGGCTCTGATTGGCGCCAGCTCAGCCTCGGATAGTCTTCGTGTCCCACATCCTCCGTGGCTTCTCCGCATCCCCTCTTCCTCTTCCCCAGATAAGCACTTCCCCCTCCCTGCTACCTAACCTATACCACCCCCCCTCACCACCCATCAAAATATCTTTCAACAGTGAAAAAGGCACAGAATCAACCATGACGACCGACCTCCATCCCGCCGCCGAAACCCTCATCACCACAGCGTCCGAATTCCTCGCCGAAGTCGCAGACCTGTCTGTACCCCTCCCCACCCCGACCCTTCTCACACCTTCCCCCCTTACCAACCAAACTAACACCCCCAGAACCCCCGGAACATCGCTAGAAACGCACCTAAACGCCTCCTACGGCCCCGGGAACCGGTACTACGAACGCTTCAAATCCCTAATCCTACACGCTCTCCAGGAAAACGAACCCTGGCTCGCGAGCGACGCCCTCGACGGGCCCAAATACCGACGCAGCAGACTGCTCGCCCCCTCCGAGCGCACGCGCTACTTTTCCATTACGACGGTGTACATGGAGTCCATTCCCGAATACAGAGGGCAGTACCATCTGCATCCGTACGGGGAGATCAACTGTGTGATTCCCGTCACTGAGGGCGCCGAACTCAAGGGGATGAATGGGTGGCAGGGGGCGGGGTGGACTTCGCCTGCTGCAGGGACGCATCATTATCCAGAGGTTAGAGGGGGAGCGCTGGTTGCGTTGTTCTTTCTGCCTGCGGGGCGGATTTCATATGCGGCCAGTCCGGAGATGGAGCAGCCGGTTTGTGTATGATTTATTTTCATGTATGATTCTGATCTAGGTCGTGATTAACATCGTGGTGTATTATTTCCGTACCCGCTGCCCAGATATGCGAATGAGAAGTATGTACAGGTGGTATCATAAGTGCTTAAGTGAAAGAGGCCGCTGCGCCAGGCACCAGCCGTTTTATCATATCCAAGCGTAGAGTCGTGCCAAAATGATCAAACAAATTCAAAACATGTCCATGTCGAGGGCGCTGGCGCTGGCGCTCATGGCTGCGTGTACGGTGTGAGCCAGCCTCCCTTTTCCCATTGTCCGGGTTGGTATACGGCGGCGTTGCGCGCTTGCTCCTCGTGGATTCCCGCGAGGAGCGTGTTCAATCGGTTGAAGTTGATTGGTTTCATGATCCACCCGTCAAACCCGATTTCCATGTACATCTGCGCGTCCTTCTCGAGCAGGGATGCGGAGACGGCGAAGATGGGGATGTGAAGCGGAGTCTCGCTTTGACTCTCGAACTGACGGATTCTCTTGGTTGACTCCATACCGTCCAGGATCGGCATCTGCAGCGGTGAGTACATAGCTGAAGTATAAACTAAGCCTACTTACTTGAATATCCATCAACACGACGTCCCATTGCGTCGGCTCCTCCGCATACGTGTTCGCACACTCTTCCCCATTGACTGTGAGCCGAACGGTGTGCCCAAGTTTCCCCAGTCGCTTCTGCAAGATTTTCGCGTTGATCGGGTCGTCCTCGGCCACCAGAACATGGAGAGGCGGTGGTCCCGGTCCACCTGCATTCGAATTGGGATCGGATGTAGATCGGTCTGTAGGCTGCGAGGCCGTCGATTCTGAAGGGTGATGCGCACTAGATGCTGTCGAATCGGTCGATCGTTTCGGGGGGTCTTGACCTTCGGTGTCTGATGCTTGTTCACCAGCATCGCTGGGTTGTACTTGCGACGCCTCGCGATCAGCACTGGGCGTGTCCGGTTGAGACGTTGGAGGAAGGTCTGGACGGCCGGTGCTGTCCTGGCTATTGCGTTTAGTACCGGAGGTACTGTCGACGAGAATCATATCCTCTCTCGTCGGGAACGCGGTCACAGAGTCCCTAGTGGTAACAGGAAGGTGTTCCAGAGTTGGGCTCTTTGTCTCCGAACCTTCGGGTATCGGGAACTGTAGCGAAATTTGAAAGCGACTGCCTTTTCCTTCTTCAGACCTGACAGTGAGCTGGCCCTGCATGTTGCGCACTATCCGAGCCACCAAGGCCAGTCCAAGTCCCAAAACAGCCTTCTCCGAGACCTCGCTGTGACTCTGAGAAGCGTTTTCATCGCCATGATCGCCATAGTAATGAGAGTCGTCTTCTCCCGAAACTTGCTCCAGCTCGCGGAATAGCAGCTCCAGCGTCTTCGGTGAGATACCTCGCCCAGTGTCCAAAACCGCAAACTTCACGGTCACCTTGTCCGGATCGCCTTCGCAGGGAGCGTGCCACGCTTCGACAGTCACTCCGCCAGTGGAGGTATGTTGTATCGCATTCGAGATAAGATTACTGATCGACTGCCGGACACGCCGCTGATCCCCAATCACAGTATCAGGAATTCCAGGCTGCGATAGAACGGTGTAATTCAATCCTTTGCGTTTCGCCTCGCTTTCGAACATGTTCGTGGCTTCGTTGAACGTGGTCGGCAAGTCGAAAGGTTCATCCTTGATCAGACTCTGACCCTTTTCCACATTGGTGAGGTCGAGAAGGTCATTGATGACATAGATCAGCGACTTCGATGCAGAGTAGGATTTGCTCAAATGATCTCTAGTCTCTCCGTCCAGCGCACCCTCGAGGGCAATCTCCAGATAGTTGACAATGGCGTTCAGAGGCGTGCGTACTTCGTGGGCGGAGTTTGCCAGGAGCAATTTGGTGAGGCTGGAGCTTTCCAAGGCGGCCTCTTGCTGCCGCCAGACCTTGATGAACTTGCCATACACCAGGCAGAGAACAGCAGCGGTATCGACTTCGGACTCGGTCCAGTCCCGGCATCGATCCAGAACAGTCTCGCTCCAGGTCTGAAAGCTTTTCCGGGGTTCGAGATGGCCTGCTGTGAACTTGGCCTGGTGCGGATTGCCGCCCCATTTGACCTCGGTGAGCTGACCGCGTCGGAAGAAGACAATAAAATCCAGACCGTCGGTCGACAGAGGCACGTATAGCAAGCCCGAGATATCCTTGAAGCCCGGAGGATAATTGAGGTCTCGGAAATCTTTGACGACGTGGTTGGATGTCAGAACCGAATTGTACTTTCGAACCTTGAGGTATTCCAACAAAGCCAGCATCTCCTGAGACTGGGGCGACTTGGCCAGAATCTTGATCTCACCGCGGATGCAGAGGGCACCGTAGTCGGCATCGACTAGACGAAGAAGATCGTCCGAAGAAGCAACGATGTAACCGGAGGGATTAGCATCGGTGGGAACTGTGTTGATAAGCTTGCGAGCCTGCAGTCGTGAAGCGTAGGATAAGCGCTCGATGTTTCTGGAAACGGTGTCACCGATCAAGCGACACATCTTTCGAATGGGGAAGGACACTCTCATGCCTCTCGTTCCGTATCCATGACAGGATATGAGGCCCCAGAGATCGTCCGCGCTGTTGATGCTTATTGACATGGAAGACCGAACTTCCATGTTGGCCAGATATTTGATGTGGATGGGAGACATCGCCCGGAGGTAGCCATGGGTCATGTCCAAGGGTGTTTCGAGATCCTCAAGTGACCGACACACAAGTCGGGCGGTAACATGGTCCCGGTCATAAAGCAGGCGAACTTTGTTTATTCGATAGAGGTCTCGCGCTTGTTTAGGGATATCCGCGGCTGGAAAGTGCAGACCCTTGAACAGATCAATACTCATTGTCGGGTTGACCAACTCCGAGACAACTTTGCCGTTGAACTGCGAGTCAAACTGATATATGAGAACGCGATGAAATCCTGTTAGCTCTTTGACAATGCCCGACGTCGTGTCCAGCAGCGTCTCCATGTTATCCGCACGGGCCAGCTGCTCCTGAATTTGGCTGACGATGCTAAAGACCTCCATGGCAGCTGCCTCGCCTCTTCGCCGGCGGGCACGACGTAATATGCGTAATGGCTGGTTGATGGCCATCGAGCTGCCGGCGATCTGCTCTATCGTGGGCATGATTTCGAGGGTATTGGCGGGAACGGCAGGGGAGACCTGGCCTGACATAGTCAGAGGATTGATCGGATCTTCCTCCAGCTCAAACTCGCAGACGACCAGGCCGTCGAGTGCAGGGCTGGTGTGCATGGCGCACCACACGCGGGTTGTACTGCCGTCTGGCTGATTCACAGTCAGAATGAACACCTCCGGGCCATCCACCGACGGGTCATAACCGTCATCCTTGACAAAATCGACATGGTCGAGAAAGTTATCCGCCTGGTCATCCGGAAAAATATCGCAAAAGGTGGGAAGGGAGAAGAGTTCGTTCGGAGTGTAGCCAAAGACGTCTTGTGAGTTTTCGCTCACGATGCGGACCACCATCTGCTCGTCCGGTTCTTCTCGCACGGCAACCAAGACACCAAAACTCTGAATGGCGCCGGGTATGTGGATCGGCTCGTCTTCACATGCTTTGAAGGAATCGACGGTCCTCCCAGTGATTACGGCATGGCCATCGTCGGTCACGACATGTCGGAATCGAGATGTCATGAGCTCGTAAGGTTGTTGATTGTGGGGGTGCTCCCCATCCGAGCTGGGGGTAAAGATGGTGTTGTCGTCGCCCTTGTGAAGCCCTGCAGTGTTGGAGCGTGGTCTGCTGGAGGACGAGTCTGACATCCGCTGAGACGAAGCAGGCTCGGAACTCTCCGGCGTCACCCCCGCGTCTCCGCTGGTGTCCGTCGAGGTTGTCCTGCTATCCGACCGCAAACGAGTCCAGGTGTGATCATCGATAATCGAGAACTGGCGAGCGCCACCGGTCGGAGAAAGGGGACTCTTGACGATGTGCGAGGGAGGTTCGGAGGACGAGGAAGGGTCGAGCGAGACTAGCGACCGGATGGGATAGACTCGGTCAGAGACACCGATCGATCTGTCGTGCGAGGGAGCGGAAGCCGCTCCCTGGTCTGGAGCTGCCGCTGAGGGATCAAGGACGGGGGTAGGCGTTTCATCGTGAGGGGGATCCCCTGGCGGAAGGGCGGGAGGGGTTTGGTCGGACATCCTCGAGGGAGAGCAAGGATGCGCTCAGCAAGCTCGGTGCATTAGGTTCGATCTGAGGGCAGCAAATCCGGGGAGGAACAGGTGAAGCGAGGAAAGTCTGGCTAGGTGAGGGAGCAAGGCCAAGTGCGGGCGAGAGCAAGGAACGCTGCGGGGCTCGTGGGCGGCCGGAGTGAAATCACAGGCGAGTCAAGCCACACTCAGCACAGAGGGCAGAGGCGAGATCGAAGAGAAAAACAGCAGGAGATGGCATTTCCGAGGCGAGGCGTGGGAAGGCAGAGCGAACTGATGTCTGCCCGTCCTGCCCGCCTGCCTTGGAAGAGCCCGGTCACATGACCCCCGGGGCCGGCACCCGCCAATAGAGACGCCCCTGGCAGACTGTTCCAAGGCACGGCGGTGGGTTTGCCAATGACCATCGCCCGAATCGTTATGGACCCAGCCGATCCCACTCGATCGAGATGCTGAATTTGAACAGCGCGGATTCGTGAATCGACGATGTGAAATGGAAGAACGGGGAGTTGACCTGGAGAGAGTCGAGAGTCGAGACTGAAGTCGAGAATGTCGAGCTCGACGTCGAGGCTTTGTTTGTTTGGCCGCCTACGTCATTGGCATGCTCGCAGCCATGTGATTCTGGAAATCGACCACAGCTGACTCAGCCGGAGCAAGCGGGCCGCTGGCGGGCCTTCGCTTAATCGGAACCTGGCCAGGCCTGGGACTGATTTCATGATTTCAAAGTCGAATATTTGACGCAAGCCAGCTTCCTAAGAATCGGACATACTGGCACATATGTTGTCCAGATTTACAAGCCCTTGTAGACCATTGGAGGTGGAAGCGAACAAGTCGAAGAACAGGCAGGATATTTCTGTATGCCGCGGAGCCAAGAAGATCTCGGGGTCCTGGACAGTGACTCCGTAAAGCCACAATGACTCCAAAGGTGTGGCTTTCCTGTGGCTTTCGCTGGAGGCGCCTCCGCGTCACGTGACTCTAGTACAGCATACAAACCATCACATTTAACATCAAGCGTCCTATATATGGCAAAGTGTAAGAGAGAGATAGACCGGGCTAGACCATTAGATAGTCTGTTAGTGTTGCTGCATTACGCTTATGGTCAGACGAGAGCCGATCGTTGACTCACAAGTTATTTACCACGCAGTCGAACACGACCAGCAGCTCAACAATCCATACAGCTGTGCCAATTCATCATGCATATAGAATGACTCAAGCTCTGTGATACCTTGCCCTTTTAGGTGCCCGACAAGCACGAATTGACTTGGCTTGTAATTCTCCCGTAAGCTTGATTCAAGAGCAGATATATATAGTTGGGGCATGCTTCCATCTCAACCAATATTTCTATGCAGACTTCAAGTATTCCTTAAAGAAAACTATGAGCTGCAATAGGGATTCATGCCTGCATAAGTATACTAGGTAAGCAACCTTGGAAGAGGAACACCCGGCCGCTCCCCTCATGATGAACATCACCTTTCACTCGCCGAGATGAAGCACGGGCATTGCTTAAGGCCGTGCATATGTATACCTCAAGGTTACTGAATATTGTCACTATCACTGAGATTGATGTCCTATCCTTGTGGAACTTCTGCTGACACGTTAGGCCCCCTTAGTAGATATACATGACCGAGACACCTGCTTGTCATCGCTGACACGTCCGGCCCATACTTCGCAGACTTGATTGGTAGGTAGACTGGAAGTGCATAGGCCACGAATACCTCTGTTGGACTAAAGCGAACGCTGACCGTATCTAGCCAAGTAATGTTATGTTTGACAACCTCAAATTAACTGGATTAGCAGTGCTTGATACACCTCAAGGTACTCCCTGATAAGCCTCATTGAGCGACCACGAATCATGGATAATCAGTTAGTAAATCTCACATAAGATACATTTATGCTCACTGGGTTACTTGATCTCCATCCTCCGCTCTGAGCCGTACAGAATGTACCCTACTCTTTGGTAGACAGCTCGTACATACACCTTCCACCAGCAGCCAACCCTATGGGACGAATGACATCGTCACCCCGCAATCATCCCCAGAAACATCCGCAGCGTGAGGAGTAATAGCCGCAATGCGAATCATCCTCGAGTAATCCAGCCAATAAAACACGCGTGATTGCAGTCATTGTTTACAAATCGTGACTTCCGCCGGTAGCCGAGCGCTGACGTGCCCGAGTCCGCCGCGCCTAGCCGCGCCTGCCGTATACTTAACCTTCACTGATACAGCACGAACAAGCGGTGGAAGCGGGAGTTTCTCACTGTCAGTGACGGAGAGATAGACGGCACCATGCTGCAATTATTACTCCCGGCGTCCTGGCCGGCTGCGCTGCTGGCTGGCGTTGTATTGGTATATACTCCTTATACTACCCTCCCCAGGTATAACCCGATCACTAACAAACATACAGCCCCTCCTCTGGACCCTCTACGCCAAAACCCTGCACCCCCTCTCTCGCGTCCCGGGCCCCTTCCTCGCCTCGATCACCCCCTTCGTCCAGCTCTACCACGGCCTCAAAGGCGACCGGCACCTCTGGATCTACGACCTCCACCAACGCTACGGCGACCACGTCCGGCTTGCGCCGAACTTCGTCTCCATCAATAACGTTGAAGGCCTGCACAGGATCTACGGACACGGGAATAAATTCCGCAAGGCGGACTTCTATAACGGGTTCCTGGCGATTCCGGGGGTTTATAACACGCATAATGCGATTGATAAGGTTGTGCATGGGCGGAAGAGGAGAGTACTCAGTCAGGCGTTCTCGGATGCTGCGCTCAAGGGGATGGAGGATGTTATGCTGCTTCATGTGAGGCAGTTGTGTTCGATTCTTGGGGGCGAGAAGCCGCGGACGAACGCGGATAAGGAGGGCTCGACGTTTAATATGGCGAATTGGTTTGGATACCTGACGTATGATGTTATGGGCGAGTTGTGCTTTGGGAAGAGCTTTGATATGCTTATTGATGGGGCGAAGAGGAGGATGGTTCATTTGGTTGATCGCGCTGCGTATCGGCACTACGTTGTATGTGCCCTGCCCTCTTTGCGACTGATCGCTGACGAGATAGTGCGGTCTCTGGATGCCTCTGCACCGCTGGCATCTCGACCAGATCTTTATCCGACGACTGACGAATGACCGGTGGAATTTCATCATGGAGTCGAGACAGGAAGCCAACAAACGGGCCAAGGAGAGGGCGTCTCTCGGGAAAGACGCGAAGAAGGATTTCTTCTACTACCTGCTCAACGCGCGCGACCCTGAAACCGGAAAAGGCCTTGCGACCCAGGAACTCTGGGGCGAGGCGAATGTTCTCATGATCGCCGGCAGTGATACCACGTCCACCAGTCTCTCTGCCGCCATCTTCTACCTGGTCCGCAACCCGCACGCTTTGAGCAAACTGCAGAATGAAGTCCGGTCTCACTTTAGCGACGTCGAGCAGATTGTCACCGGCCCCGAGCTGAACCAGATGACATACCTGAAAGCTTGCATTGACGAGGCGATGCGTCTCGCTCCCGCAGTCCCAGGGTCTATCCCGCGAGAAGCATCGGACCCGGTGGTCACTGTGGACGGTCTCGTTCTCCCGGAAGGAACCGGCTGCGGTACTCCTCCATACTGCATCCACAGACGCCCGGACTACTACCGCGAGCCTCTGAGCTACCTGCCTGAGCGCTGGATCGAGGGCTCAACCTGCAAGACGGCAGACTCTGACTGGACTGTGACGAAGGATGAGGTGGAAATCGCCCGCAAAGCATTCTGTCCCTTCAGCATTGGTCCCCGGGGATGTATTGGGAAGAGCATGGCGCTGATGGAGATGCGAGTCACCTTGGCTAGGCTGATGTATCTTTTCGATTTTGAGCTGGCGGATGCAACGGGCGAGGATGAGAGTGGGCACTTCAAATTGGTGGATCACTTTGTTGTCTCCAAGACTGGGCCTAATGTTGTTGTGAGGAAAAGGCAGGCTTGATTATTGTTACACTGATGGATGAGATATGAACAATGTGCAATTCTAAGACATCCCTAGTCTTTCTTACGTTCCATGCATGTAGTTCCAAGGCGCCACTGAGGGAAGTGCAATCTAACTCTGGACGATACGCCTTCGCAGCACCCTTTGGATATGGTTTCGGCCGCTACAACAATGTGCAAAGACCAATATTTAGCCTGCCTAGAATTTGACAAGCTTATCATACTCTGCTCAAGCCTCGGCTCACCAGCCAGACTCGGTTACCTCCGGACATCCTGCAGGTGCGCCACCGGACACACTCCGATGGTCCAAACTTCCAAAGCCACACTGTCACTCGTCACCTGTCACACTGTTAGTGAAATACAGCGGAACCAGTCCGTGCCCACAAATAGAACTCAAGATAGAGTGTCACAAACTTCCTTCGCTTTTGGGTGGATCGCCGTAGCTCCAAACCAACCTATAAGCATTGCCAACGGCCTTACACAAAGCTTCAGCCTTCCCCTCACCGGCTTTTGACGCCTTGCGGGGTGTTCCGCCTCCAGAGTCTGGGGAAGTCGAGGCTTGGAAGTTGGTGCTTTATGCGGGGGTTTGCGTGTTTGAGAGCCGCATTTTTCGCCCGCAAAACGGACGGGAGGGCTGCTACCTAGCACTCCGTTCCACACCCCCAGACCAACCCAGGGTACTGCCACGATGCCCTCGGACTTAGACGCTGAAAAGCCCAGCGCGATCGCGCTCGAGGGCAGCCCACCTGCGCCTGCGGATGAGTTTCCCAAGGACATACAGAAGCGTCCTGCGCAAGATGGATACCTGGCTTATACCCATGCTTGCGCTCCTGTACCTCCTTGCGTTCCTGGATAGGGGCAACATCGGCAATGCGGAGATCGAGGGCATGCTGCATGATCTGGACATGAAGGGGTGGAGTATAATTGGTGTTGTGAGCCTAGCACCTGATAATAGAATGAAATGATAGGGAGGGCGTGGGCTGATGGGCGTGGCAGTGACTGGACGGTCTTCTTCTTCTTCACGTATGTTGCTTTCGAGCTGCCGAGTAATCTGCTGCTTGAGAAATTGCGCCCGTCGAGACCCCTTCCGTGGCTGATGGTTGCTTGGGGGGTTGTTATGGTGCTCACCCCTAGTCCTCCTCAACGTCTTGTAGGGAGTATAGTGCTGATAAACAGAAAAGACGTTAATGGGAATCGTCCGCGATTACCATGGCCTCCTGATAGCGCACTTCTTTCTCGGTGTCGCGGGTACGTCTCGCGACCTACCAACATTCACCCAGCCCTATACCCGCGCCATCCAACTGACGCTGCAGGTGCTGTATAGAAGCAGGCCTCTACCTTGGAATAGCATACTAAATAACCCTTTATTCTGGCGTGGGCTATAGCTGTACGCCTACCTACCCCCTTCTAGCTTTTTCCGCCCCTTCTCTTGCGGGTGGTAGCCTCTTCTCACACTTAAGGCTAACATGGTGACAGAAGATGGACGGCGTCGCCGGCTACGCCGGCTGGCGCTGGATCTTTATCCTCGAGGGGATATTGACGGTCCTTGTTGGTCTTGTCGCGCTGTTCGGCATGTACGATTCCCCTGAGACGGCGGCACGGGTTTCTGACGCAGCAGGAACGGGAGTATGTGATTCATGCGTTGCGGACTCAGACGCAGGCCTTGCCTGGACATGGAAATGTTGTACAATATGGATATGCGGAGGCAGAGGTAGAGGCAGCGCAAGGACAGACCAAGTTCCGCGCGAAATACGTCCTCGATGCCCTGGGCGACTGGCAGATCTACGTCGGGCTGTTTAGTACATATCCCTCCCTATCTTCCCTTCTTCCATTCTAATATTCGCATTGTACTGGGACATAACATCCCCCCTCTACGGCATACCCTTCTTCCCCCCTCCATCATCCGCGATCTAGGCTACACCTCCTCAACGGCCCACCTCTTCACCGTGCCGATCTACATCACCGCCGCGGCCGTCGCCGTCTTCGCCATGTACCTGTCCGACCTGGTTAGGACGCGCTCGCCGTTCATCCTCTTCTTCATGAGGTTTATTGCGATGGGTTTGTGGTTGTGCTTGTGGCTGGGGCTCGCGGGGTGTCCGGGGATCGCGGGGTGTCTGGGGCTGTGTATCTGGGGGCTTTGTTGCTGTTGTTGGTTTGTCTCCCTCCCATTCACCCCTCCCAGTTATCCCGATCTGTGTGCAGGTGATGTATAGGTTGGCTACCTAGATAGGGCTAATCTTAATGTGCGTATAGAGATATACGCCGCCTCCCGGGCAACGTCACCTGGATCAGCGTGAATATAGCAGGCGAATATAAACATGCTGCTGGGATGGCCGTGCACATCGGGCTGGGAATCTGGCTGGGGCTTCATACCTAGGTACGCCACCGTACAAACTGTTATGTCTCTAACGTGTTGTATAGCAATGGCATCGAACTTCTACCGCGAGCAAGACGCCCCGCGATACGTCCTCGGCCACGCCCTCGAACTCGGCTTTTGTCAGGGCTGCTCGGTATCATTGCGGTCCTTATCCTGCCGTGTCGTATAGCCGCATCAACAGGAAGCGAGACGGACTGGATATCTCGTCGTTGGATTGGATAGCTATGAGATGGGCAAGCTGGGCGATCGCTCGCCGCTGTTTAGGGTTATGCTGTGATTCTCATCACATACAACCAGAGCACGGGGATAGATATACCGTGTATGGACATGGACTCATAGCAGAACATGCCTATTAAAGACCAGGGCTAAACATACAGACAGTGCTAGAACTAGATAAAATCAAACCAACCCCCAATCCTCCCTAATAATCTCCGCCCCCCGCTCCGCAACAGCATACACACTACTCATGATATTCCCGGACACATTATTCGGAAACACGCTTGCATCAACGACACGCAGTCCCTCCACGCCTTTAACGCGCAGCCTCGAGTCCAGTGCATCGCCCATCGCCACAGAGCCGCAGATGTGGTACTCGCCCACGACAACATCGCGAACAGCTTGCTTCGCTTGCTCCAGGTCCTGCAGGTCCAGTGAGGGGTCGGGGAGAGAGCGGTTTGCGATGGAGGTGTTCAATGGAGAGGCGTGGGATACTTTATCCGCCCAGCGGAGGAATGCAGCTAGGACGGTGACGTCTGCGTCGTGCGTGATGTAGTTTGGTTGGATTGTGGGTGGGGTGGAGGGGTCTACCATACCATCCATCCTGTTAGAGCGCCTTTATTCTCTAATGCTGGTGAGATGGGGCAGAGGACATACCGTTATTCTGGATGTGTATATACCCCCTCGACACAGGGTACTGCAGACACAGCGCCGCCGTCGCACCAACAGGCTCGCCCGGCGGCGGCGGCCTGAACAGGTCCCGCTGGTGCTCGACGCCGTCTTTATCGACGGTCCCAGGGAGGAAGACGAGCTGCAGGTTCGCGGAGATGTTGCTCTCCAGGTGCGCCACCACCTGGTCCAACTGTTTCTCGTGGAACGGAGAAACAGGCTTGATGGCGCGGATACTCTGCACGATGTCGTCGAGTTCCGAGGGCGACAGGATGCTGCGTGCCGGGATGAAGCCCTGCGTGCTTGCGATCGAGCTTAAAGGCCCCGTCCCGGTCTCGACGTACTGCTTTGCTGCGGCGCTCGCGGCGTCGGGGACTTGTGCCAAAGTATCTGTCGTTATGGTGCCCGGCTGCATCGACCAGATGATCACGGTGAGGCTGTGATCCTGGACGTTTGCGCCGACGCCGCGGTTCTCGATGAGACAGTTTACGCCCGCTGCGTCCAGAACATCTGGGTCGCCGATCCCTGAGAGTTCTAGGATCTGCGGGGATTGGATTGTCCCGCCGCAGACGATCACCTCGCGGCTTGCGCGGATTGTGTACTCAGTCCCCTGGAAGGTGACGCTCACTCCTGTTGCTCTGGTCCCGTCCAAGAGTACTTTGTTGACCCGGGCTTCGCAGAGAAGCTTCAGGTTGGGTCGGGACCGGTTTGCTTCGTAGTACTCGCGTCCCGCGTAGCTTCGTTTTCCCTTGTTTGGCCCTGTGCGTGCCACGGCGCCGAGCGTGTGGTAGAAGCCGATGTGGTCGCCGCTCCAGGCGTCGAGAGGCATGTCGGGAAGGTTTGCAGTGGCCCCGCAGGCTTTCACGAAGTCGTGCTCTATGGGCAGGAGGGCGTCGTTGAAGCTGGTCCTTATAGGGCCCGTTGTGCCGTGGTGTTCGGGGGCCAGCGGCGATGCGGCATTTATGGGTTCGAGGGTCTGGACTCGCATGTTAGACCGTGTTCTTTTGTTGGAATAGGGGAGGTGGACCTGATGCTTCCGCATGTACCTCTTCATACTCGCCGCAGACCAGCCCTGATCACCGGTAAGAGCCGCCCAGTCGTCGTAGTCCTGCAGCGAGCCGCGGACGTACATCATGTAGTTGATGCCGCTTGAGCCGCCGAGGAGTTTTCCACGGGGAATATGGTGGACCTTGTTGTTGTTTCCGGGCTGCGGCGCGGTATACAGACACCAGTCGTACTCGGGGTCCTCGAACATGTGCATGAAGGTTGCCGGGGTGTCGACGAGCGGGTCGCCGATCTTGTACTTGCCTGCTTCGACGATTCCCACGTTGACGCTGGGATTCTCGCTTAGACGGGCGGCGACGGCGAGGCCGGCTGTGCCGCCGCCGCAGATGATGAAGTCGAAGGGGGTGGAGGTGAATTCGTCGATTGAGGAGACGGGGGAGGGAGGAGCGTTGCCGTTGAGTTTGGGATCGGTCATGGTGAGTGAACGTTTATGCTGGTATTGATGTATAGCAGGAACTTGAGCGGGGAGCACAACAACCCTCACGAGGGTGAAATGGCCTTTTATACGTAGCTTCGGTGGCCGGATCTCGTAGGCACTGGACGCCTGGGCTGGACAAAGAAACCTTACCTACTGCCTACCCCGGCATCATATGCCAACCCCACCCCCGCGAAGGATCCATGGCATCCATGGCGGCTGTTCGTAATGTCTGCTCATTCGCCCAATGGCCAGTGCGGGGAATCCTAAGCATCATCCGCGGCTGCTCGGTGCAGTGCTGCCATGTAAGCTTATTTGGCACGGGCGTTGACGTGCTGGACGCCTTATACGCGTCCCGCCGGAGCGGAAGGCCTGGTATTCGTCCTTCAGCTTCAATTTATCAAAAGCGGGGATTGACCCGTCACACGTCAGCTTATACCCCGGCGTGCTTTCTCGAGATATGACTGGCCCTGTGGAACGCGAGAATGTTGTGTGCCGTCGGCGGGCGAATATCCCATCCCACCGACTAAGCCTGGCAGACTGGTGGTCCCCCGCAATGCGAGGCCGTGTGTGTAGCCGTATCCAGTGGCATAGAGTGATAAAAGAGGATTTGCATTCGATTCGAGGCCACCTGCACCAGGTATTCTTTCTAGTTATAGCGGCGGTGGTATAGCCCATTGACTCGGAACTCCGAGCAGGCCGCCCATCGTGGTTCCCATGCTCTTGGGGCTCTGTCACCTATTTGTCTCAGACCTGAATGATATGTTGCAAACTCGTCAGTTCGCTATATAGGTATCAGCAGTCGGGCGGCTCTGAGAATGGCTATTGGGAGAGAGAGTGCGCTCCAGAAGCGATAGGAATTTACCCTGCCCAGGACAGGACAGGACAGGGATAAACGGGCCAGGCCACGAAGCCTGGATGACGCTCGATGACCGAGTCGAGAATCGACTGAGAGATTGAATCCATTCCGCGGATGGCATTATGAATCGAGCAAGAGTGACGAGTACAAGTAATGACAAGAACAACAAGGACAGAACAACAAAGAACAAGAAGATAAGAACGATGAGAGATAAGATAGAAGATAAGAGCTTGTAGCACAAGACTTTGAAAAGGGAAGGTCCTTCCGTGCCCTGCATCCAGCTGCATGAGCACACCAACCCGAGCTCATTTAAGGCTTCATCACCTTTGTCTCTCTCTCTCCCAACCATCATCCAAATCAACAGAATGCCCGACCTCTTTGTCGATCTTGTCGCCCCGAACGGCACCCGCTACACCCAGCCCACGGGCCTCTTCATCAACAATGAGTTTATCGCGTCCAGTGGGCAGACCATCACCTCGCTTGACCCCGCGTATGTCCCCTGAATCGTCCGACGAACCCGTGGACAGTCACTGACCAGCATAGCACCGACGAGCCCATTGCCACCGTCCACGCAGCCAGCCCAGAAGATGTCGATCGCGCCGTGAACGCCGCCAAAGCCGCCCTCGCGCACCCATCGTGGAAGAAGCTCCCTGCGACCGACCGGGGCCAGCTCATGGGCCGACTGGCCGATCTCATGGAGCAGAACAGGGAGTTGTTCGCAACAATCGACGCCTGGGATAACGGCAAACCGTACCATGTTGCGCTGAGTGAGGACCTGGTCGAAGCGATCGGGACGATTCGGTACTACAGCGGCTGGGCCGACAAGACGTTCGGACAGACCATCAGCACAACGCCTGAGAAGTTCGCGTATACTATCCGGCAACCGGTTGGCGTTGTTGGGCAGATCATCCCGTGGAACTACCCTTTGTCCATGGCCTGCTGGAAGCTAGGGCCCGCTCTGGCTTGCGGCAATACAGTTGTCCTCAAGCCAGCGGAACAAACACCGTTAAGCGCGCTTATACTGGGAAAGCTGATAAAGGAGGCTGGATTCCCACCGGGCGTCGTGAATATCGTCAATGGGTACGGTCGGGAGGCTGGCGCAGCTCTGGCAGGTCACCCCCTTGTCAACAAGATCGCGTTTACAGGGTCCACCATGACAGCCCGCGAAATCATGAAGCTGGCCGCGGGCACGCTGAAGAACATCACCCTTGAGACCGGCGGCAAATCGCCTCTACTTGTCTTCCCCGACGCCGACCTAGAGCAAGCCGTCAAGTGGTCGCACTTCGGCATCATGTCCAACCAGGGCCAGATCTGCACCGCCACGTCCCGGATCTACGTCCACCACGACATCTTCCAGTCCTTCCTATCCAAGTTTAAAGAAGCCGTCGAGACGACATCCAAGATCGGCAACCAATGGGACGAGACAACCTTCCAGGGCCCACAGGTGACGCGCGCCCAGTACGACCGGATCCTCTCGTACATCGAATCCGCAAAGAAAGACGGCGTGGAGGTCGTCACCGGCGGCTCAGCACACACGCCTTCAAGCGCGAAGAACAAGAACGGCTACTTCATCCAGCCGACCGTGTTCACCGGCTCGAGCGATACCCACGCCATCGTCCGCGAAGAGGTCTTCGGCCCCGTGGTTGTGATCCTCCCATTCGCTAGCGAAGACGAGGCCATCCAGCGCGCGAACAACACGACATACGGTCTCGGCGCGGCGGTGTTCACGCGCGATTTGGAACGCGCACATCGCGTTGCGGCGGAGATCGAGGCCGGCATGGTCTGGGTTAATAGCAGCCAGGACTGCGATCCGCGCGTGCCGTTTGGGGGCGTCAAACAGAGTGGGATTGGGCGGGAGCTGGGCGAGGCCGGGCTGGAGGCTTATACGCAGGTTAAGGCTGTGCATGTGAATATGGGGAATAGGCTTTGATTGGGTTGGATCGAGTGAGTGGGTTGAGGGCTATACTAGGGAAGAATCTTCCTATATCGGATTCTACCTACCTACCTAACCTTAAGGTACATACAACAATAGAACCTGTATGATGAACTTGGACTTAGGGCAGAGTTAGCACAGACCAATGCGCAACCACGAATCTTGAATAGCCGATGTGCGCAGGTAGTCGATGAAGAACCCAGCTCTGCAAGCTCCCATACGCGCATTGTGAGCGGGGGGCGCGTTTCAAGTCGAGATATCCAGACGTTCCTATCGTAGACCCCCGGTCATGCTCTGTGTAAATGGATCTCCGAAGGATCCAGCAAGTCCTCCCAAGGAGATGCCCTGTTTCGCTGAAACCACATGGGATTTTGGTGCCTTTTGATCGGCTATGGACACAGACGTGCAGGGGACCCTGCAAACCAACCAAGAACGCAGTCTCGATTCCTAACAATGTACGCGACCAATACCCACCTCCACCGTGGACAGTCAGCAGGTCTCACATTACATGGACGCAATGTAATCCAGAGAAGCATGCCTAGCATGTCTAGTCTATCTTCCCCTTGAACGCCCCGTCCCAATCTCGATCTCGATCTCGGTCTCGGTGTGAAACAACGACAGGGAAGGACAACGCAAAGAGCTTCGGATTTCGGGCCTCACATCCAATAACGGCGCTCTGAGCTTCACCGAGTAACTCCTATCTGATATACTACCATGCGGCGGGCGCGGCCTATAGCAAGCCAGTAACCCTGAGGTCGTCTTTTGGGCCATCTCGGTTTGGTCGACGTTTCGGGTCCGGTCATGCTGGCGAAGGCTCGGATGGGAAGGCGATTCCGATTCCAGTCCGATACCTACACCAACGCAAGAGCTTGGGGTTGGGTGTAGTTCCAGCGCCACTGGTCTCTGCGACTTTCGTATATTCCTCCCGCCCCGAGCCCTAGGCCTTTGTGTGTTGCCACTCTACGGACCAACCTTATAGGCAGGTTGTTCCTCGATAGCGGTTCATGGGGCGGAGTTCCCCAGATAATGGGAGTATCTGTTACGAGAGAGAAATGTAGCCGTGATAGGACCCCGTGGAGTGATGGTGTCGGGTTGCTTGTTCCCCGGACTGTAATGGAGGGTATTTCGTGGAGTCCCCAGTGTAGGGCAGCCGTTGATGTAGGCCCGGGAAAAACTGCAAGGATATTGTAGAATGAATGGAGTTGGGCAATCAAGCACTATCAGTAACATTTTTCTGTCTTTTGTACCCTGGAATTCCTGTTAAACGCTGGAGATATAGATCCATTAGCAGTTAGGTAGGCATATCTTTCATACTGGACCCATAGATAAGACGCACCTCAGACGCCACGGTCAATGCTGTCGTGCCCTAGCGACTCTGAGTCGCTGATATCTGCCTCTCCAACTGCACGGTTCCACTGCTAGCAGTCCCCTTGCCTGCGTCTCGTCCCTCACCCGCAACGCCTCTGGCCGTCGATATATCGGAACCTGTTTCTCACACTCCTCCGTGCGGCATCCAGGGGCTCTCCGTCACATCATATTGCCATTCTCTTGTCTAGGTCAGATCTAGACTTGTTCAGCTTCATTGTCAGTTCACGCAATCATGGCCTCTCAATCCAACCCCCCCCAGTTCCAGCACCCACCCACCAACATCGAGCACAGCCAGCCCGAGAAAAAGCACGAGGAGGACGCACCCATGCCCATCGACGAACAAAAGGCCGAAAGCCTACCCTACCGCCAAGACGTCTTCGGCGACGAGTCCCACGCAGAGGTCAAATACAAGGTGCTGAAGTGGTGGTACGGCCCCGAGCCCCAGAGCCCCAGAGCCCCAGAGCCCCCTAACCCCCTACTCTTTCCTAAAACTGAACTGTGGAACGGCAGGCAATGCGGCCTCCTCATGGTCGCCGAAACAATCTCGCTCGGCATCCTCTCCATCCCCGCCGCAATCGCAGGACTGGGTCTGGTCCCCGCCATCGTGATACTGCTGGTAATGGGCCTGGTTGCCTCGTACACGGGGTACATAATCGGGCAGTTTAAGTGGGCGTTTCCGCACGTCGTGAGCATGGCGGATGCAGGCGAGGTCCTTATGGGTCGCGTTGGCCGGGAGGTTTTGTTCGGCGGGCAGATGCTGTTCCTTATCTTTCTGATGGCGAGCCATATACTCACGTTTACGGTGGCGATGAATACGTTGACCGGGTATGGGGTTTGTTCTCTGGTCTTTGGGGTTGTTGGGCTGGTGGTTAGCCTGCTGTTTTCGTTGCCCCGGACCATGAAGAATATGGCGTGGTTGTCGTTGGGTTGTGAGTAGCCTGTCTCTCTACTTACCAGGTTCAAACAACCTTGGAAGGTGCTGTTGCGGCGAGGCGAGTGCTGATCTGGTGGTGTAGCCTTCATCAGCATCTTCACGGCCGTCATGATCGCCATGATCGCCATCGGCATCGAGCACCCCGGCGGTCCCGTAAAAGCCACAGCCGAGACGAATCTCGTCACGGGCTTTACGTCTGCGCTGAATATCATCCTGTCTTACGGTGAGCCATACCCCCAGGTATTCAACAGGACTCAACTGACTGCAACGTAGCAAGCCACAACGCCTTCTTCAACGTCATCGCCGAGCTCAAAGACCCGCGCGACTTCCCCAAAGCCCTCACCCTGCTGCAATCCATCGACATCTCGCTGTATCTCGTGGCCGGCGTCGTCATCTACTACTTCGCCGGCGACGACGTCAGCTCGCCTGCTTTGGGGTCCATGAGGCCGCTTGTGTCCAAGGTTGCGTATGGGATTGCGCTGCCGACTGTATGTGCACTCCACCATCCCTCACCGTCCAGCTACCTAGGACTCCGATTGCTAATATCTGTGCCATGTGCGTAGATCATCATCGCCGGCGTAATAAACGGACACATCGCGTGCAAATCAATCTACACGCGCGTCTTCGCCGGGACAAACACCATGTCCAAGCGCGATTTCCGGGCCGTGGGGTCCTGGATTGGGATTGCGGTTGCGCTGTGGCTTGTGGCTTGGATTATTGCGACGGCCATTCCGGTGTTTAGTAACCTGCTTAGCTTGATGGTGAGCCCATCCTTTCTTGCGAATACCCCCTTTCTCACACAGTGACGGGTGCTGATAACGTGTGGACGGACAGACCGCGCTCTTTGCCAGCTGGTTCAGCTTCAGTCTCCCTGCGGCATTCTGGCTGTTTATGAATCGGGGGCGGTGGTTTGAGTCTCCGAGGAAGATTGGCCTGTGTTGTGTGAATTGTGTGATTTTTGGGATGGGGGTTGTTATGGTATGCTCATCTCTTTCTTTTTCTATTTCTGCTCTTGAGTAATGCACGAGGCTGATATGTGTGGTAGTGCGCGCTTGGTCTGTATGCGTCTGGAAAGGCGATCCATGATAATCCTGCTGGAGACAGTTTTTCGTGTGCTGCTTATAATGCGTAGTGGTACTCAGAGCCGGGGGCTATATGGAAGGTATCGCTTGGTTCCTGATGTGTCTCGTGCTACGGTATAGCAGGCCGGGATACTTGCGATTGCGTACATAGGTACATGTGCCTTGGTGAATGATTGCTTTCGCCATGCTATAACTCTTCGTCTCTGTATCTACGTCAATTCTGGTTTGGTGTACGAGTCATGGTTCAATGCATCAAAGTTGGTGATCATTACAAAGATTCCAGAATCAGGGTCTCAAAGAAATCAATTCATATTGCTAACGCTGCCAATAACTGAATAACATGGTAACTACAGCTTCGACAGTCTCCCATCGGGCTGCAGCACAGAGAGATGGCTTCCCCTGATATCAGCTATAGTTTGGCACCTACACGTCGTTAGCCCCCTGATAGCTCGATATCATGCATAAACCTACCCAGCAAGCGCCATTGTGACCCTCAACTCCTGACGGAGGATCTTAATCGCCAACTCAACACCCTCTTGTCCGTTATACTGTCACCGTCAGCCCCAAACATCTTAACGAAGTAGGCAAACATACAGCAAGGCCCCAAATCGGAATCCTCCCCATAAAACAGTAACTCGCACCCAGCGCCAGCGCCTTGAATATATCCGAGCCACGACGAATCCCCCCGTCAATCGCCAGGGGGATCCGGCCTTTCGCGGCATCCGCGCATAGACGCAGGGAGTCGAGCGTCGCCGGCACACCGTCAAGCTGACGCCCGCCATGGTTGGAGATAACGATACCGTCGACGCCGTAGTGGATGGCCAGTTCGACGTCGGCGGGCGCGCACACGCCCTTCAGCCAGATCTGCATTGATGTATGTTCGCGGAGCCAGGGGATTGTTTTCTCCCAGTCGAGGCTGGGGTCTAGAAGCTGTTAACACGTTTGCACCTAGTATGTGCTTAGAACTCACCGTAGTCCGTCTTATTCGACAGATCACTCCCATTGCTCAGGATATTCGGCCACTCCATGTCCTCGGGGAGCGTATACGCATTGCGGAACTCGTTAAGCCGCATCCCGAGCACGGGGACATCAACTGATAGGAAGAGCGCTTTGTATCCGGACTCTGCAGTCGGCCGTTAGCATTTCTTGTTTGGCGACGCTGCTATGTATCCAGGGACGCACCCTCCGCCCTCTTCAGCAGCTGCAGCGTTATCGACCGATCGCGCAGCACGCACATCTGCATGGCGTATGGATTCCCCAGCCCCTGCGCTGCTACATCCTCCAAAGCGTGATTCGAGTACGATGAGAGACCCATGCAGATGCCGAATTTTGCTGCCGCGCGGGATGTCGCGAGTTCGCCGTCTGGATGCGCCAGTTTCTGGGAGGCGGACGGGCTGAAACCGAAGGGGAGGGGGGTCTATACATATAAATAATATTAGCTTTTCTCGAACTCTGCTGGCGGACGGAGAGAAGGTGTGACGGGGCAGACCTTCACCCCCAGAATCTCAGTGCTCGTGTCGATCTGGTCGACGTTGACCAGCACCCGAGGCAGGATCTTGTACCGGTCGAAGGCGGCCTCGTTGTCGCGGAGGGTGATCAGGTCCATGGCGCCTTCGTTGTAGTAGTCTGCGCTTGCAGTTAGTCTAGGTAGGATTATTGGCGTGTTGTTGGTATGGGGCCTACCTCTGACCATGGCAGGGAGCCTGGCGCTCCCCAGGGCCTTGAGGTCGGCGATGCAGGATACGTCCTTGTGGAAGCTCTCTCCTCGGTGCGCCATGGTGGGTTGATTAGATGGGTGATACCGTGAGAAACTGGATGGAAAGAGTCTATCAGCTCGATAAGTACATATATGGCTTCTGGGGTGCTGTGATAAGCTACGGTGAGGGCTCCCTATCGCAGAAGGTCTGTCTGATCGGATTCGGAGGTACCTGCCTGCTTAGCCATGCTTCGATGACAGAACGATCAAGGAGTTTATGCATGAAACACGTAGGACTGTTAACCCTAAGTTTGCTCCAACCCAGCCCTTCAACGATCGAACATTTCCTCGGCCACCACAAATATCCAGGACCTCCGGGATGGTCTGAAGGCCTTGGACTGCTATCAGCTCATCCGGTGCTCCAATGGGTCCAGCCATCCAGCCATTCCAAGGTTCGTCGATAACGCCCACGAAACAGGAAGGCGATTCCGACCGCGGCCCCGACTCCACCCGATCCTCCCTTCGACCTCTTTCCCTCCTCCATCGCTTCCATCCTCGGACTGTCCTTCTTTTTCTTCTGGAAGACTGTTGACATGCCCCGCCCCCGCAGATCCCACACTCTGGGCGCCTGTCGAACTTGTCGCCGCCGCCATGTCAAGTGCGACCAGAAGCGCCCGGCCTGTCGGACGTGCCGGACCTTGGGGGTGCCTTGCGAGGGCTTTGCCAATGAAGTCCGCTGGATGCGCGAGGGAAACGAGGAGGATAAGGTCGAGGAGCAGAATGGCACGCGTCGGCATCTGTATACAGGTCAGTCACTACCATTACTCCACCTCCACCTCCACCACTGACAGGCCCGGTCTCAGAACAATCACGGCGGTCGATGAGCACGTCGCTGGGCTCGAACCTCGTCTCCGGCTCCATCAGCGCATCGCTGGCTGAAATCGACCTCAAAACACGCGATCCCGAGCACCCTCCAGTGGGCGATATCGTCATCGGGCCCTTTGGCGTACTGGACCTTGCTCCGACCGAGTCGCAGAAAATGCAGCAAACACAGCAGAAGGCATCCGAACCAGACAGAGAGACTCCTCCGAGTCCACCACAGACAGCCCAGAGCACAGCGGTCCAGGAGACCCAAGTCGAATTACCAACGCTCGACTCGCCCTCTTACATCGATGACTTCCTCCACTGGTCGGATATCCTCGGCCTAAGCCCTGAACAGCCGGGATTCTTCCAGCCGACCATGCTCGACATGGACATGTACCTGGCTGATCCTATTCCTGAGCCGTTACCCATAGTGGACATGGAGCCTGGCAACATGGCCATTATGACACCTCCACGCAGCGCCATTGAAATGGCCTCCACCTTCCTTGATGCTGCTGCATTGGCGGACGCCCCTTCGCTGTTCAAGCATTTCAACGAACATGTAGTACCGCAGATGGTGATTATGCCGCTTGGAGACAAGTCGCCATGGCGGATGATGAACCTTTCTGCCGCAATGGCAACATACAACGACCTGACTATCCTGGGATCGCAGAATATCAGCCATGCACGCCTGGCGAATCTCTATGCGTTGTTGGCATGCGCGGCAGTTCATCTGTCTTCTTCGCAGAGTTCCAATATATCTACCGAGCACTGGCAGCAGGCTGCCGGTCAGATGTTTGAGCAGGCACGAGACCACATGCAAAAGTCATTGAAGCTGGAGACATGCGAGCCGAAACGGGCAAAGTATAAAGACCAGTTGATGGCCATTTGCTGCTTGATTCAGTACACCGTACGTTCGTTTCATCTCATCTCGGTTATTAGCTAACGAAAGTAGGTCATCTCAGGGCAACATCAACATGCACGAAGTTTCATGGTCAACGCGGAATACATCCTGCGCAGGCGCGGCCTGTTGAAGCATCGGATCTCTCAAAAGTCGCGGCTCCTGCACCACGTCTATACCTGGCTACGCTTGGTCGGGGAGAGCACGTATGTCCTCCACGACTATCACCCTTCCGCCTCATTCATCGAAGCGTTGAACGCAAATTTCCAACGACCTCGTCTGGAAGGAGCCGCAGAGAGATTGACCGAGTCCAATCCTCGCCTAGACGACTTCCTCCGTCTGGAAGCGCACGACTCGGACAGTGACCTAAACATCAACGAGCCAAAAGATAAGCAAATCGGCTTGCACGACATCCACCTACAAGACTCGCGTAGCTACCCAGATACATTATACAAGCAGATCTACGGCATCCCCGAGACATGGCTGAGTCTCCTGTCTCAGACGACACGACTGGCGAACGTCATGGAGACATTCCGCCTTGCCCAGCAATCCTGCGGAAACATCAGCGTCGAAGCGTGGGAAACTCTGCACCGGCGCAGCATCCGCTTAGAGAACCTCATCTGCTCGTGCGATCTCTCCCTCACACGAGATCCGTCCAAACCGCACGACCATATGCTCCGCGCGCTCAACGCGGCGCTCGTCATCTTCTTCTACCGCCGTATCCGCCGCGTGCACCCGGCAATTATGGCCGCGCACGTCGACAGCGTCATTTCCTCGCTGGAAGCCTTTACATCAGCCCTGCATCGTACCGGGCTGGGTGCTGCATGGCCGGCGTTTATTGCAGGGTGTGAAGCTCTCACGGCCCATAGGAGAGAGGCGATCCTAGCATGGATTGATAATGCTATCGCCAGCTGCGGCCCTGCTGGGTTCAGTGCTGCCAGGGATATCATGGTCGAGTTGTGGCGGAGGCAGGACGAGCATCTAGAGAGGAACCGGGGCGAATCGATGCCGACGTGGACGACGTTCATTCAGGACCGGCACATATGGCCTCTTTTCTGCTGATCTCTGTGTAGTATGAGAGCTTGCGAGTTACCGTAGGCTGAATCCTGTCTAAGGCATACAGGCATGTCTGTTAACGACGAATGTACAGACTCTGACTACTTATGTCATTCTATTCATGTATATACTTCACCAAAACCAAAATCAAACAGTCGAAACCCCAGCATCCTCCAACAAGCCCCTCAACTCCTCCCTCAGCTCCGGCTTCAGCAACGCAAACGGCTTGCGCAGACCACCGGTGGCCACCCCCCTCAACTCAACGCCCGTCTTAACAGCCGCCGCATAGTTATGCGATTCCAAGAACTTGCAAACAGGCCACGCCTTCCTCCACAGCTCCCTACCCCTCTCCAAATCCCCCTTCACCGCAACAGCCTCATAAAGGCTCACCGCCAGCTCAGGAATGATATTCGCAGCGCCCCAAACACCACCGGGACATCCAGCCGCCAGCCCATAAAACGTCAGCGTATCCCACCCATTCAGCGCGGTAATCTGATCCCCCAGCCCGAAGACCAGCTCCGTGAACGCCGGCGCGTCGCCGCTCGTATCCTTCAGCCACTTCACGCCCACTTTACTCAGCCCCGCGATCTCAACGGGCGACAGTCTCAGTCCAGACGCTGACGGGATGTTATAGTACATGATCGGCAATCCGCTCTTCTGGTGGATCTCGTGCAGCATCTCGTGCAGCTGCTCCAGACTAACGGGGTCGTAGAACGGCGGGACCACCATGACGCCATCTGCTCCGGCTTCTTTGGCGTGCATCGCGAGCTCCACGGCTTCGGAGGTCGATGTTGCGCCCGTCCCTGCGATGACGGGGACGCGGCTGGCTGCGAAGCGCACGCAGAGTTCTGTGAGTTGTTTCCGTTCGGGGAGCGTGAGGGTCGTGAATTCGCCGGTCGATCCGCCTGGCACGAGGCCGTGGATTCCCGAGTCCAGGAGGTGCGAGATGTGCTTTTCCAGTCTGGGGGCGTCGATGGAAGACCCGTTGTCGGTGAAGGGGGTTATCAGGGCGACGAGGATGCCGTGGAGGGGTGGGGTGGTGGTGGACATCTTGGTGTGGAGAGGGGTGGGCGCGAAGAGAAGGTGACAGTGAGGAGATCCGGTGGGTAGAGAGGATATTGCAATTGATTTGAAGAGCGATGGAGGGTTCCAAGGTTGTCTGGTATAGATCCATAGATATACCTGGGTAGGTAGATATACTGGGGCCGGACGGAACCACCTTCCTGTTTCGATGGGCCATCGGAGAAGATGGAAAGACTTGCCAGTTCCAATGTTCCACTGGATCCGATTCGAATGGTCTGGTAGGATCATTGTCCCACCACTATCCAATGGAGGCACTGCTACCAGATGAGACCTTCTCTGCCCGTGGCGGAAACCGGGCGAAACAGAGTCCGCTTCTACCCCGACCCGGGAACCAGGGCTCGTGTCCTGAGGTTGTGTTTGAGGTCCGAGTTGGTTTGCCAATTACTATGGTACTATGGTGGTGATTAGGGTCTCAGAGGGTTCGGCCGGTGGTATGGCAGGTATGACACTACAGACGCAAATCTGTCAGATTTCCAACCTAACATAATAGACGACCCATGAACATCACAGAACCCTTTAGCTCCTAGGTCGGCGCCCTCGAACACCCCTGACGAGACCAAATACTCTAGGTTCTGGACCACAGTCATCCAAAGCACGCTTTGCGAGGAGCACAATGGCCGCTCTTGGGACGTTAGCATATATTGGACAACAGAGAAGGCAAGGGAAACGCCCGTATCCCAGGTGAAGTCTGCCTAAATCAGGTGGCCAGCAGACGCTCCAGCACATGTGAATGTCGCCAGGAAATGCGCAATAGCCGCAAGCGCCAGGTTTGATTACAGCCAAATCCAGCGAGGGCAATGCGGCCTTTTGTCGCGACGGAGGTTGGGGCTAGAGCTGTGCACGGCGTGAAAGACACCGGCTGCCTCGGCGGCGTCGAGGATCGCCACGGTAAGGTCTAAACCGTTGGGGAGGTGCAGATGATCGTCATCGGTCTTTCCGCATGTCAGATTCTCGCAGCCTGAGCAGGCGATAACGGCGGGGCCCTGCGTGCTGGTCTGAGGTGGCGGTGCGCGGCTGCTGGGGAGGACTCTCAGTGCCTCACTTCGAACGCTTGGTGCGTGTTTGACAGCGACAAGCGCACCAGGGCATTTTCTTGATTGCATAAGAGGCTCTTAGTATCATAGCATTGAATTGCGACGATTCGCGGGGGAGTTACGGGGTGCAAGCTGGCCGGTTCCGCCGAAGACCGCAATGATTCCCCGTCTTTGTGCTGAATGTACCGTAGTCCTCGTGTCAAAGGTGGTCGGTGGCTAATAGACCAGATGGCACCTGCTCCGCGTGCAAGGGAGGAAGAGGCGAGCCAGTGAAATCGGGCAGGGAACAACTCCGCAATACCAAGGGCGTGGTACGCGCAGCATGGCGTGAGAACCGCAAAGAGCGGTATGCATGTCGATGCATCCCTGCCAACCTGGGCAATCTTTCGCGAGGCGGTCGGGTCCACCTCACCCTCGCATAGGCAGGGAGGCAGACATATGTACATCTCTCGGAGGCAAGCAGGAGCAGCCTGCATGTGATGTATCGAGCGCCTCGTATTCAATGTGGCCATTGCGTTGGCAGGGCATCCATGCAGGGCTTCGATTGATGCCAGACCGTATCCAGTATATTCCCATCCTCAAATTCTAGAGAGCCGGACAGTATTTTCTCTTCGTCTCGCAACCTTTCCCACTGCCCTCGCAAGATGACCATTGAGGCTACCACCGACGTTTCGCCCTTCGAGGTGCTGACCCGATATGCCGTCTTCTCCACCACGCACGAGAAGACCTGGTGGGCGAAGACCGGTCCGCTCCTGGGGCGGATCCTCGCCTCTGCGGATTACACCCTCTCCCGCCAGCTGGAGGCCCTGGTGTTCTTCCGCGACGCCATCATCCCATACCTGGGCCCCTACCCGCAGGAGTTTCGGAGCTGCATCACGCGCAGTGGCCTCCCGCTGGAGTTCAGCGTCAACTATCAGCAGCGCGGGGAGATCGGCCCAGTGGTGCGGATTGGGGTTGAGCCAGTCCATGCTGCCTCGGGGACGGCGGAGGACAGGTTCAACCAGCAAGCTGTCCATGGCTTTCTGAGCGTTCTGGGGGTCCTTGATATCCCTGGGTACGACCCGTTTCTTTTCCAGCACTTTTTCAAGACGCATGTCCTTAGTCCAGATGAAATGGCCTCCCTCGCCCGGAATAAGATGGAGGGTTGTGATTCCACATCGTCCGCTGCCTTTGGGTTTGACCTCAAGCCAGACACCATCTCGGTCAAGGGGTACACGTTCCCTGCCTTAAAGTGCCATGCCAATCAAATGGGCTTTGGCGACGTGATTCGCCAGTCAGTCAATCCACTTCTACCTGTGATGGGGGCCATCCCGTCCATGGACATGGTCAACGAATATATGGACGAGACGGACGGGTACAGCCAGTTTGCCTTCTGGTCGTTTGACTGCGTGGATCCTGCGAAATCGCGGCTCAAGCTCTACAGCTCCAGCAACAGCGTCGTCTGGTCGAAGGTGCAGGAGATCTGGACGCTGGGCGGGCGATCCAATTCCGCGGTCGTCCAAAAGGGACTCGAGCATCTGAAGGACCTCTGGCAGATGATCGGGCTTGCCGAGGGGCACCGCGACTTCGGCGGACACGTTGACGACTTCAGTCCCACCCCCATGGTCTGGAACTATGAGATGAAGGCCGGCGAAGCTGCGCCGCTGACCAAGTTCTATTTCCCCGTCCACGGCCAAAGTGACAAGGAGATCATCCGGGGCCTATCCCAGTTTCTTGACAAGATTGGGCTGGGTTGCTACGGCAGAGCGTACGAGAGCGCGGTGCGGAGCTACTTGTAAGTCTGCCCCCTACCTATACCCGTCACTGCCAGATTGGGGCATCGATAGTGACCAGTAGAGTGTGGTGACTGATGGCTGCAGTCCCGAGCGCGACATTGACCAGACCGGCCGGTTGACCTCTTGGATTTCGTTTGCGTATACGGAGAAGACGGGCGTCTATCTGAGTGTCTACTACCACTCATCACTGGATTACCCATGGCTGAAGGAAGAGGGGGCTCACATGAATGGACTTGTTAATGCTTCATGACTGCATGGGCCATCCGGAAGAGCTGTGCTGTTTGGTGACCAGGCTGATAGCTGATTGAGATTCTTCATGTCTTGCTCCACAAGGACTGTTGAAAGCACTACTGGGGTTATGATAGCTAGCAGGTGAGACGAGACGACTCTACGATTTATGGAGCGTGTCTGGTCCTTGGAGCATACCTTTCATTGCTAGTGATTGAATTCCCTCTCACCTATCATCATTTCGTAAAGTAATCAATGAAAAAGCAGGACTGAACGCAGGCAACCGTCTCCAACCCGTCACTTCGCAGCCTCACCCTCCCTCGCCAGCGCCGCCATACGATCGGCCGCTTGACGAGCCAGCTGGCGCGCCTCGTCGGTCAAATCACTCGTCTCTGCGCGCTCGGCAAAAACGCGCTGCCACTTGTTCCACTGCTCCAATCCAGTCGGATCGCTGCGGTCGGGGTCGTGCCATTGCCTGCCGGAGGATACGCAGCGGAAAAAGACCCCGGTGTCGTAGAGAATCCACATCGCGCACGCGGCAAGCAGATAGCTATCGTACAAGGGCTCCTTGCCCATCTCGGCCTTGGGGTCGTCGAGCGCGTCCTGGAAAAAGAACCCCCTCTTGAAGGACGGGTCCAAGAGCCCGGCTCCTTCGAGACGAGCCATGAAGGCGCACGAGTTGACGATCGCTCTTGCCTGGCTTTCCTTCTCCCAGGGCCAGTCTGCGGAGGTCAGACGTCAGCATTCACGTCCCAGTCCTGGGAAGCCTGGAATCGGCGTTGTTGCGTGGAGTATGGATGGGGGGTTAGCTTACAGATGATCCGTCGATGAGCCTCTTCTTCAAACGCGGCACAGCTCTCTCTGGGCTCGCGTTGGTAGATGAACTTGTCGCACTTGGCGAGGCGTTGGTACAGGGCCAGCATCTTGTCCTGGCCTGGATGCGCGTGCGGGATCTGCTCCACGACGTCCAGGATCAGGTAGCTGAGGTCGGCCTCCTCGGTCGACCAGCGCTTGGTTTTGATCGGGAGCATTTGGTACAGGATCGAAAGGAGCTCGTCGAGCGGCAGCGCCACGGCGGCGTCCGGGTCGAGGTACCGGCAGATTGCTTGGAAGGCATCCCAGGGGTTGTAGTTTCTCTCGACCTCGTCCTTGCGCATGCGCTCGGAGTTGTCAGGGCGGAACTGCAGAGTCAGCGCAGACATGGTGAATCGACGGCGATGGAACTGGCAGCACTCGGAGTGAGACCTGGGGGATTCTCAGAGTGAGACATGAGGCGTATTTGACGAAAGAACGAGCCCATGGTCATGGGACACTGATGGGTGGTTTGACAAAGAACGACCGCGCTGGAACAAAGAGCGACCCCCTTTCGCTCCCCTTCAGCCCCCCAGACAAAGAGGACGCAAAGCCCAGAGGCTCTTTCAATGCGGGACAACATGGTCGTGATTCACCTGCCCTTTGTAGGAACAAGTTCAGTCGCAACAATGCCACGGGGTTTCTTTCAGAGCTGCTCAGATATATAACTCCCACGCTGGCCGCGGCAAGTGAATGTCTCCCAGATTTCCAGTTACCATCATGGCCTCCAGCACAGCCCAGAGCGCGAGTTCGCCTTGTGAAACCGAGATGCATAGTCCCTTGCAGGAAACGGCCGACCCAGACAAGGTAAGCTGCCACCCAGCATCAAAAGCGCCACGACCCAGAACCACGGCCAGCACCCATCCATACTAACCAGCCTTCGTCGCCAGGTCTTTGTCCTATGCCGTCCACTGAGCGACGACGCCGACACTCCTGCCCAGTGGCAGATCAGCGAAGACGAAGCACGCGAAATGATCAAAGACGCACCGATGCCGAGCCACAACGATCCCCGTGCCGGTCGCCCACACCCACATTACGATCGCGAAGGGTTCTTTACAGAAGAAATGGCAGGGCTGGCAGAGTTGTCCGATGCTGCGCCGCACAATGAGAAGCGCGCAAAACTCTGGGCATACCCGGCGTGTCGGTTTGACTACACACGATCCGACGGCGACCCCGGACCCCATCGGATCATCACGGATCAGTACAAGAATATCCTGGGGGTAGTCTCGCACCCAGTCGGTAACAAGTCAAAGTTTGTCTGCGCCAAAGTGAGGTTCGTTTCGAAACCCTATAGGCGGGAGAAACGCACCGTTGGGACTTGGGATTGGCACCGGCAACCGTCATCTTTGTGCAGAGCGCCACACCGTCCAGAGTTCTCGTGTTGGTCGGTATGGTGGTGGTTATCCTGTTGGTTCTGGAGCGAGTCTGCATTGGCTTGGAGTTTTGTGGCGGGCGTTGGACGGCATCTTGTGTATCATTTTGTATTTGGAAGCACGATACCCCATTCGTTGTTGTTGTTGTTTAATTGCTGATACTGATTCTTGATGTGCCGCTTTATTTCCGGAACATTGGAAGACGTAGATACGACTTTTGCTCATCTAGCTCGTGATCAAAAGTCAGAATAAGAAAGTGGCCAAGTACACGAAGGCTCTATCCATTGTCCAAGTATCTTCCAGAGTATAGGTTCCTGTATACGTCCTTGAGCCTCCCGCGCCTGGGGCTGAAAGTAGATGCCTTCGCCTTTTTGCTTCAGTGCAGGAATGCCTGAATGCTGATGAAAGGATGAGGTTAGTACGGATCGATAGATGCTCCATCTCCCGTCCACTACCCCTATACCTATAAACCGTTGTTTGCGCCTACTGGCTGCCTGTGAAAGAAAGACTGTTGGCGCAATCTAGAACCTGCCTTTCTTTGTCTCCGTCGGCAAAGACGAAGACGTCTCCCGATGGTTGGATATCGTTCATGGGGAGGCGCAAGAGACCGTCACCTGCTAAGGGGGGAAATCCCTTGGGTAGCGAGTATCACACACCATGTATCAGCAACGTCCAAGGATATGGTAACGATGGGCTCATCTGCGAACCAGTCGTACGAATTATGATTCCACCTGGACGATAAGCAGCCAAGGCTGGCGCCTCCGTTTCGTTCTTTGTTATGATCCCCTCCAGCACTCCGCCACTTTTCCGAGGGGTGAGCAAGGCGCTAGACGTGCAAGGCACGCGCGATTGATGGCCGGGGATTTTATGAAGCGGCGCTGCGTCTCACCCTGAACTGAGTATGATTGACACTACTCATCTATCGCCTACTAGTACTTCCTCTCCGCGACGATGCCCCTGCCCAATCCAATCCCAAAGCTCCATCTCCAGCAACCCGATGAATCTCCTTCCGAAGAAGACTACGATAACCTGATGTCGAACACATGGCAGGTTTTCAAGGAGTACCTTGAGAACGACGACAAGCTTACCCTTCACAAAGCAGCCTTGAGACTCTACAACGTCATCCCAGATGATGAGCGCGGGTCCTGGGCGGAGACTCATGTCATGGGCGTCCTTCACGAGGTGGCGGAGCAAATTCCCTACTGGCACCCAGGCCAAAAAAAGCTGGTACGCCTGGTCGAGAGACTTGTCGACAGCGGCTGCCTGAGTGAGCGTTTCCGTGTGGAGGGCACAATGCCGCAGACAGAGTCGCTGGGGGAGTTTCGAGAAGAAGCCCGCAGACGCACCGATAATAGCCTTGGTAGGTCGAGTGCTCCTTCTTGCAGACCCAGCTAAACTCAAACCCTCTTCCACTAGTGATGGATCCCAGGAACTGGGCCAAAGTGAAGGGCTTAGTGAACACCTGCGCGTTCCTAGGCCGTCTTTCCGCAGCCGGGGTTCTCAACTGCAGCGATTTCATGATCTGGTGCATGAAAGACGCTCTGGAGCGACCGGATATGCCCCCCGAGCGCTGGAATCTCTATCTTTCCACATCGGCAGTATGGATCTTGACTGGCGGGCACTTGTTCTTCCACGAGGTGGTTCTGGATCGCGTGCCCTGCAACGACCGCGACCAGCCGGCCTTCAAAGCAGACGGGCTCTACAAGGGCGCCATCTTTGGCCTCGACCGCTGGCGCTTCTGGCAGTCTAGGCTGGCTCAGCTTGCTAATGACCGTACTCTCAATGTCACCCAGGAGGGTAGCGGACTTGCCCGCAAGGCTGCGGCGTATATGGCCGCTCTGGCGGACAACGTGGAGTGGTAGATTTCCTCTCTTTATCCTCCTGCAACGTTCTCATTGCTCTTGCTGGCTTGGTTGGAATGCCTTGTTGATTCGCCGTGAAATGCTGCCTGATCCTCTATATATATCACCAGTCGCTTGGCTGACCGCTTACTTTTGAGTTGCTGCTTAAAATTGCCGGTCATCACCCATTTCGAAAAGTGCCCATGTCCGCTGATGCTTTGCCGCCATATTTTGCTTCCAGCTGTTGTTGTTTTGTCGCTTTGTTTTGTGCTCTTGTTGCCTGCTTCACAGTCCACCTCCCGGCCTTGTCACAGAACCGGCAGAGTCCCGACCCGTTGCAGTCCCACACTCGTTCAACATTGTACTTAGGTATACTAGCTATGCTATCAACTCCAAAAATCAAAAAATGCGTGTCCAACGCACCCTCGGACCCCGTCCCGTGGCGCATCCGGTTAGCCCGCTCCGCCACCATATAAACCCTACCTCCCTCCCTTGGGAATCTACTACACAACAACTGATCGCAAACATCCAACCCATCCCAACCAACCCCCCCATTAGCACCCAAAATGCCAGAACAAGAGCCAGTCGTCGTAACCGACTCATCCTTCGCCCTCAACGGCCGCACCTGCTCCTACACCTTCCACGTCGACGTCCCCACCGGCGACCTGCGCTCCGACCACTTCGGCGCCCGTATACGCGGCCCTATCCCAGTTGACCCGGAGCCCATCGTCGACGGGTGGACGGGGATGCCGGACCGCGTGCGCCGCGAGTTCCCGGACCAGGGGCGCGGGGACTTTCGCGTGCCGGCGTGCAGAATCACGCAGGGCGCGGGGCATACGGTCTCGGCATTCAAGTTTCGCGGGTGTGAAGTTGTCAGGGGGAAGCCGGAGGGGGATGGATTACCCGGGACTTTTGGGACAGCTGACGATGCGACGACGCTGATTGTTCGATTGGACGATGAGGTTTCTTGCCTGGAGGCTGAGCTGCGGTATACCGTTTTCCCGGCGTACGATGCTATCGTGCGGTCTGCGAGGATTGTCAATAAGAGCGCTGGACATGTTGCCGTTGAGCAGCTGGCTAGTCTGTGCGTGGACTTTCCGTATGAGCACGGCGGGCTCGAGATGGTTTCGCTGAGGGGCGACTGGGCGAGGGAGGCGCACCGGCTGCGGAGGAGGGTTGAGTATGGGGTGCAGAGGTGCGTTGCGAAGAAAGAACGTTGATACAATGGGTTTGTGCTGACAATGGCCTTTTAGCATCGGGAGCACAACGGGCTTCTCGTCGCACCTGCACAACCCCTTTGTTGCGCTCGTGCATCCCTCGACCACCGAGTCCCACGGCGACGCATGGGGGTTCTCGCTCGTGTACTCGGGATCCTTCACCATGGCCGTGGAAAAGGCCTCGCAGGGCCTCACGCGCGTCGTGGCCGGGCCAAACACGCTCGGCTGGACGCTGAAGCCAGGCGAGAGCATATCCTCGCCGGAGTGCGTGGCTGTCTACTCGGCACATGGGATCGGGGGCATGTCGCGCTCCCTGCATGGCCTGTACCGGAAGCACCTGATGAAAAGCAGTTTCGCGACGCGGGACCGCCCCGTGCTCCTGAATAGCTGGGAGGGGATGTACTTTGATATCGATCAGGGGCGGATGGTTCGTCTGGCGGAGGAGGCGGCGGCGTTGGGCGTGAAGCTGCTTGTTATGGATGATGGCTGGTTTGGGGAGAAGTATCCGCGGACTTCGGATGACGCTGGACTGGGCGACTGGGTGCCGAATCCGGTGCGGTTTCCGGATGGATTAGAGCCTTTGGTGGATAAGATCACGGCGTTGAAGGTCGCGGGTTCATCGTCCACCCTGCGCTTCGGCATCTGGGTTGAACCGGAGATGGTGAATCCCCAGTCTACCCTCTACGAGCAGCATCCGGACTGGGTCCTGCACGCAGGCTCGTACCCGCGAACGCAGCAGCGGAACCAGCTTGTTCTGAATCTCGGTCTGGAATGCGTGCAGGAGTTCATCATCGACGCCATTACCACCCTTCTATCCACCGCCAACGGCGCCATCACCTACGTCAAATGGGACCACAACCGCGGCCTCGCGGAGACGCCCGCCCCCAGCGCGAACTATGCCTACATCCTGGGCATGTACCGCGTCTTCGACGTGCTGACGACCCGCTTCCCGGATGTGCTGTGGGAGGGCTGCGCGTCTGGCGGCGGGCGCTACGACCCGGGCATCTTGCAGTATTTCCCGCAGGTGTGGGCGTCGGATGATAGTGATGCGGTCGAGCGCATCTTCATCCAGTTTGGCAGCTCCCTTGTGTACCCGCCCAGCAGTATGGGCGGCCATATCTCGTCGGTTCCGAACCATCAGACGGGGCGCAGCACGCCGTTGACGTTCCGCGCTCACGTCGCGATGATGTGCGGCTCGTTCGGGCTGGAATTGAATCCGTCTGATTTGAGTTTGTCCGAGAGAGAGGCGATTCCGGGGTTGATTGCGCTCGCGGAGAAGGTCAATCCGATTGTTCTGCAGGGCGATATGTGGCGGTTGAATCTCCCCGAGGAGTCGAACTGGCCGGCTGCGCTGTTTATTTCTGAAAGCAGGGGTAGTGCGGTGCTGTTCGTCTTCCAGCTTGCGCCGTGGGTGAACCATGCGTTGCCGCGGGTCAGATTGCAGGGGCTGGACGGTAAGGCGATGTATCGGGTTGATGGGGAGGGGCCGTATGCCGGGAGCATGTTGATGAATCTGGGGGTGCAGTATTCGTTTCGGGGGGATTATGGCAGTCGGGTTGTTTTTCTGGAGAGGGTGAGCGCTTGATAGTGCTTGTCTCTGTTGTGATGAGCTGAGTTATGTAGTCTGTCTACCTGAAACACACCGCGAGATGCCAGTCCGGCATCAAGACCTAGACCCCTTCCGCCCTGATTTCTCTCGCAGATCAGTAGATCAGTAGATCGATCACCCACGCGTTCTTCTATCTGCAACGCGCACGCCCACTGTTACCGTGAGTTAAGTACGAAGACAGGGAAATGAGACTCCGGCGCCCGGCCCTTGGCTGACAGGGGCACGGGCTTAAAGTTGACTGATCCTCGTTTCAGCGCAATATGACTGGTCCAGGGGCAGCAGTGGCGTCCTGACAGGCGATCAGTGCTGCCTTGTGCGTCAGTTCCCTCGGCGTATAAGATACCGACTGCCGGGCCCCTTTCTCGAAGCCGACGAAGCAGCCCTACGGACCCGGAGAGGAGCCTGGCTGAGAAGCTATGGCCAGGATGTGGATTCTGGTCTTTCTGTTGGCCTTGGTGCCGCTGCCAGGGATTGCTGCTGCTGATGGGTTCTGTGAGGGACTCGCCGGTCTGCCATTATGCGCTGCACGTATAGCCCTAAGCACTTGGACTCCATTCCGGCGACACTGACTATCTACAGGAGAGTTGTCTCCCAATGCCAGCCAACAACTGCACACACACAAAAGAAGCACTCTGCGCTTCAGAATATAGCAGCATAACAGCCTGCTACGAATCCCACTGCGACCTGCGCGACTACCTCTGTGAGCCTCCTCCCACGCTCTATCCCTTCACCCTCACCAACCACTTTCCAATACATGGCAGACGCAATGACCACAACAACCACCCTCTGCGACATCCCCCCGCGCACCCGCAAAGCAACCCAGCTCGCCGTCGGCTCGGTCTTCATCGTCCTTACCACGCTCGCCATCGGACTGAGACTGCTGGGCCGGCCCCCGCTCTCGCCTTCGTTTGGGATCGATGATGGGATTGGGATTGGGACTTATGTATGCCTGCTTTTCAATGTTTTGGATTGGTATCATGGAAATGGGTAGCTTGTTGACGGGCGCAGTGCACGGCGATGGTTGATACGGTCGTTATGATTCGCGGTATGCCTTCTACTTCCCCTATCCATCTCCCACTACATACCATACAGCCCTAATGAATCCATGGATCGAACAGGCGCACTCATCGGCTGGGGAACAGACATGTGGGCTCTCACACCGGCACAAATCACCTCGCAGATGAAGGTCCTCCCTCCCCCTTTCCCCTTCTCTTTCCCTCGAGCCCTCGCACCTCACTAACCATCATTGTGTACGTGCATACAGCTCTTCTACATCGGCATCCTCTCCTTCAACACCTCTATCTCCCTCGCAAAACTCTCAATCCTCTTCTTCTACCTGCGCATCTTCACAACACGCCCCTTGAAACGAGCAACATACGCCGCCATCGTCCTGTGCACCTTATACGGGCTCGCTGCCCTGCTAACCAGTATACTCGACTGCGTCCCGCCGCACTATTTCTGGAGCCGCTTTGACTCTGTCTCTGTCTCTGTCTCCCAGGCGAAGAAACGCGGGAAGTGTATCTCCCAGACTGGCTTCAAGGTCCTGCCGCCCGTTAACATCGCGCTCGATGTGCTGGTCATGGTTCTCCCGCTGCCCGCGCTGGCGAGGCTCAATCTGCCGCTGCACAAGAAGGTGCGCGTGCTGTGTATGTTTTCGGTGGGGATTCTGTATGTCCACTTATTCCTTTTCTTTCCTTTAACTACCATGGCCAGGTGACGGTGTTGACAGTGTTATGGTGTAGGATCATCATAGCCGATATCCTCCGCATAACGCACCTCTACCACTCGATCACAACGTACAACATCACCTGTGCGCCCTCCCTTCCTCCTATTCCCCCTTTCCCTCTTTACATCCCAGCCTAATAGTGCTGGTGCGCAGACAACGGCGGCGAACTCTCCTACTTCGGCGTCATCGAGGCCGGCGTCGGCGTCATCTGCACCTGCATGCCGGCCATCGCGGCCCTGCTGAAACGCGTCTGGCCGCGCTGGTTCGCGTCCTCGGGGAAACGCTCTGAGTCGTCTGGGTATCCGTATCCGTATCCGTATCCGTATCGGAATGTACAGACGCCTACGGGGGCGTCGGCGGCGTCGTATTCAGCTAAGGCGTGGGGTGGGCTTGGTAGTGGAGGGGGGAGGAATGGGAGTGATATACACCTGACGCTTCTATCGGAAACGGGCACGTCGGGTCTGGGTGGTGACACGGCTGCAAATGTGGAGGTGCAGAGGCCGCAGAAGGCACTGAGTCCTGTCTAGCTTACCAACCCAGCCCAAGAAATGAACTCGTATTGATGAAGCGAACTACAGCTGAAGTGTGCTAGTAATAAAACTCCCTCGCTAGCCCATACCCATCCTCGACATCCCCATGCAGCTCGTTCGGCGGGTGCTGCGGAACAAGCAGAGTCTGCGGACTCTTGACCTTGATATGCTGCGTCGTCCACGCCTTCTGCCTCTGGATTTCTTGCGTTGCAAACTTAACAGCGTCCACGAACTCCCCGTCCCACAGCGCCTGACTCGCCGGCGATAGCGCCGTCAAATGCCCCTCGATATACCCCAGGAACATCTGGAGCGACTGCAGCACAATCAGCGTCTCGTACGAGTTATCCTGCGTATCGTCCATCGGGAAGAGTGCGCTCCGGAGGCGCTCGCACACTTGCCGCCCGTACATGCGGCTCTCGTGGTACCGCGCTACGACGGGCTCGAATTTCTGGATGATGTCGGCGGTGATGCGGCGCATGACTTCGAGACCGGCTTGGATCTCTAGGTCGTGGACGAGCCGTGGGATGAGGTTGTTGTAGATCTGGCGGAGCATTTCGAGGGATTCGTGCGTTGCGCCGAGCCACATCTCCAGCCAGCGGACGCGCTCCTCGTGCCCGTCTTTGCGGGTGGATGTTGCGTTGGCTTTGTGCTGCTCGACGTTGTGGATGGCTTCAGTGTGTTTCTCTCGTGCGTGGGGCTCTTGCTCTTTCTGCACGCATTTTTCGATGCGTACGGCGCCGGACTTGAACATTGGCTGTTTGGAGACAGGGTCCCATTGTTCTGCAGGACAAAATTAGTAGAGTCTTAAGACAATGTGATGGATATACCGATGGTAAGCTCATTCGCAGCTCGCGCCCTCCTATCCTGCGAGTCAAAGTATCCAAAGTGAAAAGGGATAAAAACATGGCCCTTGTTGATGCCTTCAATTTTAACAGGTAGCTCGACCTGGCCCCTTCGTGATCGGACGATAACCATCTCGCCATTCGCGACGCCAACCTCGTCCGCATCTTCCTGACAGATCACCACGCAGGCATCCCTATCCGCATTCTGCAGTCTTTTTGACCTGCCGGTCTTCGTCCTCGTATGAAAATGAAACACGTTCCGACCAGTTGCCAAGTAGAAAGGGAAGTCCTCGTCCGGCGCCTCCCACGGCTTCCTATAATGCGCCGCCTTGAGAATCGCCCGGCCAGCGGGATTCATCGCTTCGTACTGCTGCTTCGTCAACGGCGCCCCGGTTTCAAGGTCATGCCCGAAACTCTCGCAGTACTCGGTGTCGGTGAAGAACTTCCCATCGTCGAACAGCCGCTCCTTGCCGTATGGATACTCCTTCGTGCACGGCCACTGGATCCCTGATCCGCCGGACAGCTTGTCATAGCTCAGATCGCTGCAGTCCAGCGGCCGACCGAAGGACATCTTCTTCCATTTATCGAAGACTTCCTCGGGGTGCGTAAACGGGATCAGCGCATCTCCGTCTTTATTCTTGAAGTCCATGCGCCGCCCAAAGTCGAGGAAGATGTCGAGGTCTGGCTTGGCTTCACCGGGTGGCTCGACGGCCTTGCGGGTGAGGTGCATGGTCCGGTCGACGTTCGTGAAGCAGCCTGTCTTTTCGCCCCATTGGGCGGCTGGAAGAACTACGTCCGCGATTGCGGCTGTCTCTGTGAGGAAAATATCCTGCACAATGAGAAACAGAGCTGGCTTTGTAAGGAGCTCGCGGACCCGGTACAGATGCGGCAGGCTGACGAGCGGATTCGTGCCGGAGACCCAGAACATTTCGATCGAGCCGCTTTCGATGAAGTTGAGCATGTTCTGGATATGCGTCGGCTGGTTCCAGTGCGGAACCTGGAGATAGCCAATGTTCCAGATGTCGGCAATCTCCTTCATATGGGTTGGATTCTGGAAGTTGCGGAAGCCCGGGTACTCGCCGTCGCAGCCGGTCTCGCGGTTGTTTTGGGCTGTGGGTTGGCCATTCATCTGCAGGATGCCACTACCCGGCTTACCGATATGGCCGAGGAGTAGATTGATGTTGTTGATCTGGCAGGCGGCTGCCGTGGCTTGGTTGGACTGATAGACGCCTTGCAGGGCTGTCGAGAGGAGGCTTCCTGACAAAGCGAGTGCTCTCGCGGTCTCATGGAGCTGCGCGACCGGGACGCCGGTGATTTCCTCAACGTATTCTGGAGTGTACTTCTTGACGACATTTTTCAGGTCGTCGAGCCCGCGGACATACGAGGAGACGTAATGCTCGTTGACCCAGCCGTTTTCGACGATAATGTGCTGCAGTCCATTCAGCAAAGCGACGTTCGTACCTAACCTAGGCCGTAGATGAATTGTCGCCTTCTTTGCGGTATCTGAAGTCCGGGGATCAACCACGATCAGTTTCGGTGGATTTGGTCCCTCGAGACGGTCTAGGACACGCGCCCACAGGACCGTCTGCGTAGCGGCCATGTTGTGCCCGACCAGGAACAAGCAGTCGGTGTAGTCAATGTCTGCGTACGAACCAGGCTGACCATCACTGCCGAACGACTCGCGCATGCTGGCAGCGGCGGTTGCAGTGCACAGGCGAGTATTCCCGTCCATGTGCAACGTATTCAACCCGGCCTTCCCAACCATCGCAAGAACATAATACTCCTCTAGTAGCAACTGGCCACTGGTATAGAAGCCAATGCCATGATTCGTAAGGCGCGATTGGATATCCTTTGCGCGGTCCACAATCAGCGACATGGCCTCGTCCCAGGTCGCCTTCTCCAGCTTGCCATTGCGCCGGATCAGCGGGTGCGTGAGACGGTCGGGGTGGTTGATGGACACCCAGCTGCACTGGTTAGCGATGTATCATCATTGACGCTGTAACTAACCCATTCAACCCCTTGGGTCCAAGTCGCCCTTTATTGACTCGATCAACTGTCCGCCCTCGCACGCCGACAACTTTGCCGTCTTTGACGCCGATGTCCAGGCCACAACCATTGCTATGCATGATCAGCGATCGCTTTCAATCTGAAAAAGTGGGCATACCTGCATAAGACACAGGCGCTCTGGACCCATTTGTCCGGGGTGTCGACCAGATGGCTGTCACAGCGGGTGGGCCACTGATGCTTGTAGGGGGTGCGCTCGCCCCAGATGTTCTTGATCGAGTCTCTGGTCTCTGTGTATTCGGGCATCGTGGCTGCGACAGGGCTCTGGGCTTGACGAGTGGGATGGACGCAGTTGCAAATCAGCTTGGAACGGAGGGTCCGGATGGCCCCTGCGATGACCTCATGGTGATGTGCGCGGGATTGCCGGATCCGGTAATTCTGAGGCTGCCACGGCATCGCCAACACCATTCTTCGCTCGATCAATTCATTTCCGACATTTAACAGCAGCAGATGCAGAAATGGGGCTGTCGTATAGAGAGGCAGGACGTCTGATTAAGGTTGAGGCACAAAGACAGCGTTTTTCACAAGCACAAACATGTCTCATTCACAATGCCTGCGACCGAGTCGTCGCTGAGACAATCACCAGCGTTATTTCAACGCCCGAGTACGACACCTCGGCGATGGACGGATTTGCCTTGAGCTCTGCTGCGACAGAGATAGCTACGCCGGAGGCACCAGTCACCTTTGAGGTCATCGGCACCACGACGGCAGGAGACAAGCCGCATTCAAGAGCGGATCATTTGAGAGATGGAATTCCCCCGTGCGTGGAAATCATGACGGGCGCGCCATTCCCGCTTGGCGAGGAAAGTGAGCGATTTGACTGTTGTGTCCCTGTTGAGGTGGTTGTGACCGAGAACAAATCCTCGAACCGTCGGTATATCTCCGTCTCCAAACCGGCCAAACGGCGCCAGCATAGGAGATCTGCCGGGGGTGACTTCACCAAGGGCGATGTTATAGTGGAGGCAGGGGAGTGTATTCAGCCACATCACATCATGGCGCTGGCGTCCGTTGGTGTGAGGGAGGTTCCTGTCCTGCGCAGACCTCGAGTTGCAGTTTTCTCGACGGGATCTGAGCTTCTGGACGGTGTCAAATCCCACCAGTTCATGATTTCCGATGCAAATGGTCCGTATTTGACCTCAATGCTGCGTAAATGGGGAGTCGATGTGGACTTTCGCGGAGTCATCGTTGACCACCAAGGGACTATGGAGGAGGCAGTTCGGTCCGCACTTGATGATGAGTACGACATGATTGTGACTTCTGGCGCGGTCTCAGCCGGTCGATGTGATCTCATTCCCGGTTTGATCGAGCGGATAGGAGGCCGGACTGTTTTCCACAAGGTTGCTGTCAAGCCAGGACATCCGATCTTATTCTCCATGCTTCCTCGGGAAACGGGTGAAACGGCGTTCTTCGGGCTGCCAGGGAACCCAGTCGCGGCGGCGGCCTGTCTTCGCTTCTTCGCCTTGCGATATCTCCAGACACTTCAGCTGCAAAGGCCAGAACAACCGCGGGTGGCCGTTCTCCGGTTGTCACGCGAAGATACCGACTCGTGCAACGGGACGAAGAGAGACCTGACATTCCAAAAAGAGCCAGACATCTTCCGACCGGCGATATCACAGTCCGGGCAAGTCTGGATCATCGAAGACCATAGTCCCGGCAAGACAAAGCCGTTCCTGCAAGCCGATTGCTGGGTGCATATTCCGAGTGGGGTGTCCGAATTGCGCGCGGGGAGTCCAGTTAGCATATACCCTTTCTAATCATGAACCATGTCCTCGGTAATTGCCGATATCTCTTCGCTCATCTGCTTGGCTTGTTCGAACTCGGCGGGCGTATTCATGTTGAAGAGCCAGTTCTCGTTCTGCGGACGGATGGCCTTGCCTTTGGTTTTGACGACCGACTTTGGACCTAAAATGCCCTTCTTGACGTTCTCCTCCAGTAAATTCAAGGCGGGTGGTGACCAAATCCCCAAAAGGGGCTCGTAGATGCCGTCCGAGTTCTCAAAGCACGTCACAGGGCCAGCCACTTCGTCACGGAGTTGGCGTGCAGCAGAGACGGAGAAGAAGGGGTAGTCGCAGGCGACGACCAGCCATGTGGCGTTTTTGTCATAGGCATGAGCAGCAAGCAGACCAGCAGCAGGCCCCTTTTCTTGAGCCTCTTGATCGTCGTTCTCGTGGTCGTACAGAACATGAACTGGAATTGAGCCGGTTTGGTGGCGCAATCGCAGGGTATTTCGAGTCAGGCGCTCCACATTGCGACTCTGCACAATCGGGGCCAGAGCGTCGGGATTTGGAAGAGAGAGGAAGACGGTGTCGGATTCGGGGCACGCGAGGTGTAATCTCAGCAGCTGGTGTTCGTAAATGGGAGTGTCGGTTAAGGAGAGCAGTTCTTTGCGCGAGCCCATGCGCGTGGAGCGGCCGCCGGCGAGAAGGAGAGGAGCGATCATCGTGAGGAGTTGAGAGGGTGAAGTTGAAGTTGGTTGCAGGAGAGCTTGAAAATATATAAACAGCCTCAGGCACTCTGAGAGCTCAGGCACCCATCACGCTGACGCCATCCGTCCCAAATATATTTCTGCCACGTGGAATTGGCCTCTCTCATACAAGAGCCTCAACATCAAATAAAGATCAATATATTAGACATCCAACATCCTCCCCATGTCCCAACACCGGCAGTTCACGATTGCAACCACACAAGCTTCACGATTGCGCCCAGGTTTCAGAGTGTGCCCGTGGGTCGATCCTGCTGCGGAGCAACAATCAAACCCATCCTCAACCGGAATATGCACGGCCCCAGATCTTCCTTTTATAGCATATCTCTGCCAATCCGGCCCCAGCATGGAAGATCTGTAACAACTCATTTAAAGAACCGTTATCTGAGTCTCTCGGTCGGGTCACGACTCTCCCGAGCCCCTCCGGTCGCAACTGCCGGTTCTGGAGTCTGCAGAAAGCAGGGAGAATTCCAGTCAGGGAGAGATCGTGGTTTGATGAAGGGCCCGAGCCACAGATCTCAAGATGGTTTGGAGTTTGAGCTGTGCAGCAACCAGAGCCCGTCAGCTGGATCAGACATGGTGACGCTGTGGAGTGTTTCAACACTGGCACTGACCAGCTATCATCAGCTATGATTATCATTCCATAGCCATTCGCTACCAACATTGCGTTTCTACCATGAAATCTGCTGTTCTAAATCTATCCGACCTGCCAAAGAGCTGAACTCCAGCTACCTATCCGAGATACGAACCCAAATATTGGGCGCGATCTGATAATCCCCGGAGCGTGGATCATGACTCGGTGCGCCTCCTAGCGCACGGCTTGCCTGCCCGAGTCAGAATAGAGCGAACTCTGTTGAGATTCAGGCGAGAACCATCGATCGAGCTCCAGCATGGCAGTGGGGCGTCTCCATCTCCACCGTCCTGCTGCACGAGATGCCTGACTCTGCGCATGCAGACCTGCCACGCCCAGACCAGTCTTCACCATGTTAATAATATGGCTGTGTCTCCATGTCATGAAACGAGCCGCCCTCGATCGTCCCCTCGAACGGGCTCCCTGTTGATCAGCTCAGCGCAGCGAGTATAAGGCCTCCCTCTTGTCCTCTGGCCCTGGCCCCGGCTCTGGTTTCCCTCCCGCCCGGTCATCATGGAAGACACGCTGCCCCTGGCTGGGCACAGTCTGGCAATCTTCGTGACGGCGGCGGTGATGGTGGGCCTGTCCATCATCGCCGTCTTCCTGCGATGCTTTGTCCGGGTCTACATTGTGCGCGCGTTTGGCTGGGACGATGCGTTGATGTTGATAGCGCTGGTATGCTGCACTAAGAACCGTAAGAGCTTCGCTGACTTTGTAGGCGCTATTCATCGCGTTGTGTGCACTGTGCATGCTTGCCTCTGCTGCGGGCGTTGGACACAAGATAGCTGATTTCACAAGTATTTCCCAGCTACAGAGGGCGTTAAAGGTATTTCTCTTGGATACTCGTTGACGAGTGATGACTGACCTTCTCCAGTTATGGTGGCTCGGTCAAATGCTGTACCTCTGGGCCTCTGCCGTCTCGAAGATCGCCATCGCCCTCGCCCTCCTTCGCCTCGCCGTTCGTCGTCTGCACCGTTTCACGCTCTGGGCCGTCTGCGTGGTGATTGTGATTATTGGGCTGGTCTTCTGGCTGGTTCTGCTCTTCAACTGTTGGCCCGTCGAGTACTTCTGGGAGAGGACAAACATCTTCAAGAACGGGAAATGCATATCCACGGATGTCTTGCTCATCATCGCGTACTGCTATAGTTCGCTGACGATTGTCTGCGACGTTACGCTTGGAATTCTCCCCGCATGTTTGATCTGGGGTCTACAAATGAGTCGGCGGACGAAGCTTGCGTTGGTGGGAGTCCTCAGCTTGGGTGCAATGTACGTTTGACGCTCGGTATACAAGGCATGGCGTGGCTAACGTGGACAGTGCGAGTGTCGCTGTTGTCATTCGACTGCCGTATCTCAAGAACTACTCCGACACTGACTTCCTCTGTACGTTATCACCCTCATCTTGATGCCCGAGCTAACCCGCCAGACTCGACCTACCAAATCGCCGTCTGGTCGGTCGTAGAAACCGGACTCGCCATCATCGCCGGCAGTCTCATCACTCTCCGCCCCTTATTCCGCTGGTTCCTCGACGGTGGTTCCTCCTACAAAGAGCACCGCACCCCTGGCCGAAAGACGACCCGGAAATACGCCCTGTCGACCCTGACTGCCAATGCCTCGATGCCCGGCACCGAAGACCCGAAGTACTGGCGACCCGACCTGAGCGACAATGGAAACACCATCGTAACCTCGATCACAGCGCCGCTCGGACGGAGTTTCAACGACAACAGCACGGTCGCGCTGAGTCCTATGCTGCCGCCGCTGAGAAAGGGCTCGGTCAGCGTGCACCAGACCTTCAATGTATCGAACAACACGCAGTTGAGCCCCGCTGCGCCATTTAATTTTGGATTCCCGGGCCAGTACAGTCCGGCCCCGGTGCAGGCCCCGGCTCAAGCGGCACCAGCACCGCCGTGGAACGCGCGGCCCAATGGGTTCAGTCCGGGGTACGCGGGCTTCAAGTACGAGTTCTAGCGTGACGTCACCGTGATGTCTATATATTCCTCGCTCTCTCTCTCTCTCTCTCTTTCTCTTTAACCATCAAATACCCATCATGCCCTCCCATAGCTCTAATACACACCGTTACCACCGGTAAGCTTCCTTCTGTATAGACATGTAGGCTGCTAACAGCCCAGCGTCGGCCACTGGATGCCCGCGGGCTACGACGCCCACCACAAATGGCTGGGCGGCGTCATCGCCCACGTCGACAGCAAGAAGGACAACGAGCTGCATCCTGTCCTGAAAGAGTTCCAGCACCTCATCGAATCAAACACCCGCGTCTACATGCTCATGTCCGCCATGTTCTCCGAGATCCCCAAGAACCGCCACTACTGCAAGGACCCAACCGGCTGCTCCCAGATCCGCGATTACCCACACATGCTGCAGGTTCTTAACCATCTCCTGACTACTGCCCCCTCGTGGAACGACTTCTCGCTGAAAGTCGGCCTCGTCGGCCTGCCCATCAACGCCGTCCTCGATTGGTCGATGGGCACGCCGAGCGGGTACGCCGCGTACCTGGACCCCGACGTCAACGCCATGCTCAAGAAGGTCCTCGACGCCTGGGGCGAGTATCTGACCTCACCAGAATCAGCGAGTGTCCTGGACGAGTCCGAATACGGCTGGTTCGGGAAGACGGGAAAAGAAAACCTCGAGCACGTCGCCAATATCCCACTGAGCACAAACCACTCCTTCGAGGAGCTCTTCGTCTGCGACCCCGCCGCCAAATACCACGGCTACAAGTCCTGGGACGACTTCTTCACCCGTCTCTTCCGACCAGGAATCCGCCCCGTCGCCTCACCCGACGACGACGCCGTCATCGCCAACGCCTGCGAGTCCCAGCCGTACAAGGTCGCCCGCCATGTCAAAGCCAAGGACTCGTTCTGGATCAAGGGCCAGCCGTACAGCATGTACGACATGCTCTCGCATGACCCCGTCGCGCCGCAGTTCGAGGGCGGCACCGTCTACCAGGCGTTCCTGAGCGCCCTGAGCTACCACCGCTGGCACGCGCCCGTGAGCGGGAAGATCGTCAAGGCGTATGTCGTCCCGGGGACGTACTACTCCGAGCCCCTCTTCTCGGGCCTCGTCAATGAGCAAGGCGAGAAGAGCCAGGATGGCATCGACCCCGGCGGCGAGGTCACGACGCAGGAGTACCTGAGCTGTGTTGCGACGAGGGCGATTATCCTCATCCAGTGCGATAACCCTGCGATTGGGCTCATGGCGTTCCTGGGGATTGGGATGTGTGAAGTTTCGACGTGTGATATTACCGTTAAGGAGGGGCAGCATGTGAAGAAGGGCGATCAGTTGGGTATGTTTCATTTTGGGGGGAGTACGCATTGTTTGCTTTTTAGGAAGGGCGTGCAGGTTCACGATTTGCCGTCGCCGGATCTGGGGCGTAATGTTGCTGTTTGTAGTCGGCTTGGTGTTGTCAAGGCTTAGGTTTGGTTAGGGGTGCGCTGTATGGCTTTCTTTCTTGCATAGCGAGCGGATGCTCTGTTATTTATGCATTGCAGCCAAACATGTTCACTGGGTGAATTAACTTGGTAAAAAGCTTAAGTGAATAAAGAATGCACTATGCCTTTGGTAAAAATGAAGTGGGCTGCTTGCCCTTCAGTCATAACTGGATCTCGCCCATTGTACGATGCCGCAGATATTGGACAAAACGCCCCCCCTTCCGCTCCGATGCCATAGATCAAACCAAGGCGTCGAGCTCACATACAAGAACTCCGCAGGCGTACTGTTCTCCAAGTCTTCTATATACTCATCGCTAATATCAAACTGGAGGAAGCATACATAGTGCTGTATAGCATTGATAATGATGATGCTGCATGGGACGTCAGTCAATATCTGGCAGGAGAACTCTGTGGATTGGGTGAAGATTGTACCTTTGGTTTCCATTTCGGGCCTGATTAGACAGCCTGGCTGCGAGTGCTTCACAAGTCATCTGTGCAAAGCAGCTGTCCGAGATAATTGGTCTGCCATTGTCTAGACATTGAAATCGTCTCTTTGCCTCCAGAATCGCTACGTGATTGTCTGTAAGCACGAAGCCCATATCTCGCTTCCTCTGCCGCAGACAGAGCCCACCGTCGTCAACAGCTACGATCTGCTTTTCGTCACCCGTAGTAGCCGCAATCCTAGTTCTGGCATCTCGAAGCTCAACAACGACCGAGGACTCGGGGGCCTGAGCCGATGAGAAATAGAGGATATGTCGAATGGCACACGTCGCGAGCCGCAATGTATCATCTTCCGGTATCAGTTCCGAGATATGGGAATTCAGGTCAACGTAGCCCACCGAGGAGAGGGATGATTCCCGGGAGGATCCGTACGGCGGGCTGCTCGAACCGACTTGCATCGTACTAGAGTCCACAAAGGACTCGTTGAAGGCAGTGTACTTGCGGCGCTTGGGTTGCACAGCATCGGTGTCGTCGTCCATCTCGCTTTCCTCTTCGCCATCCAATATGGCTCGTCTACGCCGGTGTCCTTTGAACATCGCCATTGCCGCCCAAACCTGACCCAAAGACATACCACAGTCCGAGCTGCGCACCAGAGATAGCTCGCTCTGCGCCATGAGCGATTTATCAGGGCCTCTTAAGAATGCCTTGATCTCGTTTGGATGCGTTGATTGCAGATCTGTGTGTTTTATGCTTGATGATAGCATTGGAAGCAGATTGGACTGGGCGTCTCGTCGTACTACGCGGCAGGCAAGCAGATGAGACCGGCCGCAGGAGCTTGCATTGAGGTTGGGTAATTTTGAAAACGTTGTCCCCTGTTCATCTTCAAAGCGAGCTTGAAAGGCTGCTGCGGAGGTGACACTGCTGAAGTAGGGGTTTTGCGCCATCTGTCACGATGAAGGAACCAAACTAGCGATAAGACGCTATACTCATACACCATAAACAATGAAACGATCAATATGGTGTTGGATACTCTGATAAAAGATGCGTAGAATTCATAAAGGAAGAAGTCGCTGAGCGACAAACTAAATAGCGCCCGTAGGCAAAACACATGATATGAGTCGTTCTTGCCTCAATTCTCAACAACGGAGCTGGAAAGAAGAAATACTGGGTATCTTTTCCTCAAAGTACTCCAGAGGTGCATATATTTATATTTTGCTACCCAACTCGCGCCCGACTATCCAAGCATACATACATTGTCAGCATACCTCAACCCTCCTATAGGCCTGTCCTTGATCCTTATACTCCAACTGACACTAATGCAGCGGAATCTCATTGGCTGCAGCCATTACCATACCATACAGTAATGATCCCGGAAGATTACAGTACTCGTACATAAAATACAGTTAGGGCCGGCGGTGTAGAATAGTGCCGGCAGTATAGGCGGTGAACGCCTTAGTCTCAAAAGGAAAACAAACCAACACCCCGACATCTCCCTGTATGTGGTGCAGTCCAGCCTCATGTTGATCTGTAATCTCATGCAGAGCTGTCGCGAACTCTTTGTGAACCCGCTCCTATGGACCTCCCACCATTTCAACCTCGTAGGAGGCCAATTTGTGGAGATGGTGGACCACCCCATACAATCCACTCAGGATAACACCAAGACAGAAGAGAACGCCAAACCACCAAGTGATGCTGAACTCTCTGCGACAACACCCATACCCGCTGTGAAAAGTGATGCTGAACTCTTTGCGAGGACACCCATACCCGCTGCGAAACATCGCCGCCTAGTCGATATCCTGGTAGGCAAGGGACGTGCCTTCGCTAAATATGGGTAAGAACAAAGATCTCGTCGGTCCGGCGGTACTCTGGCTGACTAGGAACATTCCAACTGGGCAGCAAAGGGCCCGACTTCTTCTTTACGGGTATCCCAGTCCATCGGCCACACTGCACTGTGTTCTATCGCCATGGGCAGCCTGACAAGCATGTCGACGGACCCCTGTTGGTGGGCCATCTACCTTACGGGCATGTCAAAGGAGGACGCACGAGATTATTCCAGCCTTGTCCAGACCCGCGTGGCCGTCTCAATCGGATTGGCGCAGAAATCTGTGAAAAGCGAGTGGCCCAAGTCACTCCAACGGAATGGACTGAAGATCCATACTTTGCTTGCGTCTTGCTGGCTCTAGCACAACTCCAAGAGCGCAAGCTGGACCTGCCGAACCCAACAACCTACACCGTATGTCTCCTCTTCGTCTGACTCCTCTGACATCTAGCTTATCTGTTTACAGTCGCGTCTTCTCGTTACCAGCATGAGAGACCACGATTCTGTCTATTTGTATGATGCTGAAATCACCTCCGAGCTGCTCGGGGCGCTCGCCCGGCCAAAATCTGCCACGAGACATATCAAGTGGCCTGTGATCATGCGAAGGAAACTTCCTATCAAGCCTTACAACACCTTTCCTGACCGCCTGGCCGCGGAGCTGGTGGCTCCTTCATGCTTCAGTAGAACGAGCTGCACCGCTTCATCAGATAAACTCAGCGCCAAACGACGACGCGAGGGAGGAAGCGGCAGCCCACATAAGATGAGGCGGCTGCTATAGCCGTCACGGCAGTCCTCGCAATCCACTATGGCCACAGTGAGAATCATGGTCGAGTCTCGCTGTGTCTACTCAAAGCAGTCAACCCTCAACGTCTGCAAGGCTGCCTTTGTAGGCAGCGCGAGGTCTAGAGGGATCCTTGCGCCACTAATCTCCTCCACTTACTCGAACTCGTCCGCAACGACATTAACCGTACAAACGTCATGCTCGGTGCAGACGGGGCTTATTCTCATTGATTCCAACAGCAGTCCCTACACCGGCGAGCCCCTGCGTGGTTTGCTGAATACTTTGGCAGCATTCTTTGTAAGTCATGCATAGTTGATCGTCAATCAGGTTTATTCACTTGTTTGGTTTGAACACTTCAAGTGAATGAGAACTTTATTCACTTGCTTGGTTTGAACACTTCAAGTGAATGAAGCCTGCTGTGGCTCAGCAAACGCCTCCCAGTGAATGCAAACGGACTTCAGCTGCCCGGGTATATAAACCCCCTGGGATCTCGAGAGAAGTATCTTCTTCAACAACTCATCTCTCCATCTTCAACCTCCATCCAGATATTTTGCTCCTCTGAAGACCGTCTACCTCCACTTATCGGACAACATTCCATCCATCAACCTCATCTACCTACATACCATCACAAACATATCCCAACGCAAGGAACCATGTCTCCCATCCCGTCAATGTCAATCCCCGAATTCATCGCCGTCGCCGTCGCCGACAACCTCACGCGCTCGGAGCCGGCCACCCAGCAAACGTACCAGTGCGTCCTCAGCCCTGAGAAACAAATGGCCCTCATCGCCGACAGGGACTTCTGGGTGATGCTTTTCTTTTGCTACGCTGCTTTCAATTTCCTCCTCGGCCTTTCTGCGCTGTGCGCTGAGTACGTTCGCGAGCGCGTTTACTACTGGGCCTAGTCTGTCTTCCTTGATCTTGACTAGACGGCGTCCGTACCGTCAATCCATGGAGTGTTCGATGGCTGCGGATGGGGATGCTCACGCATTGTGGATGGTGATACAACTACATAGCGGCGAGCGGTTCGGGAGTCCGGCTTCGCTACCCCATGTCTTTTTCCTTTTCTACTTTTCTTCGCTTACGAGAGGTATGTTGCCTTCCGATGAATCACTGGCAAGAGGAATCCAGCCCTCCATATCAACATCTGGACTTGGTACCATGGCTAACCTTTACCAGTGCAACCCAAGGCCTCGCAGAAGTAACCCAGCGGCAGGCGGACACGGAGCGGACCAAATAGGTATCAATTGGCAGCGCGACTTGCCAGATCCATTGCAATTGCACGCTTCTCTCTCATGTAGCTAGGAGTCTAAACTCAATGGATCTCGTCCTTTGTCTCCGTTCAATCTTAACTTTACTGTACCGTAGTCAAAGGGGTAGCGGGGTAGATTCCCATAGTCCGTTTGTAGGCAAACGGAGCACCCCTGTAGCCTCAGCACCCCTTAAAAACCCCGACTCCCTCAGAAATATTTTTCTTCCCTTCATCCTCCCATCGTATCCAGTATACCACGCCCGAACATCCAAATTCCTAGCCATATTGTTGCTTCCCCGCGTACCTCCTGCCCGTCCACCACCACCATGTTCATGCGCTGGCTAGGACTATCAAGCACCGCAACCGGCCACCCCCGATACTGCTTCTCCCGCGAAGACGAAATCGCCTTCTACAAGGCCAACCTCCTCACGACCATCTTGGCCTTGCTTGGCGCGATCCTGAACCTCTATGTTGCATTGTCGGTCCTTGCGCGTGAGCGTCGTCTGCAGAATGCTATTCATTTCTTGAGCACTCCGAGCAGTCGCGGGCGGACTTGAGGGCGATGTGATAGACGGACCTCGTTGGCGTTGGTCGCGACATTGAGGTCGGGGTAATGGGTGGGCTGCGAGGTTGGTATGTTGTTGGTATACATGTGTTGAAGCAAGGTAGCTAATGATTACACACAGATTCTATGCAATGTTGGGAGGATTTGAAGTCAGCGAGCCAGGGCCTGTACTCTGTTTCTCTTGGTTTTGTTTCTAGAGAGCTTGTTTAAATCATACCTTTCGTCATTCTCATCCCATTGCATAGATACTTCTTCTGTCGCGTAGAGCGGCCGTAGGTATGGCCAGGGCTATTCACTTGCTCTATCAGTACTTTTCTGCAAGGATTTACACTCCATAACTTCGATCTGTTGCCACACTGTTTGCTGACTGGCGACTTTCTAATGTCCTGGAGTGCAGCATTCACCTCACCCTCGGTGAATGAGAAGACCCCCCTGACCTTATACCAGGCAGTTATATATACTCTCTTCTTTTGCCATACATATTCTATTCTCTTTCTCTCCTCATCTTCTTCCACTCCTTTGGATCCCATCCACCTTCGAAGCTTCAGTTGAGCTTCGTTCTTCTTGCCTCGTCTGAGATATTCCTCTTCGTGCTCCATACACACAACAAACCCCACAACTTCGTCAACAAAGACTTGTTTCTCGTTCTCTGCGCTTGCTTGGAGCTTGGATATCGGAAACCCAACAAGTCCTCTTTTCAGCTCGTGGTCTAACGTCTGTCTTGTAAGCCAGACCTCCATTGTCAAGCCTCTGCCGGCCAGACTTGAGTTCACATCTGACCATTGTCTAAATCACAGGCTCTCTCTGCTTCTCTACTGTCAAACACCCCCAGAGCCACTGTACCTACTTGCCAAACATGGGGTCAGCCAACAGCGACGTCGCCATCGGCATAACCATCAGCCTCACCGTCGTCTTCAGCCTGTTCCTCGTCTGCTGCTTCCTCATTAGCTTCCTCAACCGAGGCGGATGCAGAATCATTGCCGCTTTCTTCAGAAGAGATAGCGCTGGACTTGCTGAAGCCGCCGAGAACTTCACCCGCCCCATCCCCCGTCGCCGCGCAGCTGACCCAGACCTCGAAAACGACGCCTTCGAACTCCACGACCTCGCTCGCCCTCGTCTCCGTCCGCGCCCTGAGCGTCCGGGCTCTTTCTACGTTCAGGAGCGTAGAGACAGTAGGACCTGGCTCTGGGGATGGGGCACACCCTATGACTTCTATGACCGCTCTGAGGACCAGGCTGGCTTGAACGGTGAACGTCCGCAGCAAGGCGGGCTTCAGCGTGAGCGTGGAAGTGGAACTAGAAGCGGAAGTGACGAAACGCTTCCTCGTTATGAGCATCCCCCTTCTTACCGGGGCTCCCGTACGCGCTCTTTGACTCATTCTCAGGGTGGAGAGGCAAATGCAGGTCCTCGTCCCGGTTCGCTGGATGTTACTGAACGTGCCTCTGCAACCCAAGCAGCGAATGCCACGGCATCTGGACAGTGTGGCCAGACTGGGGATGGGCTCCGTCGAGCTTCTTCTGAGGATATCGCTGGGAACCGTCGTTGGTCTACCGCTTGGACTAACTTTTATTTTTGATATGAATGCTTTTCCTTCACCTACTGGTATCTTTGATACGAACGCTTTTCTTTTTGTGCATGTTGTGGACAATGCTATGCTATGATGGACTACTACGGTTTGTACTGGCAGGGGTTCCTGTACTTAGCTAGCAAGATGTCCTCTATTGAATAAGAACATATCCATCTTACTTGATCATGTTGTCCAACAAGTAGACACTATGAAGAGACGTACGAACCATGCCGAGGCTCCTAGCACCGTCCTTCATGCCTTTAAGTGTCATACCAATGAACCGCAGCTACCTACCTAGACAGACAATACCCCGGACTGTTGTTTTCAACCCCTACTCTAATGGTATGTAGTTAAGTGAGCAAGACTAGAGGGTAAATATTGAAACCTCACATGAGCGCAGTGTGCATACGCCTCCATCGACACTGAGAAAGCCATCTACAATGTTAAGAAACAAGGTTTGCTATACGGACCAGGCGTGTCCTATGATGGGAATGCCCAGAAATAGCCCTGGATATCGCCGCCTTCTTGAAACACGCAGGTCCTTAGAAGAGCAAGTCCCTCTCGAGTAAACCCTCAGATGCGAGTCCTGTGCACGGAAAAACCCGGAGCAGGGGTGTAGGTGGACATGTTAGAGAGGTGGAAACTGACGATGATTCCGTGGCTTGGGGGATCCCCTTTGGCATAGTGTCATGCAAGCTCTGGTACCGATTCTTGTGTTTGTGAGTGAAGTACTCTGTTATTGTTGCTATCAGCCCATTTGCGTAGACTGTGGCGGTCTCCAGGCAGCTAGACGTTCATTCGATGAGTCTACCGAGATTTCTCCATTCTCGTTTGAAGTTCTGGCTCTTACCTGGTGTTGCCTGGTGGCCTGGTTGCCTGGCTACTTTCTCTATACTGGAGTGAAGTATTCATTCACTGCAAGTATCCAGGTGAAGGTGAATGATGAGAGAGGACGACTCCAGAACTTCAAGCAACCTGATATAAAAACACCTCTTCTCCTGCCAACTCATTCTCATTCTCATTCTCTTCTCAACCTTCCATCGACTTCCCTCCCAACTCTGATTCCTACCAAATCGAAATAACCACACTTCCTGCTTTGACGATACAAAGACAGCAAACCCACAGTTACTCCCACAGCAAACGCTCGATTTCCATTTATCAGGCCTTGCTTCATCTTTGAAAGCCTAAAAGCGTGACCAGAAATCTTGCCGTACGTCACACCTCCATTGTCGAGTCTCCCTGCCGGCATATACCATCCACCCTGCGGCTCCGACACTGACCATTGAAACCCAGGCTCTACCATACGTTCTCGAATACCCTCCAAAGCCCTCGCAATGCCAGCTGCTGTTGCCATTATTGGCCCCCCACCAGTAACGGTTTTCCCTGACCCGGCGCCGCACAACGTCTCAAACAAAATCCTGGCCATCGAAATCTTCTTGACCCTCCTCCCGCTTATCCTGCTCATCCTCGGCTTCTCCATCTGCTGGTACAAAGAATACCATCCGTGCTTCGGCGTCGGGGATGCGATACGGGATAGATGGAATCGAAGGCGCGAGAGGCGCGCCGAGGCTGAACGCCGCGCTGCTGTTGAGCGGGAGAACGGGGTCTTTGAGCTCCATCGCGTGACTCCTGCATCTGCGCCTGCGCCTGCCCTTGTCACTGTTCAGCCTCGTACTGAGCCCCAGCGTCTTCTTCGCGAGGATCGCACTAGCACCTCCTTCTCCCAGCAGTCCCGATACTACATGCCCTACACCTCTAACTTCAACGAGCACTTTGAAGAGCAGATTGAGCGGATCGCGGAGCGTCGGCGTTTCCGCGAGCTTATGCGTAAGCGTGATCTCGAAATGGGATTTGGAGTTGAACTGGAGCATGCGCGTGAGACTCAGAACCACAGTGCCAGCGCCGGTGGCCGCGAACAACCCCCTTGCTATGATTCTCTCCCCTTTTACTCCTCCCAGGCTTAGACCAGGAGGACAGCGTCGAACGCCGCGTTCAATCTGAGCCCGGTAGCGCAAATATGATTCAAGCTCGAGCTGCTACTGTGCCTGTCTCTGGACCGTGATCAACCTGGGCACCACACACCTTCACCTTTGAGGGATGCCACTCATCAAGAGCACCGTGAGCCTCGCGATCCCTGCGTCTTTATCTAAACAAATCCAAAATGCGAGGAGTCCTTTTCCTGTTTTCCTTTTTTATTCAATGTCCATACGATGGTTTATCCATACTTGGTATGGTCCGGTTAGCAGTCTGATATCCCTGTACTTAGCTAGCAAATTGAAGATGTACTGTAGCTAGTTGAATAAGACCAGATCCATTGAATCTACATTGCTCTTGATCTTTCCGTTCGTAGAGTACAGTGTGGTGGAATATGCACTGACCAAACCGGGTCCCCTTCCTTCGGTTCGTTTGTTGTCCCATAAGCATCGACTTCGACTCATGCAGCCTGAATAGGAATACTCAACCGGCCTCCTGCTGGGGCTGAGACACCCAGACTAGGGGGAAAGGGCGTTCGTTATACCAAACCGTATCAACGTCGGACCCAGCCAGGGCGAGTGGACGTCATCTCTGCAGCCCGTGGGCCGACAGGATTTCTTTCCTGGAGCCGATGCTAAGCCTGGGCGCCAGTGGCATGGAACCAACAGCCCCTCGTCCGCTGGAAATGCCGGACTACATGCGAAGAATAACTCCCGAACAAGGCGTGTTGAATATAGCCCCGGCCGCATGCGTGTATACTTATGCAAAGCAGACACTGGCCTTCGCTTCGGCTTCCGCAGTCCGATTCTTGCAAACCGGGCACTCATGGGACCAGGCCATGCCATGTTAATAATGCTGAATACAGGTTTGTATACAAGCGTAAGGCTCCTGTTCTGCAAATAGTTTTACCAGGAGCTTGCCTAGTTGAAACATAATATAGCCATTTCGTGAGGGGCGGCTGTATACCTAGAAATCATTAAGAATATAATGGTTTTATATTGATATAGGGGTTAGGTATAATCTAATTGTGTTGGCAAATAATGGGGATACTAATGTAAGTGAGTGAGCTAAAGCTAGTTTTCGCGCTGTGGATTCAGTTGCAATCTCGGTTGATGTTTTTCTACCTGAAAAAGGACTTCAAAAGAGTTATACGCTTAGGTCATTAAGGCAAAAGCACGCGCGAGCGTAATCCAATTTTCAGGCATCGAAGTAAGTGCAAAGCAAATGAGCTGCGATAGAATAACGAACATATGTCCAAGCAAAACGAAGAAAAGACTAATGGGTGTGAACCCGAGCTCTCAGGGACGAAGCGAAAATACAAACTACCTATGTCCATCTCCATCTCCTACTCATACTCTCAACATGAAAAACCAAACATGGAAGGTAGAAGTGAAAGGTAACGGGGAAAGAAAGGATAACCTAAGCAACCATGCAAGCCGTATTCGGACAGTACCCATGGTCACAAGCGAAGCTGCACAGTCCCAGATACGAGTTATAGTTCTCCAGCCACGGCAGCGGCACACCCCTCACACCGGTCGTCGGGGGAGTCGGCACAGGCGCGCCAGTCCTTGTGCAGGTGCATGGGCCCGGCGGACAGTACCCGTAGTTGCAGCAGAAGCTGCACAGGCCCACGTAGTTGCCGGGTCCGGTGCCGGCGACGCAGGTGGTGCCGGTGGGTTGGGTTGTTGTTGTCGTGCTTGTGCGGGTGCTGGTGCTGGTGCTGGTGCTTGTGCGCGTGCTGGTTGTGCTTGTTCGGCTGGTTGTGCTGGTGGATGTTGAGGTCCGCGTGCTGGTGATGCTGGTTGTGGTGCGGGTGCTTGTTATGGTTGTCCGGGTGGTGGTGCCGGTTGTGCCGGCTGTGGATGAGGTCCGCGTGGAGGTCCGAGTGGTTGTGGGGGCGGATCCCCAGCCTGGGGGCGCTGTCGGGACCACCTTTCCGAGCGACGGTGTCGGCGCGCAGGTTTGGACGTGCAGACCTTGAGTAAGACTGTTCAGGCCGGCGGACTGGAGAGAGTCGATAGTGGGAGCTGGGGGCAGAGATCCGACTGAGAGATGCTGGATTAGCCTAATACTTCGAAAAAGACAGAATTAAAGAACTCACCGTAAGGATTGAAATTGTACAGCCCACAAGGGCAGCCATTGATAATAGGCAGCAGACTGATATCTGACTGGAAGACCTGCCCATTGCGACTGAGCGAGAAAGCCTGCGATCCCACGCCCATAGGAACCTTGAAAGCGCTGGCGCCGGCCGGAGCATCGAAGACCTCGACATTGCCTCCAGAGTTGACAGTCACGGTGGCGGGCTCAGTCAGGGTCGTGACAACGAAGACTGCGTCTTCCATCGTCTCCCAGCCATTGGGGCGGCCGTTGAAGTAGTTTCCACTGCCGTTGTTGGCGGGCACCATGCAGGTATCTGTGGAGTCGCAATTGACGTCGCGAGGGGCTGGGCGGTACCAGTACACGAGCAGATCCTCGGTGATGTAGCTGTCGACCGACTCAGCGCCGTCCTTGTAGGCGGCGATCCATGGCTTGGACATGTCCATCCAGCCGTCGTGTGGCCTAGGTAATTAGTATTTTTGTGTAGGTGAGGTAAGGAGGGCTTACATGTCATTGCACCACTTGGATGCGCCGTCATCGGTGTGTGGAGAGCTCAGTGGGCCAATATAGTGCGACTCGCCGTAGTCATTCCAGGTAACAATTTCGATGAAGCGGGGTTTCATAGTCAGCACATGCTGCCAGCGCTCATACCACAACAGGTCTCCGGGAAAGACCCAGTTCTTGCTGTACGGGACCTCGGGGCCAAAGTGGGTGAAGAACCAGGGAGAAACAGCTGCCAGGGTCAGTCAAGCACGACCGTTTTCTTCAGGAACACTCACGAGCAATGTAGTCCTTTCCAGTCTTGATATACATCTCATCGCCTTGCTCGACAGAGATCGAAGCTCCAGGGCGGGGCGCCTTGTTGTTGCCGTCGTTGGGCCAGGCCATCCAGTTAAGCAAACCATCGACGCCGTCCAGGTTGGTGCCGTACTCGGGGTGATAATTGGGACCCCAATAGATCTCCCGTCCAGCGGCCTGGCGCATGGCCTTGATGTCAAGGCCGTCACCCGCGAATGAGGAGACGAAAGCCTTGCCATCGACAAAGAGCTGGGCTGGGCGGCTTGCATACTTGGCGATCATCTGACCGACCTGGGTGCCTTGGCCGGTGCTGTACCAATTGAAATCGAAGGATATGAATACCTTCATATCATTGTTGGCGGCAGACTCATAAGCAAGGTCCAGTTGCCGTTCGGTATAGGGGTCGACGCCGATGTTGAGTGCGTAGGCGTCGATCCCGAGAGATTTGGCACGTTTCATGTCATCGTTGTAGTCAGCCGCTGAGTTGCGATTGCTGGTAATCCCAATCTGCTCGTGTCAGTCGATCGCTGAGCCATGAAGGAAGGGAAAGTACCATAAAGTGAGCAAAGACAAGACGGTCCGAGGAGGACTGCCTGGCCTGGTTGGCGACTGCACCTGGAGCAGCAAGGATCAACTGGGGGAGAGCCCCCAGGATGGAGAGGATTGTGGTGAGTCTCATCTTGGTGAGTTGGTCTCGTTGATCATCAGTGTTGTTGTTCGCTTTGTATGCAGCGGGTCTCGACGGTTTATATATTCTCGCTTTGTCTACTCTGACGGTCAAACCCGTTTGACGTCGATCGACAACAAAGAACGTTGAAAGAGCTGAATCATTGGTTGTCGTTTCCACCCCTTGTCACATCGCTCATTGTTCGCTTCAGACTTCGCTATAGATCGAGTGTTATCCCACCGTTACACCGGCTGCGACCTCCTCAGGGGTGTCATACCGCACATGGCCAAGGCCAGGAACAGTTAGATCTCTCCGCGTTGAATGAGCGCAGGCACTCACTAACGGGACCTGGACAGCGGTGCGTGATAGGGTCAGGGATCAGCCCTATAGCTCTCCGCACTATGATCGGGGACCAGCGTCTGCAAGGGCCATGTCATGTGGTTCGTCAATGAGACAGGCCCAAGCTTCCTGGTAATCAAAGCATTTTGAGCGAAAGTTTGGACGAAATTAAGCGAATCCTTCGAAGCTGCCGTTGAGGAGCAACGACCCCAACGTGTAATTTCCTTTCGCACCTTGAGATCGTGGAGAGATACCCCGGATTCCGGCTCATGTCACACGAACCTTTCGAATGCAACACTGTAGGCACGCATGGGGGTCGGCTGATTGTCTCGAGCGGGGGATGATCTGGAGACCGGGGTGCGCTCCTTCGCTGAAAAGCAAAGTGGTGTCAAGGCACGGAGCCGAGGTCTCTATCCGAGTTAATCAACACAGCATGGAGGGGCGTTGAAATCGATCTGGCAAGGTCTACAATGCGTGGACACAACAAAGCAGAGTAGGCCAAGGGCAAATCGTAGTATACAAGAAGAAAGAGAGCAGGCAGGTTCACCCAATAGCATACTCGGCATAACCTTGAAATGCTTGCAATAAGCTTACAAGTCTTGATAATCCCCCAGACGGGCCAACACCGGTGTTCGTGAACGGGTCGGTCGCTCGTTCATGCAATATATTGAGGCTCTTATGAATGGCTGTCGTCAACCGCTCGGGGAAATAGAGAATGGACCAGGGTTCTGTCTGTCATAACATAGTAAACACGGCTGGCTTGTTGGAAGCAAGTTCCGCATTGAATGGAAGCTCGGTGAGCCGAAAGGACATTGCTTTTGGTGGGTCTTGTCACGCAGACCACTCGGTGGTGGGCGGAGGATACGCACTCGACGGGGTATGAGGACACTATCGGGCCATGGCTACCTGGTACCTTGTTCGGTTACCGTCGTTTTCGAGAGATACACTCAAGCGACATCACCGTCAGTCAGGCTCGGCCAGTAGAATCCCTGCTGCTCATCGAGGTACATAGAAGAATCGATGAATTCGAGGTCCAGAGTTGGCTGTTCCAGAAGCTCCTGCAAGAGGGGATCGAAGAGCGCCGTTCCAGCGCTCATCTCGCTCGAGATGGATGGCAGCTCGGTGGGCCCCGTGTCCATGGCTGAGCCGTACGCGGAGTCGTGTGGCGTTGCGGCATTTCCATTTCCTGCATCGCACAGGCGGGCTTTGGTGAGGACCAGAAGCTCGGTGACGGCTTCGATATGCTTGTAAAATTCCGCCGCGGCATAGTTGCCGCTATCCCGCAATTGGGAGAGGAAGCTGACCGCTACTTCGAATTGCTCCTCATCGCTCTGCCGCTCTTTACCGGGGAGTAAACTGGAAATGGCTAGGATCGTGGCGGCCGAGAAGAGATACTGGGTGTAGAAGAAATCAAACACCATGAAAGACCCGTTTGTCCAGCTGTCAACTAGTAGACTGCAAGAGTGTCGTGCGCAGCGAACGCATGTCTCGGATAGAGCAGTGGCGGAGGCGGGTACGTTCGTTTCTTTGGTGCTCTGCTGATCTCGGGCTTCGATATGGACGCGGAGAACGTGAAGGAGGATCGGGCGCGTAGCGAGGATGGCAAGCTGGTGGGGTAAGTATATCAAAAGCCCCCTTTTTTTTCAGGCAACGTTGACGTACCTGATTGAATAGAAGATGAAGAGACCGTGCCTTGGGGTCCCAATCGCCCTCGCATCGAGCAGGAGTTTGCAGAGCAGGTGGCAGTTCTTGCAGCCAGCGTCGAAGATCCCCGAACGCCTCTTGAACACGATGAGACAGCGAGAGTTCTTGAGCACTTTTGCCGTATATCGAGGAGATAATCTTGCCGGATATTCGGGCAAGTCCTATCCTTGCGATAAAGTATGCTCGGTCGGGAAAGTCCAATGCCCCATGATCGCCTGAACCAGGAGGACTCGTGGGAAGACTGACTTGGATCTGATCATCTTGGATGGCACAGGGGTATCCGAGCTTTGCCGCCCACATGCGATCGAAGGTGTATGCCGTCCAGAACAGCCGGTTTCGATGCTCTCTCTCCCCGGCGTCGGTCAATTGGGACTCGGGGATGTTGAGATGCAGGCCCATGATGACCGCCAGTCGAACCGCAGAGCCAGCGAGGCTATATGCGGCATGCCGTCGGTTGAGGTACAGCGAGTAAACTGACAGGAGCAGTTGGACTTCCACCATTTCGACGCTCGGCCTCTCGCTCACAATGCGCAGGATGTTGTTCGCTTTGCAGAAGTACCGGATGCCGGGAAAGCCTTTATCTGGGCTTGGGTTTCTAGTCGTATACATCTCGCCAATCGCGAACAACGCCCAGAGTTTACTCCTGTTCAACGAATCGAGTGAGTTATTCTCAAGGTCGTGGAAAGTCGAACTACGCCGTACGACATGGTAGCAGCGACCGAGACCATTTACAGCAGTCTGAACAAGAAGCCGCGCACGAGCCGGCGAGGGCCATGGGTACTCAGCCTCTGACAAGGCGAGCAGCTGCTCATCGGTGGGGAAGTTGACGCGAGGGAGATGGCCATGGTGAGAATGAGACGAATGAGACAAGGCCTGCCGGAATCTCGAGGCAAAGGCCGAGTCGGAGGCTTCAGCAACGAGGATGGGCGTGTGGAGGGCATCGGCGTTGACAAACCAGGGAGCTTCAGCCAGGACGGGCGCATTGACTGTCTCTTCGCTCGGGGGCTGTGCGCTTCCTCGCAGTCGCTTGTTCTCGGAAATGAGATCTGCGATGTACCTGACGATGGATCAGTGTGATGCAGGCAGAAATTGCGACGGACTCACTGCTCGCTGACTTTGATGAGACGATTCTTGCGGGGATACTCGCATTCGTCGTCTTTGGCGGCCTGGCGACACCCATCGCAGGGGTTGCCGCCCGAGCATTTGACCTTGCGCGAGTGGCATCGGCGACACCTGGGCAATTAGCGAGGTCTGACTAGCTAGCAGACGGACAGCTTACGCGACGGTCTTTGAAATGCGAGGACGAGATGTGCCTGACATGGCGACGAGTAATGAAGACGGCGAGTTTGAGAGAGTTGACGCCACACAAGTCTCGCTGGCTCGGCCTTTGGCGGCTTTTCGCCGAGTCCGATCTCGGCCAAGTCTCAATTTGCCGAGGCCGACACCGGCGTAATGGTCGCGACTCGCCGACAGAAGAACTATATCAACTCAGGACTACGTTGAAATCAGAATCAATCTCACCATCCATTTCATCAACATGGCATCATATTTTACCCCCGCGCAGAGCCCTCCCGCCGGAACAGCCCTGGAATCCACCTCTCTCCCAAAGCTGTTTACTCCCCTCAAAATCCGCGGCCTTATAGTGCAGAATCGCCTCTTCCTCGCCCCTCTCTGCCAGTGGTCAGGCGAAAATGGCTACACGACAGACTGGCACCTCATTCATCTTGGTGGTATCATCCAACGCGGCCCTGGCCTCTCAATCATCGAGTCCACGGCCGTGCAGAAAGAGGGCCGCATCACGCCCCACGACATTGGAATCTGGGAAGATGGACAGATCACCGGCCTGAAGCGGATAGCGGACTTTGTGCACAGTCAGAGCCAACTGATCGGTATCCAGCTCAGTCATGCTGGGCGCAAGGCGAGTACCATGGCGCCGTTCCTGGACAAGAATGCGACTGCGCAAGAGGAGGATGCGGGGTGGCCGGATGAGGTCTACGCTCCTTCTGGAGTCCCTTTCAACGATGTCTATCCTCGGCCTAAGGCTATGACGATTGAGCAGATCCACGATCTCAAGAAGGCGTTTGTCGATGCGGCACTACGATCGGTCAGGGCTGGATTTGACATCGTCGAGATCCATGCGGCGCATGGGTATCTCATTCACCAGTTTCTGAGCCCGATCAGCAACAAGCGGACAGACCAGTATGGAGGGGCCTTTGAGAACAGGGTGCGGCTACTTCTTGAAATCACAGACGCGGTCCGGGCAGCAATCCCAGCAGAAATGCCCTTGTTCGTTCGGATCAGTGCCACAGATTGGTTCGACGACTTGACCGATGAGTTTCCGCAGAGCTGGACTGTGGCGGACTCGTGCAGGCTTGCTCCTATTCTTGCCGGGCGTGGTGTTGATTTCCTGGATGTCAGCTCGGGCGGCATTCATCCCAAGCAGTCTACAAGCATCAAGTCTGGTGATGGATACCAGGCGCCGTTTGCTTTGAGGATCAAGGAAGCTGTCGGAGATGCCATGCTGGTGTCTGCTGTTGGAGGTATCCGGACTGGTGAAATGGCAGAGGGATTCCTGCAGCAGGGTCTTGATGTCGTTATGTGCGGTCGTTGGTTCCAGAAGAACCCCGGTCTAGTCTACCAGTTTGCAGAAGAGCTGGGGGTGAAGGTCAAGATGTCGAGTCAGTACGGATGGGCGCTTGGAGGCGGGAGAAGGAGGAAATGAGGCAAAATAGAGTCCTAGCAAGATACTGCAAATATACAATCACATCTTTTTCGTCAACCTGCGTAATCAGGCAGGAATACAACCAACACCCCCAAGATCCAACAGCTCCTCATCCTGGTATCTGCACTCCCACTGCGGCGGCTCACCACTCGGATTCGTCAAGGTGACATTCTCGGCGCGAATGTTGTCACAGGACTGCAGCCATTAGCATCTTCACATCACACACGACAGGGTATCTCACATCCTCCGACCCGCAAATAAGCTGACCAGCAACAGGATCATCCGCACCATTCGCCGTGCCCCAAATATTCTTGAACAGCACATCGGTCAGAATCACCTGCGACGGGTGGTCCAGACACTCGCTCGCATTGATCGCCCCGTAGCACTGATCGATCTGGATAGCGAGGTTGTTGTTGTCGTTGATCATGGTGTCGTACGTCACATTGCGCACGTAGCCTTGCCCCCCGCCGCCAACCCAGGGCGGGTTCCCTCTCTTGACGGCCTCGGCACCGGGCCAGACCTTCAGACGGGCGGCGGTGGTCGTGTTGGCCATGGTGTTGTTGTAGATGTAGAGATCCGATACGATGTCGTACTGGTATGGGTAGTTTCCTAGCGATCCGACGGAGATGCCGTGCGAGCCGTTGCATTGTAAGCCCTGGACGATGATGTTGGTGCTGTTTGGCTTGAACGAGACGCAGTCGTCGTCGTGGTTGATGACCGAGTTCTGGATGACGATGTTGTCTGACCGGAATGTGTCCCAGCCGTCGAGGTTTGAGGCCCAGGCGGAGGAGGACGAGCGCGAGAAGATGTCGATATCTGAGATTAGGAGGTCGGAGCTGTTGGCAATGAAGTTGTGCCACTGTTCTGTCAGATCTGGTTGTGCAAATTGTTGGGGTTATGGTACTCACGTTGGGCGACTGCCGCAGCTTCAGACCGGTGATGGAACCCCCGTGCCATCCATCTGCAATAAACAAGAGAGGACGCCTGAGGGTTCCGTTTGCAGCATAAGCGTCATACCACGACTGTCCGTTGCCATGAATGACACCGGTGTCAGCGCCATAGAGATGGACGTCTTCGCCGCCCCAAACCCACCAGGAAGAGGCATCCTGGAAGTGGAACTCGAACAGATTCTGTTGCCAGAATTCTATCTCGGTGCAGAACTCGACTTTACCGGTCAGGGCGATATCGACATGCTTCAGGAAGCGTAGGTCGAGGGGGGTGCAGATGGTGTATTCCTGATCGAGGACAACAGTTCCCCCGTTGTTGCACTTTCGCAGCGCATCGCGAATCCTACCGGCATCGTCGCCCTTGTTGCCGGGCTTGACATAGCAGACCTTGTGAGGGTTGCGCTGCGACTGGAGGGGGATTGCCTTGTATGGCTGGATAGGGTTCGGCTGAATGTTGGGACGCTTGGGAAAGCTGGGACGTCCCGGCTGAGCCACAGTCAGGGCTGGGCTCACAGTGAGCAGGAGGCCCAGGAAGTACCCAATGGAGTCTTTGATAATCATGGCTTGGATATTACTAGGTGAGACCTGGTCAGTCAATTGCGCCTGCCATGGACCAGCGTCTCTTTTTATACCATAATGATTCCGGCTGAGTTGCCTGATGCCTTTCTGATACTCCCGTATCTATGCTAAACTGGGGTAATCAGGTTAAACATGGTCTTGGGAGCTCTCTTGTTGCATATTTGTTCCGTCAATGAGAGACAGAAATCCACCTGCAGCTGCAGCGGGAATACATTTGAAGAAGATCACAACGTGGGTAATATATCTTGAGGAATTAGTCCGCCAATAGAAGCATTGCTCTTACCAGGAACTCCTCTGCCTGGGTAGAACCCTGCAGGAACGAATTATGCGGGGCTGCATTTACCCTCGGGCTGAGCGCTTGATTTAGCCTGATTGCTGTTATCCCTGCGCCTAGTGACAAGCAATATTTTTACGCCTTCAGACGTACAGCGTTGTGCCTAATGACTCTACTGCCACATCCGGCAATGAGGGGAAATATGGTAAGGAATGCACTGGCACTCTTCCATATGTCAATCAACTGTATGCCCCGGACCTGTCAATACCAGAAGACAGAAGGATATGCTCTACTAGTACCTCCCATTCGTTAAGTCAGGAACAGCCTTAACTCTAGGTGCTCGTTATTCAGATCCTGCAGGGCTCTCGGCTGCCGAAGGAACTGAAGCACTGTGACGTAGACAGGGATTGTGATAGGAAAATTGAGTCAGGAAGTCCAATCACTAGCAAACTACAGCTTCAATGCACGAGCAGGAATGTCAACCCTAGTGTGATGGGAGACAATGGGGGTACGCGGAGTTCGACACTGGTCCGAGACCCGTGGGGTCTTTGGCCCTTGGGGGATTGCTGAGCCCACCTCGGTGGGTTCGTGACCCAGGGTCCCGAGCCAACGGCGTTAAACCCTGCGAGAATAAGCAATCTAGGACCAAGGGCCCAGTCTGTTTAAAAATCTCACGTCAGCTTTGTTGCAGAGTTTGATGCCGGGCGCTGTCGGGCTGTCGGCCGCCGCTTGTCCTGTCCCGGTTGACAAACAATGCGATATACTTCGACGAGGTATAAGTGTCGGCGAGATGTCTTCTCTACGATGCTAATTCGATCTATTGGTGAGTGATATAAGCTGGTCGCTCGTGGTGTTTGCAGTGCTAATGATGTTTAGGCATCGGCCTATGATGGCTCGAGCCCTTGCACACAATGGTGCAAGCAAGGTCTACATCCTCAGCTGTCGTCTAGAGATGCTCCAGAAAGCAGTTGAAGAGGATCCCAGCTTGATCCTTACCAATGCGATATCACGTCACAAGACGACCTGCAGTCTAATATCGACCGGATCACGACAAAAGTGGGCTACGTCAACCTGGTCATAGCAAACTCTGGAACAATTGGTCTTGCAGTGCGCTTCCACCCCGGCGTCGGTCTCGGAACTGCGAATGGGTCGATCTTGGTGACTGATGGTGGCAGACTGTCTCTATCGCTGGGATATATTAGTTATTGTAGATCGTTAGGTCGAAGCGAGCCTGATAATCAACGGCGGATGGGTCGGGCTGGCGGCCGCCACGATACCGTTAACGAGCAGGGACCATGCCGAGTTTGGTTAGGGAACAGCGCCTGGAGGCCCACCCGGCTGACGGCAGATCCCTCACTTGCAGACTCCGAAATTCCGGATGCACACAATAATATCCTGACAAAGGCTCTGGCGCACATACGGCCCCTGTAACTCCACAGGTACAATGGCCGCCCCGAGCCGATCCGGCAGTCCTCCTTTCGCCCCCAAAGTTTGTTCCACCTGCCGAACCCGCAAGAAGCGATGCGACAAGGCCTTGCCCTGCTGTGGCTACTGCGCTGAGTACGTCTCCTGCTGCAACATCCCTGTCGGTCGCTTACCCCGGCCAGGAAAGGCCTGCAATGCCAGTACCAGGAGCAACGTTTTCTTGGTTTAGACTTGGTCCCGAGGCCCTCCTTGTCAGAAACCTCTTCGACAGTGGAGACGACAGTGTGCCGTGAGGTTCAGCGCATCATCAGCTTCACGGGGCAGCAGTACCTGGACGAAATCAGCGTACGGTACTTCCAGAGCATTCACTGGTATCTGCCAATCATCTCGCGGCAGCGCTTCCATGCACACCTTCTCTCCTTTGGCTCCGATCCGCGGGCAGACTTCTCCGTTCTTTTGCTGAGTATGTGCATGCTCACATACGATCCAGATCCCGACAGACAAGACGGCCGGCACGTCGATAGTTCGACCCTGTATCTTGCGACCAAATTACTGTTCAGTCAGGCGCAAACAATAGGTCGGCCGTCCCTAAACCTGATTCAAGCCGGAATCTTGATAGCGGTCTATGAGTATGCGCGCGGGGATCGAGATCTGGGGTTTGTGTCCATGGGTGTTTGTGCCCGCATGGCGTATGCGGCAGGCTTGAAGCAACCAACATCACTTCCCAGCATGAATAACGACGTGTATCCGGATGAAGAAGACGGCAGCACCTGGTGGGGGATCTGCATGTGCGAAAGGTGAGTTGACAGCGGCTATCGGTTGACCGGCTGCTGACACACAATAGAATCGCACTTTGCGATGTCAGTTTAGTCAACCAACCTCTGCTGTCAATGATGCCGAAAGAAGTCAATGCGTTTAGCTGCCGGGAAAGTGAAAGCGTGCTGTCTACGCCGTCGAACGTTTATCAGGACGGATTCCGCCAGGCAATGCGCGCCACCTATCTGCTGGACGAACTACTCGAGGTGCTGAAAGCTCCAGAGTCAAGTACCAAGCAGAGGCACCTAGACGATCTGGACAAGTCGATTCAAGTGTTTCTCACGATGACGATGCAACGGTTCCCGATGGCGAGCGGTGTTTATTGCGGCGGCATCTCGATTGCCATTCGGTAGGTTGTGCTCCCCGCAAGAGAATCCGCTAACAAGCAAACAGTGGACTGTTTCTCCTGCATCGGCAAGTTCTAGACCGGGCGAAAGCGCCATCGGGCGAGATCGATTGTCCGAAGGAGGCGTATCTCAACTCACGTGCCGCCCTCGACACGGTGACCAAGATCGTTAGCGACATCGCAACAGCGCGTCAGCAACTCTCTCCCGACCGGATGGACGCGTATCCGCCGACCTATGCATACCTAGTTCGGGCGGCACTGAAGTATATCCACGATCACTGCCAGCCGTTGTCGCCGGGGTCGTGGCTGTGGGAGGCGGAGAAGCGGCTGCAGCTCTCGCGCGATCTGTTGCGCCGCCGCTGGGAGTGACGTCATGGCTGCCTGTAAATTCAGGCACCAATCACATGACGTACGAGGCTGCACGCCGCAAAGCTTGCATGGGTCACGTGGAAGCCGTTGCATACCTCCAGCGACAATAGCATCATATTTTTAGATTAATGTATAGACAATGTTCACTGTGAACTCCACCTTTGCTTGCTCTAGCTGAAATCAGTCTCGAGTCTCGACGAGTTTCGATTCTGTTGAGTCCGAGGAACGGCCGTAGTCCTGCCGTCCCGGCAACTGACTCGCGACAATATATATCTCCCCATTACGGTAATGTTGGTTTTCCTTGTCGACGTTTCAGCCATGACACTCTGCTCAAAACACCCTCCGATTAAGCCTGGCAATCAATGTTCATTGCTCCAGATTTCTTGCCCCCATGAAGATGTTCGGAACTTCAGATCATCGCCATTCCCAACTAGATCGATCCTATTTGCGGAAGGGGATCCGAGCAAGAACCGCGACCCAAGCGAGAGCTGCATCGGGGGAACTGATTCGTGCTGCAGCCCCATCTGTGCATGATATGATTCGCTCTGATCGGAGGGAGTGGAGGGATCCAGCCCTGGCCAGGCTGCTCGTGGCCGCCAAACCGGTTATAAGACCCGGCGCCACGTTCGTCCGTCCGGCGTCATTCGTCTCGCCCCTCCTGCAAGTTTCAACTTTCAACCCTCCAACTTTTTTTCGACCCTGCCTTCGCGTTAGACTAGCTCTCTGAATGCAGGCGATCCTGGACTCCGCCGCCCTCAGGTCGACCTGAGCATGGAGGAATATCTCTCTCCAGCGCTTCGCCAGCCGCCATTGCCTGACTCCGAGAAGAAGCGCCTCCGGGAACTGTCCAGGTTTGTCTCCTCCACCAACACACAGTAAGCCAGATTCGATCCGTGATGGTACCTCTAATACTCATTTGCACGCTACTAGGTACTATTGTACGATTCGTCAGCCATTCGCGTTCCCTCAAGATCCCGACGCAACACCGACCCCGGCCGACCCGGAGAAGGACGAGCCCGACCTCAATGTCGTCCATCTTTCGTCGGATATCACCCTGACTGCTCTGACGCAGCTCGGCGTCTATCGATTTGGGTGCATGCGATCGTACGTCTCGCTCATTGACGGCCAGAACCAGCACATCATCTCCGAAGCGACCGCCTCGATCTCCTTGCGGGACAGGAAGAAACACAAGCCCGACGATGGATTGTATCTCGGAGTGACAACATTGGATTTGATCTTTGGTGTCTGTCCTCATGCCGTCAAGCTGTTTTCCGGGTTCGACGTGCCCCATCTGCAGAACACAGCCAACGTCACCGCGAATAAGAGCCGCTACATCGTCCGCGATTTCACCCTCGAGGAATACTTCAAGGACCGACCTTATGTGACGGAATGGCCGTACTTTCGATTCTACGCCGAAGTCCCGATATATAGTCCGTCTGGTCACATCTTGGGTAGTTACTGCGTTGTGGACAACAAGCCTCGCCAGGATTTCAGCGAGGACGACGTGATTGCCTTGCAGGAGATTTCGGATGCGATTGCGCTCCATCTCGAGAACATCAGAACCGTCCACTACCATCGCCGGTCGGATCGCCTCGTCCGGGGGCTGACAACATTTGTCAAAGACCGCCCTCACGAAAGGAATCCGCTCGACGCTCCAGCATCCCCAAGCGTCACGTCCGAACTGCCGCCGCCCGAACGGCTCGGTCTTGGTGAGCTGTCTTTGACGACTGACCCGACCGGTGGCACGTCACCGCTGTTTTCCAATCAGGATGGGGCGGAAAGTACCGAAGCGACGTCTTTATCAGTGGCTCTGCATGAGGCCATGGATTCACCGCCACTAAACAAGACCATAGCTGAGAATGGCTCGCCGCGAGACACGGGGTTCTTCCAAGCAAAGGATAATTTTACTCTCAGCACGAAAAGCACTCCTCTGTTCGCTGCAAAGGATACTATTCCGCTGTCGAAACGAATTGCAAATGTTTACGCTGCCGCCAGTGCGTTGATAAGGGAGTCGATGGACGTAGATGGCGTTATGTTTGTCGACGCCTCCCGGTGCAACTCCGGAATGTTAGTATTCTTGAACACTCAGAATACCCAATGCTAACGAAAACAGTGTCCCGCAAAAAACAGATATAATCGACTGGGAGCCGCTACCCAGGAACGCGGATCCCCGGCCTAGAACCCAATATCCGAATCGTTCAGTGCGCGAGGAGACCATGTGCGACACCCTTGGCCTGACATCGAACGAAATCGGCCCCCTGAATGGTATACCTGATTTTCTCCTACAAGAATTGATTGCTGCCCTTCCGCAGGGCGGTATCTTACACCCAGATGCCGATTCAGACGATCTCGAACTGCTCGAAACCCGACTTGCCAAATCATTCCCTCAAGCAAAGTCGCTACTCTTCATCCCGCTCTGGGATTGGAACAAGGGCCAGTGGCTCGCTGGAACGTTCGTGTGGACCAAGGACAGCGACCAGGAGCGGGCTCTCGGACTCGACGAATTACACTATTTCAAAGTTTTTGGAGACTCTATCATCTCGGAAATCGCAAGACTCGATTGGTCGCAGAAGGAAAAATCCAAGTTCGACCTCATATCCTCCGTCAGTCATGAGCTTCGCTCGCCGCTACATGGAATGCTGGCGAATGCGGAACTGTTATCAGCCTCTCTACTGCAGCCGGAACAACGCGACACCGTCCAGGCGCTGGAGACTTGCGGTATTACTCTGTTGGATACCATGAATCATCTGTATGTTGAGAAGCACCTATTCGAGAATATCCACTGACCACCGCAGCCTCGACTTCGCGAAAATCAACAACCTCGCCTCAATCAACCAAACCGCCTCATCCGTAACCAGCCTGGTCAGCACCTTTGATCTCGACGTTTTGATCGAGGAAGTGGTCAACAGTGTGTTTTCCGGAATGCGTCATGCTGCGGTAGCCTCAACGCCTACGTCCAGTCCCGGCTCTGACCCGGACACTGCCTATAAACGGGATCTGTCCGTTGTCCTTCGGTTCGAGAACCAGGGTCGGTGGAAGGTGACGTCCATGACCGGCGCGTGGCGGAGAATCGTGATGAATATCCTCGGCAATGCGCTCAAGTACACCAGCAAGGGATTCGTTGAGGTCTCGGTATCGCTCCTAGACCCGCCGGTGGAATCAAACTCGGATTCCGCCGTTGCGCACCTGCGCTTCGCTGACAGTGGCCGCGGAATGTCGCAGGAGTTCTTGAGGAATAAGCTGTTTTCGCCTTTTGCGCAAGAGGATGCCTTGGCAGAAGGTGCTGGTCTTGGGTTGAGTATTGTGAAACAGCTGGTTTCCTTCCTCAAGGGGTCGATAGACGTGAAGAGCGAACCGGGTGTTGGCACTCAGGTCGATATCTTTATTCCCGTTGAGCTCGTGCCAGATGTGTCTGCTACCGGTGCATTCGGGCCGGAACTCGACATTGGCCAGCCGAAAACCACCTTTTCTCTCGTCGGCCTTGATGCGTACCCTGAGCTTTCCGAAGCGCCTACTGGCACCCTGAGCCCCGAGGCAAAACGAAGAATCTGCTTACAGGGTTTCTTCGCCCACCTGCTCGGGGACAAGCCCGACTGGAAGGTATCGTCGGCCGCATCGTTGGCCGACGCAGATGGCGACATTGCGATTATCAACGAAGCGGCGTTGAAACAACTTTACGAAGACGAGTCGTTGCGTCGTCGTGCCGAGAAGAATCAGACCAGATTTGTATGCCTCTGCGACGGGGTACCTGCACTTAACACAAATGGCCCCAGCGGCGCGCCGGTTGTCCGCTTATACCAACCGTATGTAACCCTCGCCACCATTGTCAAATACCATTTCTGACCATCTTTAGATTATCCCCTAGAAAGGTGCTGCAAGCCATCAAATCGGCCATCGAGGCCAAACCCCAGCCTTTTGCAGCTGCCGACCATCAACTCCCACCAGTCCCCAAACTCTCCCTCACTACCAACTTTGCGAACGACACCCCCGTCCCGGCCAGCGGCACAGACGCACCTGAGAATAAGGTGCTCATTGTAGATGACAATGAAATCAACATAAAGGTAAGACTGGTTTCGCAATCTCAATACCTCGGAGGCTAACATTCGCAGGTCCTCGCCAAATTGATGTCCAAACTTGGTTATCAGCATGCGACGGCGACCAACGGGCTTATAGCCCTGAACAAATACAAAGAGTCACCGGCCTCATTCAGCATGGTTCTCATGGGTGAGTCCCTCGTCAAGGATAACTTCTTACCCGTACTAACCTCGACAGATGTATCCATGCCAGTGATGGACGGCATAGATGCCACGCGGCATATCCGGGCATACGAACGCGAGAAGCGACTAACGCCCGTGAAAGTCTTTGCCGTAACAGGCATTGGGTCGGCTGCGATGCAGCAGGAAGCCCTGATCGCAGGGGTCGACGAGTATCTCGTCAAGCCGCTCTCCCTCGGCCAACTGGGGAAGCTGATCAAGGTCCACTTATAGCGCGAGCTGGACCGCCCACCTGTATATAACAAATCTACACCTGTACATAGACAAAACACGAACATGATGAAGAATGAATTCAAGTCTTTAATCGGCGGACACTGCACAGCCTCATTCTGTGCCTGGTGCCTGGACCGCTCAGGCTTGTGTCAGCCACTCTCGGAAAGGGAGAGCCCTGATTGGATGCGCTGTCTGTGCTAGGTCGACAAGATTCGCGGGGCATAAATAAGCAGGAGTATGTTTCTTTGTCTACCTCCCGTCTCCTTCTGTTCCCACACTCACCCCTGGAACAAGCTCAACATGTCCGACTTCGACGCCCTCCTGGCCGAGTACACCAACAAAGAGAACCCCAAAGTCCACGGCGCGATCCTCAAATGCGTCGACAAAAATGGTATCTAGCCCTCACGTCTCCTCAGCACCACAGATACAATGCTGACCTTCCGTACCCAGGCAAAGAAATCTACAGCAAAATAGCAGGCTACGACTCCCTCTCACCAGATGCCAAACCCCTAGCCGAAGACGTCGTCCTCCGCATCGCCAGCGGCACAAAACTCATCACCTCCATTGCACTCCTTCAATGCGTCGAACGCGGCCTGATCGGCCTCGACGAACCGCTCACCACCATCCTCCCCGAGTTCGCGCATAAGCAGATCCTCACTGATGTCGTTGACGGGGAGCTCGTTCTACAGCCCAGCTCTGTCCCCATCACACCGCGGCACCTCCTAACGCATACGTCGGGCCTGGGATACTATTTCACGGATAGGCTGCTTGGGCTTAGACACGAAGCCCGCGCTCGTGCGGGTCTGAAGGCCTCGCTTAAGATCACGGAGAGGTTTGATATCCCGCTTGTTTTTGAACCGGGCAGTGGCTGGTTGTATGGGTGTAGCCTTGACTGGGCGGGTGTTGTTGTTAGTCGGCTGAATGGTGGTGTTTCGCTGGAGCAGTATATGGTTGAGAATATTTGGACCAGACTCTGTCTTGAGGCGCCGTTTCCCTGCTTCAATATCGCGAGGCACCACGAGTATCTTGCCCGCGCGATGGGGGGTGCGAAGCAGAGCGCTGATGGCGGACTCGAACCGCTTGAGGCTTGGACGTTTGATAACGCCGAGGATCAGGATGGCGGGCAGGGGCTTTCGTGCACGGCTAAGGATTATGTTGCTGTGCTGGCGGATCTGGTCTCGGACCAGCCCAAGCTTCTTAAGCTGGAGACGATCGCGCAGATGTTCACGCCGCAGCTTGAGTCTCACTCGCCTGGCGTGGACATGCTGCTGAAGTTGCGCCCGGCGTGGGATATCGTTACCGGTCCGGTTCTTGGAGACGCTGTTAACCATGGGCTGGGAGGGATACTGACTCTTGACGATGCGCCTGAGATTGGACAGCCGAAGGGTCTGCTTGGATGGGGAGGAGCGTCGAATATTGTCTGGTGGGTGAACAGGGAGCGTGGTGTGGCTGGGTTCTTTGCGACGCAGCAGGTACCGTTTGGCAATCCGACTGTTACGAAGTTGGTGAATGCCTGGAAGAAGGACTTTTGGGCTGGCTTTGATGCATGAAGAGTCAAACGCATGGGGTGCACTTGGAAGGGTTGGTTCTGGACCAGTTTGAGTCTTTGTTTATAAAACGATGAAAGAACCATAAAAGTCAACCCGAAGCTGCTTTTGCCCCAGTTTGCAAATAAACAAAGGGAATGAGCTCCTACGCAGGTAGAATTGCTACTGGATTGCAGGACAAATGCTAAGTATCCTTTGTTGCTGGAGAAGAAAGATCAACTCTGCAATTTTCCACCGCCCACCCCCCTGCATCCCCCAACTCATGTCGAAACCGCCTCAAGATCAAAGAGGCCGTGTTTAATCCCCGCTCACGTCGGTCGGGAAGGTGACACTCGACGCAGTGATGACGACAGAACTCAGGGAGGACCACTGGTACTTCGCACGGCGTTTTGGGCAGGTTCGGGTCGAAATGTCTCTCTTCAAGGCTGACGACATGTCCCGCAACTCTAGCCAGCATTGGGCCCGTCCAGGGTCCTTCCATATGGACGTATTGCCGAAGTATGGAGAGGGCCTGGTGGCGCGTCTGATGATTGCGGCATTTCAAGGCTGTGAAGTAGAGGGGTGGAAAGAGGCCCATGTCGATCATGAACGTGGGATCGGACTCGCAGGTGTCTGATGCCAGGGGATAGTCTGTGCTGTGGATATCTTGGTAGCGCTTGATTATCGTTTCGAAAATAGGTTGATGGATATCGTACGCTGTCTCCTTGACGGAAGGGCAGGTGTCCAGGAGGATCATCGCCACGTCGGCGTATGTTTGGAGCATCAGTAGACCCAGCCTTTCTAGAGGTGGTATGGGAACAAAGCTGGATGTGAAGGAGTTGTTATAGCTGGCGATCCAGTCGTCCATTGCCGCTTGAAGAGCTTTCTGCTTCTCAAGCATTGCTGTGGTAAGAGGCGGCGGTTGGATATTGGTTGTCAACGTGACGCGCTCGACCTCCTTGATGAGATAGACGATGGCGAGCAAGGTGGGTATGATGGATTGTCGAGCGTCCTCAACGCTGCAGAAACGACGAGCAAGAAGGGAACCCCGACTGTATTGGAAGGAGGGCACGAATGCCTCTTTCTGCTGGGAGCCGTGTCCTAGCATGAGGAATTGCAGATTCAACCGGGCAAAGACGTCAACGAGATGGTCGTCGAACAGTTCGGGGGTGTGCTTGACAAGGACTTTATGGCCGTTTGTTCTTGTTGTTGTTGATTGGCGGTTCTGCTCCTGGAGTTGGTGAAGCAGCTTGATCCCGGAGGCGAAATGTACTTCCATAGCATTCACATCACCGCGGAGAATCTCGAGGCAGATGAAGAGGATGCACGACACGGCGGCAACCCGAACAGAGACGGGGTTGGTTAGCGATGCATTGGCGAGCAGAGCTTGGATGGCACGGTTGTACTGCCGCAGCAAGAAGGGGGTCGGGGTGATGGTGGAGACGGTATCCTGGATCTGTGCCGGTGCAAAGGCATCGTAGGCAGAGGTCAGAGCGATCGAGGCATGCAGGACAGCTGGTTCCGACTGGGACATTTGAAGCACGAGGGAGCTCCAGAAACGAGAGCCAAAGGGTCGGGTCAGCTTGTCTGTCAGCAGGACACGGAACCGGTCAAGGCAGCGCCGCTCGTCCTGGGCAAGACCTGGAAGAGTCTGCGGAGGATAGACCAGGCAGGAACTCAGAGTCTTTGACCTTGGTTGCCCCCAGATCCCATAGCCATCGCATGTCCGCCCGGTGTCCGTACACTTGCGGCATGAGGGTCTTTGCTCGTCGCACTTGACTCGCCGGATCTTGCAGGTCCGGCAGCCGGACCTTGAGTGAGGGGTGCTTCTTCGCTTGGCCATGGTGTGATGAAGAGAAAGAGTTGAGGATGGGCTCTCTCTCCTTGGGGAAAGCTGATCTTAACCCCGATCCCAGTGGGGCGTTGGGCAGCCTTTGATTGGCCGGGTCGTGTTCTTTGCCCTCGGATTGGCTGAGGGTTGCCCAATCAATGCCCCGCCTACCAAGCCCTCGTCATACTCATACAGAGTGTGGGAGAGAGTCGACACCTGTCTGGCATCTTTTGAGGACATCGAGGAGGATAGAAGGTCCTTGGCGGACTTTCGATGAGTGTTATATCCGTCAGCCCCGGGGTTTGTGACTCACGGCAGCAATATAAATATCGACTACCTACTTACCCTCCAACAGACTCATCAACTACAAACATTCCCAGCTGCCCATTTCTCCATCGAATCTCTCTCTGTAATGTCAGTTCCCACTCGAGCACTCGGCCGCAACGGTCCCCAAGTCTCCTCCGTTGGCCTCGGCCTGATGAGCATCGGGGGCACCTACGGTGCAGCTCCCAGCGACGAAGACCGTCTGGCCCTCCTCGACCGGGCTCATGCCATCGGACAGTGGTTCTGGGACACCGCCGACATCTACTTCGACAGTGAAGATATCATCGGGACCTGGAGAGCAAAGAATCCGGACAAGGCTAAAGATATCTTTCTCGCTACCAAGTTTGCCATTCAGATCGGTGAAGGTTTTACTCAGACCCTTGACACCTCCCCTGAGTATGCGAGAGCCGCTCTTGAGAAGAGTCTGAAGAGACTGCAGACTGATACGATCGATCTGTACTATGCTCATCGCGTTGATGGGAAGACGCCTATTGAGAAAACTGTCGAGGCGATGGTGCAGTTCAAAAAGTAAGCCTCCTAACTCCTGTCTATACAGTATCTAACGTGCTTGCAGAGAAGGAAAAATCCGATATCTTGGTCTTAGTGAGGTCTCTGCCGACACACTTCGTCGCGCTCATGCCGTCCACCCCATCTCCGCCGTCCAGGTCGAGTACAGCCCGTTTGCACTGGACATTGAAGACAGCCGCGTGGGACTACTCGAGACCTGCCGTGAGCTTGGTGTTGCTGTTGTTGCCTATAGCCCTGTCGGCCGTGGCTTGCTGACCGGTAGGCATGCCACGCGTGAGACCATCACCAAGGACTTCTTCCTGAACATCCTGCCTCGTTACTCCGAGGAAAACTTCCCTGAAATTCAAAAACTTTTCGAGGCCATCAAGCGTGTTGCTGAGAAGAAGGGTGTCACTCCGACACAAGCTACCCTCGCATGGCTGCTTGCTCGTGAGCCGTTTGTTATCCCAATTCCGGGCACCCGGTCGATCAAGTACTTGGAGGAGAACACGGCCAGTGCTCAGATACAGCTCACTGACGAGGAGAACCGGCTCATCACGGAGGCCGTCAATGCTACCAAGCTTGTGGGAGACAGGTATCCAGAGGGGTAAGTGATTCGCACACGGAAAGAAAAGTACTGACGAAATATACTTAGTTTCCCTGACAACTACGAGTTTGGAGACACTCCGGCGCTTTAAGCATGCTCTGGCCTGGTGATATGAGGGGAAGAGGTACAAGCGTTATTGGTGTGAAGTCTGTTACATCTATCACAATCCATCTGATGAAGACGTTTCTGTATCTATTTCGGCTGGACTACTGGTCTACATGATAGTCGCCAACCGTCGTAGAGATTGGAAATATGGCGTTGTCGAATGTACGAGTACGAGGTATATGGTACCAGTTAGAAATGGCATTCACCATCTGATACTATGTCCTATAAAAGAAGGTGTGTGGGATATAGCATCATGTGAACTAGCTGATTTAATTTCAAAGAAGTCAAACAAAGCATTCATTCAAGAACGTAGGAATCATAAACAAAAAACAAGAACAGGAGAATCAAAGCATGACCAGCAGACAAAGCAACAGCATACTCAGCATTTGCCCCTGTCAACAAAGACGCGCCACTCGTCCCAGTGGCCCAGCCTCCCCTTGGTCCCAGTATAACCGTTGGCTCTTTTATTCGTGCACCATTTGACGATCACCGTGGCTGCGTCGGCGATATTATTCCAGGAGGGGAGGACCCTGAGCGTGTTTCGCTGCATCACAGGCCCGTGTCAGCTTGTCTTAATCATGGCTTTGGGAAGAGGAGAATACGGTTTACTTACATCATTACACCACCTGATCGCGGAGTTATGCGAGCAGCTGACAGTGTGGCAGGTCTTTGCCGCAAGGCCGGGAGGCAGCGTCCACTCATTGCGAATGTACTTGATGCCAATCCGGATCTGGTCTGCGTCGGCCATCGCCCAGGCATCCTCGCAGCTCAAGAGCGGGGGTTTCTCCGCGCGATGCTCGAGGACCGCCTCCGAGCGATTGCGGGAGTCGTTGTCCCAGTCGCTTTCGTAGTTCGGGTTGATTTCCAGCACCTGAGCGTATACTTCTTGGAAGGTACCGTGAAGGGTAATCTTCTCTGCGCCGGGGTAGGGGATGACGTCGAAGGAGGTCTTGTCGTTGTTGTAACCGGGGGCTAGGGCATCAAGATCCGCGGGATACTCAGGAGCTGTTAGCGGACATTCACAATAAACAAAGGGCACTTACGCCGAATGCTCCCAGAACCAGGGTTGCGAGCAAGGCAGTGATGTGAAGGAGTTGCATTTCAATCAAACTTCGGTTGGTATTGAGGGAAATCTGTCTCGGAATGTTGTGTCTACTGACGCTTTCAGAACCTGGAAATAGCAGGGTCCTTATAGAGCCCTCCATGGCATCAAACAGAAGGAGTAGCATGTATGGCACGTGCGGTTCTGAGACCTTTGTTGACCAGGTACAAAGAAGCTTATGTTTCGCCGTTTTCAGCCTGCCCTCCCCCTGCCTTGCCAACCGTAACCCTAGAAAAGCCTTTGTTGTATGCTGCAGCGAACAATCTGTATAACATGCAGCCGGGGCGCTCGTACCACCAGGGTGGTAGTAGGCCTTCTTAGTATTGTTCATCGTAGCATCCGATAGACAATAGTCAACACTCAAGTAGGGCAGGATTTACCCAGTTCTTTCTCTGGACGTAGCCACGTCCTCGCGTAGACGGCCCAAATCACCATCTACAGACACGGAACAGCCTAGTCTCATACCATGTGTATACATCTTAACTCAACCCGTCAGCGTGCTACAAGATTTCAAGCGTCGGCCTCGCTGTGCGCTCGGTATTGTCCTAGAGTGCTTTACAAACGGAAACAGAAGGTTGATTGACTATCTTGAGAAGTAGATGGGAGTGATGCCAACCAGAAACCTTTGCTCAAGCATCGGCGTGAAGCTATTTGGTTAAAAAAGTTTCAGCAAGAACTAAACTAGTAGCGGCCAGCAGAGCCCATCACCCCCATCATTCGCTCGATGGATTTCGTATAGACCTTCACACCCTCCACCTGCAGCACCGTCAACTCCAATTTGCCAGCATTATCGGCAACAAACCGGGTATACTCGTCTCTGACAGTGCGGTTCAAGTTGATCTTGCGAACTCCACAAGCAATTGTCTTCTGGAAGAGTTCATGGGAAACTGGATGCGTGCCGTGCAGAACTAATGGAGTCTGACATGCAACCAATTTTCCGATTGCCCCAAGACTAGAAAAGAAGCAGGTCAGCTCTCTGAACAAAGGAGACAACTGAGCAGACATACCGCGGAAGATCCCACGCCTCCTCCGCACCCCCAGCCGGATACCCACCGTGGATATTGCCGAACGAGGGCGCCAGGAAGTGCACCCCTGTCTGGCGAACAAAGGCTTCCGCGTCCTCTGGTTTGGTCATGACTCCTTCCATGTTTACATTGGGGAGACCGTCCTCCCCACCTTCAATGCGGCCCATCTCGGCCTCGATCGTGATATTCAAGGCACGGGCGCGCTCAACAATGCTTTTGCAAAACCGAATGTTGGATTCCTCGTCCTCTGTCGAGGCGTCGACCATAATGGAGTCAAATGGTAGAGTCAATGCAAGTTCGACATCCTCCGCCTTGATGCAGTGATCTAAGTGTACCGCTACTGGGGCTGTAGCAGCATGAGCGGCGCTGACAACGTAGCGAATGAACTCCGGGCCTTGGAAATGCATTGTCCAGGGGAACAGCTGGATAATCGCGGCTGAGCGTTGCTGCTCTGCCGCTCGGATAACGGCCATTACTCCCTCCGTGTTGTAGCTGGCTGCTGTTAGCTGCTGCTGTTCTCTGGTCATGGGAAACTGACCAGTTGTAGGCCCCAACTGCATATCCATGGGTGTTAGCATGGTTTAGGATCTGCCACGTAAGGTTTTTCTGGGGGAATTTGGTGTCGTCTGCGGAGCGTTGCATAGTACTGATACGATTGGACGTTGGGTTCTTGCAGAAATCAACATCGTGCGTGCCTGATGATCTATATGAGTTCTGTCTGAGCCCCGGCGTCGGAGTGCCCCGAAGGCTTCGGGCGCGGCCCGAGAGCGAAAGCGGATGGCCCGTCTGCCCCCGCAGCGCCCTCAATGTGCGTGTTACGTATTCTACATCTATCATAGGTATATATGTCCTACACCAGCTGTGCAATAGGGCGGAGTCTATGGTGGATGAATCAAGTAGTCAAGTCGATGAAAGTGTATACATTGGCTACGATATAATCACCTCGAAAGCGGAGTCTCCGAAAGCCCCAACTCCGGAACCCCATACTCCTTCGCAGCCTCAGCAAACATGATTTTCTCTGCATCCGCATACGGAATACCCTCCTTGCTCCGCTGCAGCCCCAAGCGATGCTCCGGCTCACCGGGAAAGAGAACCTCAGAGAACCCCGGCGCCGGCGTGACGCCATGCACCCTCTGCACCAACGTATCCATGCGCATTTTGAAGTCGTCCACGCTGAAGAAGACGTCAGGTTTAAGCGCAATGAAGCAGTGGCCAACGTTCTGTGGCTTTGTATCCTTGTACTGATCACCGACCTGTCCGCCGAACTCGGCGCCGGTCAGAACGCCGGACATGATGTCCATGAGGATGGCGATTCCCGAGCCCTTGGGGCCCCCGATAGGTGCCATGCTGCCGTTTAGCGCTACGTTCGCGTCTGTTGTTGGGTTACCGTCTGCGTCTAGAGCCCAGCCGAGTGGGATGGACTCGCCGCGACGCGCAGCCCGACGAATCTTGCCCTTGGCTACAACCGAGGGAGCCATGTCGAGGATGTAGGGGACTTCGTTGTTTGAGGGGGCGCCGGCTGCAAAGGGAGATATCCCGAGGAGAGTCTCTTTGCCTCCGAACGGGGGCATCTGCTTTGCTGAGTTGGTGAAGACGAGGGAAATCATGTTGGCCTGTAGGGCTTGGAGGACGTAGGTTGCGGCCATGCCGAAGTGATTTGAGTGGTTAACGGTGACCATGCCAATGCCGTAAATTTCAGCGCGCTTGGTAGCCTCGGCCATGCCCCGTGTTGCGACAACAAACCCGAAGCCATTGTCCCCGTCGAGATGCGCTACTACTGGTGTCTTTTCGGTGATCTTGAGGTTTGGTCGTGCGTTGACCCTGCCATTGCTGACGCGGTCGAGGTATTGAGGCAGACGAGCTAGACCATGGGTATCCTTATTTCTCATTCTTAGCCTAGATTCTTCATGAAATTGTATTACGGTGACCCTACCACGCCGCGAACATCAGCCAATACGAGGCACTCGGCCATTGAGCGTGCATCCTCCTCGGTCAAGCCGGCCTTGGTGAGGAGAGCCGTTGCGAATTTCTCGGCCTCGGCGGGATCAGCGTAGTATCTTGTCTGGCATCGTCGTCAATTGTGCGCTGACCACTGGAGGCTGCCCAGGTGGGGATACCTACAGCAGAGGCCATGTTTGCCGTGCGAATCTTCAGTGAACCTAGTGTCTAACTATGACGCCGACATGAGCCTGCTATATGTATGTCTGATTTAAGCTCCGATATAGGAAGATCGCGAATCTCCCCATGACGCAGTCTAGAGTCCCCGCCGCATGGACGGACCGTAACCGACGGCGAAATGCCGACAGCCCTATCTTTCGGTTATTCGCCGAGTTTCGGATGTATCCGATGGGCACGCGGGGCTGTTGATGGTGTGACTCGGTGCCCATTTGGTATCAGGTCGACCAAGTCTGATGTACTCGGTCCGCCAATAAGTGTGCTCGTACATTGAAGTTGGTGGTTTACGCACGTTGAAGGAACTGTACACCAGACTTTCCAGGTTGTAATCTAAGCTGCTCTAACAAACGCCGTGTCCCCTAGGATCTACTAGAAACAAGAAAACATATGCTCGTCCTCCGCTGAAACCTCAAAGTCGAACCGCACGAGATCCTCCTTGAACGGGAACATGTATGTGCTCGTAACCCTAGCCCGGTCAACATGTGCCTAGGCCAGGGTGGTCAGCTATCTGTTTGGGCAACATACCAATGATGTTCCTTGCTTGCTTGGTACTTTTCCAAATCCTCCAGCGACTCATGGAAGCTGAGGAGTGCGAATTCAAATCCTTTGCTTCGCTCGATCGGGTCTGTGACCGAAGGGCCTCCGACGACCAGACGGTTGCCCTTGACGCAGCCGAGTTGCTTCAGCTTCTTGAGCTCGCGGACGAACGTCTCCTTGTGCTCTTTTGTCACTTCAGAGCGGAACTTGAACATAACTGTTAAGATATCCTCAGCACTAAGCTTCCCACGTTAGAAGAGTGAATGACCGCCACGTACCCATATGCACGATCGTCATTGTGAGATTTGGCGGGCTCTGCGGTTGGACCGGACTGTAGATAGATAGTCTGATTCAAAATATGTGCGATGTAGGGCGTAGGCTGCAAGCATGGGCCAACAAGTCAAGGACTAATATAAAGAGGCGGCTAAAGCACTGGTCTAGGTCTGCGAGCCGGCTACGCTGCGGAAGCACCGCGGCGTCTTTCGGTCTCCAGCCGTTCGCTTTCGGCCCCGATGACACCCCCTCTTTTCTGCATGATGGTGTATTGCTGAAGATTGTGGGTATCATACGGCTGTGGACCTGGGGTACGCCAAGTCGTGCGGGCCTCCGGGCCCCATGGGGTATGGCATCTTCACTAGCCATTGCTGCTGATTAGGAGACAGAGCAGCATATTTAAGCCGGCCATGTTGCCAGCATTGACCATGTTGTGGAACGTTGACCTTACCGTTCTGGAGGACACCTTCTCTTAATTGCTGCCATTCTTCTTCTTTCCCCTTCTTTGAGCGTCAAACATGTCGGACACTGTGAAGGCAGAGGTCGACCAGACATACCTGGAGAATCCAGGCAAAGAGGGCGTCGAGAACAACCGCTTGGCTCCTGCCCAGCTGATGAGCCCCGATGAGTTCGCTGCTGTTGAGAAAAGATTGAAGCGGAAGCTGGACATACGCTTGATGCTGTCCATCTGGGTCATCTTCGTTATGAACTACCTGGACCGGGTAAGTTACTTGTTGATGCCATCATCGATTTGCGCATACTAATCGGCCATTCGGTTCTAGAACAATATCTCTGCCGCAAAGGTAGCCGGCATCCAAGACTCGTTGAACCTCAGCAGCACGCAGTATGCCACCGCAGTGGCTCTCTTGTTCGCCGGCTACGTGTTGATGCAGATTCCATCCAACGTCTTCCTCGCCCACCTTCGTCCTTCGATCTACATCCCGACAGTAATGGCTGTTTGGGGTATCCTCTCTGCGCTTGTAGGAGCAGCTCATAATGCTGGAGGCCTCTACGCGCTCCGCTTCCTGCTTGGCTTTGTCGAAGCTGCATTTTACCGTGAGCCAGCAATCCCTCGTATTCAGCTTGACTCGACTAACTCTTCATAGCTGGTGCATTGTTCCTCATCTCATCCTGGTACAAACGGTCTGAGATGGGAGTGCGCAGTGCCTTTCTGTTCTCAGGATCCCAGCTGGGAAGCGCCTTCTCCGGTCTCATTGGTGCTGGTATCACTGGTGGCTTAGATGGTGCACGAGGCCTGGAGTCATGGAGGTGGATCTTTATTATTGAAGGCTCGGCAACGGTTTTAATAGCAATCTTTGCATTGTTCATCCTCCCCAACTACCCATCGAACACATCCTGGCTGAGTCCAGAAGAACGTGCGGTGGCCGAATGGCGCTTGATCTCGGACGCTGGCCAAGTCGACGAGGATAATGAGGATTGGAGCTATGGCTTTAAGATGGCGTTCAAGGACTGGCGTCTCTACGTCTTTGCTCTGACCTTCCTCTGTATTCAGGTTGCAAGTGCCACGTCCAACTTCTTTCCCACTGTTGTCAAGACCCTTGGATTCAACACCGTCAACACGCTTCTTCTGACTGTTCCCCCATACATGCTTGGTCTTGTCGTTTCGATTGCCAACAACTGGTCGGCCGATCGTTTCCAGAACTCTTCGTTCCATGCCATAGGGCCCATGGTAGCCGCCATCATTGGCTTTGTCGTCGCTGCTGCCACGCTCAACACCGGAGCACGCTACTTTGCAATGGTTCTTATGGTAGCTGGTGGTCATGGTTCAAATGCAGTCGTCTTGGCCTGGACGCAGAAGACCATGCTCCGGCCAAGGATTAAGCGTGCTTCTGCTGTGGCGTTCGTCAACGCGTTTGGCAATCTTGCTCAGGTAAGGAATCCCAGTCGTCTTCTATTGAGACATAGGTATATTTGGCTAATCCTACTGTTAGATCTTCTCATCCTACTTCTACCCCGACAGCTCGGCTCCCCGTTACGTGATCGCGATGGCTGCGAACTCGGCCTTTTCGCTGGCTGTCATCGTTCTTGCTCTTTGCATGCGCTTCATTCTCCTTCGTGCTAACAAGCGTCTCGAACGGGGAGAGACCACTGTGTCGGAGGAGATGAGGGGCCAGAGTCAGATGGAAATTGCCGGTCTCTCCGAGGAGGAACGTGTCGCTCGCAGAGAGGGTTTCCGGTACATTGCGTAGAGCTTAGGGCTGTCATGAATCTATTTTGTGCTGGGAATTATAGTTGGAACTTGAAATTATAGGATAGGGTAACTTAGGGCACTGATCAGATTGTTTAATTGGCTGACATACACCGACCTTATTGCTCATGCTCTCTACACTGTTGCTAGAATAACTGTGAAGCGCGTATGGGTATGCTCGATCTCTCACTCGCAGCCGCCTTTGGCCACACCGAAGGGTGTACCGGTGAACCACAAACCCTAAGTGATAGGCAGTTTCTACTAATACGAGGAACAAATGACATTTCAATTCTTCCATACATATCATACGTATCCTGTTAATCTACCTCCCCCGAAACTCCTTAAAAACCTCCTGCACCGTCCTCCCCGCCTTGATCCCCTCAGCACACTTCGCATCCGCCTCAGCAATAGCAGGAATAGCATCAAGGACTTGCTCAGCCAACTCCCGCGGCAGTCGTACAACCCCGTTAAGATCACCAATGATATAGTCGCCGGGCTGGATCCACGCATCCTGGTTGTCGGAGTGTAGCCGCACGGGCACATTCACCTCCGACGGACGGCAGACTTCGCCGCCCGCTGTAGTGCCGACGGATTTGGCGAAGAGAGGGAACTTCAATGCGCGATGCTCGCCCAGGTCGCGGACTCGGCCGTCAATGACCACCCCGGCTGCACCGAGGGCTTGGGCGCGCAGAGTCATGAGGCCGCCGTAGACAGCGTTGACTTGTGGGGGTGGCTGGGAGATGAAAACCACTGCGCCTTTGGGGACCATGTCAATCTGCACGCTTTGTTAACATACCCCCCCGGCTATTATTGGAGGGACTGGACACACATAGTTCCCAGCCAGCTTTGGCGCGGCCTCATCCGTCTTGGGAACAAACTTGACGGTGAATGCTTGGCCGACGATCTTGGTGTCTCCGGCCTGGAATTCGGGCGAGTAGAGCGTTAATCCCTCAAGGAAGCCCCCGTTGGGGTACTTTAGCTTCGACAGTCCGTCGGCGACCTGGCTTTCTTAGACGATTCACGTGGGTAGGTGTGTTGGAGCATGCTTACATCGCAGGCCCCCCATTGCTGCAGGCGGTTGATGATATCTTGCGAGGTGGCATCCATTGTTACAATCACTTGGTTTGCTCTGTGACTACTTGGTTCTCGTTGAATCCAGGCTGACTCTAAATAGTCTGGGCAAGGTGTTGTTTCCTCCGATTTCGGCTCATCCGCTCTGCTTCGGTAAAACTCCGTCATGGACACCAAACCCCTCGGCAAAGAAACCATTGAGCTAGAAAGAGTGTGGAGCATCGGATATGAGTGCGAGTGAATAAAATTTATATTGAAATATGTAAATGAGGCTGGATGGGAGTTTTCATGACCAAAACCGCTGCTACCTTGGCTGGCATGACTGGATATGTATATGTTTTGAATTATTGCGGATTACCCTCGAAGCATTAACATGATGATATTTCAACAGCTGCCAACAGCTCCCTTCCATTTACACATTGAAATTGTTAGAACCACCACTAGACCCGCAGTCCGGCATCAGCTGGTTTGTATCCCACGCTGAGGGTGCAGTGTCTGCTGCCCAATCGTTCAACCAGCCCAGGTCGAAAAGATCTCGCAGAATGCCCAGCTCGTCAATCAGCACTGACCTGCCATCATCTGGAATGAACTCGTCATTGCCACCGTCCTGCCTTGCCATTGGACCCCTGACTGAAGTGGGATTCCAAGAGTTTCTCAGTGCCGACTCCGGGCCCTCTCGAGTCAAGGAGATCAGCCGCGACAGCTTGTGGCATGGCTCGCGAGCAACCGACCACCACTGGCTGAGAAAGGACAGCAGCTCAAGAGCTTTTTCAGCGCGAGTCAAGCACTCCGCTACTGGGGTCGAGCCCCGGACTACGGGATAAATCCATACGCAGTAAAGCATGGTGATCGCGGCAACAAAGATGGAGTGTGCCGACAGCCACGAGCATTCCATGTTCGAGAAGCGATGAAGCTCGGCATGGATGTGGATGATGCTCATGGAACTGCTGAAGCACTCCTGGACGGCCTCTAGTCCCGGATGCGGCAGCTGGGGACTCGGCCTGTACAGGAGCATAATGCACTGGTGGTATTTGATCTCGAGCCGCTGCACCGTCGTTCCTGGTAATGGATTGACTCTCCCCAGTGGGCGACCTCGCTGCCGGCTGCGGACTTCGTCCATGAGTCGAACACACGCCTTACGTGCCTCTTGCTGCCATTCAGATAGGTTCTGAGGCCAGGGGAACCGACGGGGCGAGCGAGCGACGCGGTAGATCATCAGCTTGATCTCAGCGACAATACGATCGAACCGTAAAGAGTAGATGCACGCCATGTACTCCGCTGGGACCTGCTCTGGGGGCGCACGATGTGCTGCCGCGCCATGTACTGAATGCTGCCATCGAATCGCTGATTCCTCTACTTCATCACTGCCATCCATACCCGGAAAGCTCTGATCTATAGCCTCATCTCGCAGGGTCAGCGGGCGACCAAGAATAGTGGTGAGAGTCCGATCCATCGAATACGCAGACCAGAAGACAGCGCTACGGATGTTTTGTCTCGTTGAATCCGTTTCGCGCGCATCTAGCAATAATAGTTAAAATGGAACAAGGTAACACTGAAACGCCGGTAGCTTACTGCTGTTGCGCCGCTGGAGGCCCAGATCCAGGCAACTGGCAATGATGGTGTGTAAGAGATACCAGGCGTTAAGACCTTCCGGATTGTAGAAGCTATGTAGAACCATCAACAAGAGGGTTTGTACGCCCTCGACGCTCTCCGGAAGGGTGACACGCGAACAGTGTGCCATGCCAGCCAGGAATAGATCCCTTGCGCCGTAATTGACCCCCAGCCTTGTTTCGAGAAATCGCGCCCCCAAGGAAAGAATGAGCAGGATCTGAGCAGAGGCCAGTTGGATTGAAAAGGACCCATTCCACTGTGAGGTCTCGATAAACCGTTGCAGATGATTGAGCGATGAATAAAAGGCATCCTGCGAAATGAACGGATAAAAGGGTGTCTCGTTGAAAAAGGCCTCGGCATACTGCTGACAGTCTGCAAGAGAGGGCAAGGGGATGGGGGGAAGATCGAGTAAAGTGCCATCGGCTGTAGAATTGGACGCGCCTTGCTGCTGCTGCTGCTGCTCCCGAACATACGACAATGGTAAGCCCTGAGACTGAGGGGCGCTCTCATAGATTAACCGGGCGAAGGTGACGCCCGACGAAGGCCCTAGATACTTGGGATCGGACGTGTTGGAAAGCGAAATGAGCCCGACCTCGTGGGCCAGGGGCTGCTCTCGGGTGATCCGGCTGGAGACGGAAACCGCGGGGGACTCTGCAGAAGGAGCTTGCCCGAGGATGTGATCAGGCAACGGTGGTTGCCCCAGGATATGATGTCCTGCAAAAGCACCTGCCGGTCGATGCTCCGCGCCGTGGGCAAAGGCAGGAAGGGTTGGGTTCGGTGTCTGCCCTGTCTGATCAAGGCCAGCGGAAGACCGTCGGTTGTTGTTCGACAGCGGGGGGCCCTGATTGTCGCCGTCGTTCCCTCTTCCCTCGAGCTCCTGGACGCGCTGCTCCAAGTAATGGAGTCGGCTGCAGTTCGATGACGGCAGTTAGAGGACTACTGTATCCCAAAGCGAGACCAACTTACGTCCTCGAGACCGATGAAGTAGCGCGGCCCTCAAAACACTCCTCATCGGCCCTGGCACAGTTGGAACAGGCCGGCAGGGCCCCATCGCATCGGACCTTCCGTCGTCGGCATCGGACACACGCCAGAGCGCGCCTGCGGATGCGAGTGCGCCCGGTCGGGGTGGGAGTCTGCAGTGGCGGACCGTTTGTATGCTCCGTCGACGGGTTCAATACTTCTGCAAACGGAGCGGCCCCCCGAGCAGGCTCCATTGATGCTGTTGAGTCCGCCTAAGGGTCGGAAGAGTGTATGTATGCAAGATCAAGAGCGAGGCAGGCTGCGGGGGAGAACAGGCGTTTCGGTTAGCAACCGATGGACTCCACAGCCCACTGCCGAGCAACTGCCGAGCCTATACAGGCCTACATCGGATCGATCCGAAGGGTAGCCAGTATATAAGTTATACCATGCAGAGAGGCAAGTGGAGTTGGTGGATACAGCAACGAGGTCAACAGCATGGCGGCGGGTCTGTTCACACTGACGGTGGTGCGTGCCTAGTCTTGTGGTTCTGCTGCAGTGTGTCTGACCCCAGAAGATAACCCTGATTGCCATTATGTTCTCTGGAACAGCTGCATCCGGCCTGGTAGTCCCAGACAATGCATGGTATTGTCACCCGGGACGTCTGATATGTAGACATGACTCTGACTAGCTTGGATATAGGGACTCGCACATCCATATCATCGAGCCGGACAAATACCCCTTGGATCCGGACAGAGGTACGATCCATTTCTGGTTCACAAACTGTTTTTATTGACCCGGTCGGCATAGATTACACCCCCAAGGCTGCAACTCGCCAGCAAGCGGCAGCCTTCCAGCAGTCACAGGGCATCAAGCATGCAGTAGTAGTTCTGCCCAGTGTATACGGAACAAACAACAGCGTGCTCATCGACGCCCTCCGCTCTTTCAACGGGACTTATCTTGGAGTCTGCGTACTCGACCTGGACGAAGAGATCAGCAACAGCACTCTGCAAGCCTTCCACGACGCTGGAGTTCGTGGTATTCGGGTCAACTACGGCAGCTCTGGCACAGATGAGCAGATTACGTCTGATGTGATCAAGGCTGCAACCATCGCTCGTGTCCATGACTGGGTGCTGCAGATCTGGATCCCTGTCAGTGCCTTCAAGACCCTGCACTCAATCATTCCCACCCTTGGTGTCCGCGTCGTGGCCGACCACTATGCCCACGCGACGGTGGGCTCTCGAACCGACAACACCCGCAATACAATTGACCCCTTTACCATCCCCGGCTTCAGCGAAGTCATTGACCTTGTCAATAACCACCAACTGTTCGTGAAGATCTCCGCGCCGTACCAGAACTCCAAGCAAGAGCCTCTGTACAGTGACATGCGTGTAGTCGCTGAGACACTCATGATTAATGGCCCCGACATGGTTGTGTTTGGGAGTGATTGGCCGCACACGGCCAGCAAGGAGGGCAATGGTCCCGGTGGGCCGTTGGTCCCATCAGACTTCCGGGACATCGACGACGATGCTATCAGGAATCAAACGCTGGAGTGGGCGGGAACCCAAGCCCAGGTTCAGCGCCTGTTTGTTGATAATCCGCGTAGGCTGTGGGCTTGGACTGATACAGAGTCCTAGGTACGACCGGAGTAGGGCTTTGTTGACAAGAATCAAGTATCTACTGTCTCTTCGACCTCACTCGCATCCTCACGTTCATGAACATCTCCACGTCCATCAGTAATCGTACACAGCTAGCTACTGCTGGCCACTAAGCTTTCGACGGACCAAGTCTGCGTCCTTGGTCTCCCACGGATGTTCCTTCTCAACAGACCGGATCAGCTCCCCATACTTCAGATCTCTCATCTTGATATTCATTTCAAAAGGCACCGGATGGCTAATAATTCCCGGTAGAAAGCTTGCTCGAACATCTACCTCTTGTCCATTGCAGACGGGCTTGCCAATATCAAAGGCCGCAAGGGACGTAGCAATGGTTAGAAAGAGGTTCGACTCAGCGAGGATGCGCCCAGGACAGATACGACGCCCGTAGCCGAAGACGAAGTGCGGATCTCGCTCCGGGTTATCGCCGAGGAAGCGCTCTGGCTTGAAGCTCATGGGGTCCTTGTAGTCCTTGGGGTCATGGCAGAAGGCCCTATAGTGTTTTTATGTATAAGCAAGGGGTGACAATCTGCGGAGACAGGACATGCTTACCAGACGTTTGGCAGGATGATGGAGCCTTTGGGGATGTGGTAACCATCGTACGTATCGTCTTCCATGGAGCTGTGAGCAACGCCCATCGGTGCAACGGGATGCCAACGAAGGGCCTCTTTGACCACCGCATTGATGTAGGGCAGATTCGCCCGGTCGGAGAATCCAGGTAATCGGCCTCGGCCAACGACTCGGTCGATTTCTTCCTGTGCGCGTTTCTGCACATCGGGATACAGCACCATCGCTAGGAAGAACGTTGCGATTGTTGAAACGGTCTGCAAGACAATCAGCCATGGTGAAGAGGGTCGAGGGGGCCAATTATACCGTGTCAGCACCGCCGAAATAGAGCGAGACGGCCGTCCACTTGATCTCATGCTCGACTTTGGAGCCGGGGAGTGTGTCTTTGTCCTTGAGCAGGCTGGAGACATATGAAGCCTCATTACTGCCTGCGTCTATTTGGTCTTTGACAAAGCCAAAAGGCAGATCTGCTAAGAACTGAAGTTCCTCACGAAGCTGCTGTGCTGTTCTTCGAAAGCCGGCTCCTGGACACCAGGCCGGGAGATGCCTTACTACTCTCTGTCAGTTCGTTGCTTTTGTTCAGTGAGTATGTGGCATACGCACAAACAGGAACCGCATCAACGAGCCAGGTTCCAGGAATAAGAGCAGCAATGAATCCCTTCAATGCTTCTTCGATAAAGTCCAACAGCGGATCATTGCTGGTATAGTCCATATGGTAGCCGTATAGTACCTTTAGAATGAAGGCTCCGGCAAGTCTATTCTCGTAAGAATGGTTCTTGTTCTGTCGCAGGGAACACATACCCCCTCGCATGTTCATGCAGATGCTCTGGCGTCTCCAGCAGACGGATCAGAAATCGACGAACCTCCGTGTCCTGGCTCTGATTGAATCGAGTAACCGCATGATGGGTTCCGATCTCGTGATGGATATACTGGCGGTAGGTTCTCAGGCGCTTACCGTAGCCCTGCATTAGCACTGTGTCGCCCATTCCGCAGCTACTCCGGTCAGCCAGAGGTGGATTGGTCGGAGAATCAACCTACAGACTGGCAAACGGCGATCCAGGTCGGTCGGAGTATATCAGGGACCTCTTCTCGAGCAATTCATGTGCAGCCTTCGCATCGTTGAGGATGATGAGGCGTTGGCCCGGAACGGCGACTGTGCTTATGGGTCCTATTCCCGTATTAGGCGGCTTTCTCTGCCATGCGATGGCGCGTACCGTATAGATCCTTGTGCTTCAGCCAGTGCAACCAGTCCGGAGAATCAGGTGCGGGCATGTCGCGCAGATTGCCGATGATGGGCAGTGGCTTGGGGCCTGGCGGCAGGGGTGCGCGGGGTGGCGCCCGGGTGAGCATCACGTAGAGAAGGTACAGGCTGATCAGCCCAGCTGCAAGGAGGACTAGATGCATGGTGTTTGTGCTACCATGGGCAGTCCAGATACAGAGCGAGACGGGTTGGACCTTCTGTTAGAGACGAGTGAAGCTTGAGAAGATCCTGCCACCCCGCAGACGCGGTATCAGGATGCGGAGAAACTAGATAAAACGCACGAATGAGAGAGCTCCAATCTGATTACAGCTTGTAAGCGTAAGCAGCGTGATAGCAGGGCCAGCCAGCTACTCAGGAGAATAATAGCTGTCAGCCCCGGGGTTCGGTACATGGCGGCATGGCCTGTCCTATTCCGGGCGGAAATAGGCCTGACCATTATTCTATGCAGACGGTATACATCACGTATACAGTGTTTCAGTGGGGAAGGCCCAGGAGGCTCAACCCAATCGATCAGGATCCGATCGGGCCAGACCCTGTTCGCCCCCACTGCCCACGCTTGAGCTGAGCCCCTTTTTCTTTGATTTTCTTTTCTTTTCGTCTTCAGGATCTCTCTATTCTCTTCATCGTCAGTCACTCGTTTCCTTCACAGCCACCATGATCATGAAGTCGCTCCTTGTCCCGGCCCTCGCATCCCTCGCTTGCGCGGAGAGCTCGGTGACCTCCATGTTCCTGCCTGGCTTCGACCAGCTGAGTATTGTCGCCTCAATCGCGGGGAATGTACGTCGATCTGTCTCAATTCGCACTCATGATCGTCCGAGGCTAACAACTGACAGGACGCGACCGCCACCACGTACAGCATGACCTGCCCGGCCCCGTACGACAACGAGGAGGACTGCGGCATGGGCTCTGGTATGACCGTTGTCAAGGCTGGCAGTGCCATGACGTACCAGATGGACGAGGGAGAGAACTAGTAAGCTCCCTATCGTGTGATGCATTAATACAATCTGACCCTTCGTCGTAGCCACTTCACTGGCCAATGTACCATCGACGGAACCATTGCTGCGTGCGCTCTCACCGCGTCCGGCTCAGGCGAGGGTCTTCCAGCGTCTCGGACCTACAGAACGTATGCCAAATATATGCCGGTGACCATCACCGCCGGTTCCGTCACCGATGCCGGAGCGACCTCGACGGCCGAGGCTTCAAGTACCGCTAGCCAGGCATCAAAAACTGCGACCGAGAGCGCCAAAGAGACAACGGAGGCGACGGGCGCAGAAGCTACTCCTACCGGGGCTGCTTCTCAAGTGACAGGTGTCGCCGGTGTTATGTTCGGGGGAGCCGCCGTGGCGTTGATGGCGGCGGTACTATAGAGCTTGGGTATGTGAAGCGCTGGGGAGAATGAAGCCCTGCTTCTACACTGAAGGCGAGAACGGTCTCGCTATTTAATTCGTCTTCTTGGGCTTTACTCAGCCAGTCCGCTTGCATGTGATAATATCATCTAGATTAGTACTATAACCTCACATGGATCATTTGGAATACTTCTCCACTGCCCAGACTACCGATCAACAAACACAAGATCGGGCGAGAGTAAGCGAGTGAGGGCTGGATGTGACTGGTCCGAGTGGCTGCATATCACCGTCAGCTGGCCCCAACACATTCGGGGATATTCGTGGCTGAAGCCCAGCGTTGGGGTTCACCGATCCCTTCCCAGGCGACTGCGTATTGGCCAGCCTTGCTGCAGGGCAACAGCCCTTGCGCCCTCGTGGGCAAAGCCCAGCTCCTCCGATGCCTATATAATACGCCATGGTGAGACAAAGCCTTCCTGCCTTGTGCCAGTCTTGGAGTCTGCGTGATGCATCCGTTTGCGCCTCTTCTCGCATTTCTTGCATCGTTTGCTGTGCCATCGCTTGCCCTCCACCATGGACCGGGTATCAATGCAACATACGACTACATAGTTGTCGGTGGAGGAACCTCCGGATTAGCGCTTGCAGCACGACTTGCCGAGGACCCTTCGATTAGCGTCGCTGTCGTGGAGGCTGGTGGTTACTACGAAGAGGAGGGTGGTCCTGAAAATGTTATTCCGGCGCTGTGTCCGTTTGCCAACACCAGCACCGATCCGGCCGACAGCTCTCCCATTGACTGGAACTTTGATACACTGCCTCTGACGGTTCGGCCTACCAGCGTTCTCATTGCGTTCTACTCAACGAGACTGACTGTCCCAGGATGCGAACAGTCGCGTCATTCGGTACGCGCGAGGAAAGACACTCGGCGGCTCTTCTGCTCGTAACTTCATGGTTTACCATCGGTAAGCTCTTGCTCAGTACTACATAGCGTGGATGGTCAATGCTAACCAGGGATAGAGGCACAAGAGGCACGTATGACCAGTGGGCTGAGCTTACAGGAGACTCCTCGTGGAGCTGGGAGTCAGTGCTACCGTACTTCAAGAGAGGCTGCACTCTCACACCACCGAACGAGGCTACACGATTCCCTAATACAACCGTGACATACAATGACGCAGCCTGTGACCCAGCAGGCGGGCCTCTCCACGTCACCTGGCCCAACTACGGCGACCCATTTGCAACCTGGGCAGCGATCGGGCTTGAAGCGATCGGTATGTCGCCGGCCAACGACTTCAACAGTGGCGAGCTGAATGGCACGGCATGGGCATCCAATACAATCCACCCGCGCAGGCAAATCCGCGAGTCCTCGGAGACCAGCTACCTGCGCAGTGCTTTGAAGACCAGCACCCTTGCGGTCTATGACCATACCATGGCGCTGAGGATAGACTTTGAAGGCTTGAATGCTGTCGGCGTCCAGGTAAAAACTGCTGGGAAGCGATATACCCTCCGAGCACGCAAGGAGGTCATCATATCTGCCGGAGCGTTCCAGTCGCCGCAGCTTCTCATGGTGTCGGGCATCGGGCCCAGAAGTACCCTTGAACCTCTCGGCATCACCGTGATAGCGGACTCTCCGGGCGTTGGGCAGGGAATGTGGGATCATCCCATCTTCAATGTGGCATACCAGGTCAATGTCGAGACCATGACCCGCTACCAGACGGATCCTGAGTACGCAGCCCAGGTGATGCTAGAGTACGAATCAAGAAGAGAGGGCCCGCTCACCACCCCTGTTCCTGGTATCCTAGGATGGGAAAGGCTCTCTGAAAGCCTCCTTTCTGCCGAAGCGATAGAAGCTCTTGCAGTCTTCCCCGATGACTGGCCCATGGTGGAATACATCAGCCGGGGAACCGGCCTCCTCGACCCCAGCGATGGCAGCAACGGGGAACAGTATGCAGGCATCGGCACCGCATTAGTGGCTCCCCTCTCGCGTGGTAGTATTTCAATCAACAGCAGCAGCGCCGAGCACCCGCCTCTCATTGACCTGGGCTACCTCACCCACCCGGTAGACAGAGAGGTCGCTATTGCCGCGCTCAAACGGACCCGGCAAGCATTCGAAGCATCGGGTGTGACAGTTGGTGACGAGTATCAACCCGGCCCAGCGGTTCAGACGGACGAGGAGATTTTGGAGTACATCCGTGCTACAATTAGCCCCGTATACCACCCAGCGGGCACATGTGTCATGGGGAAGGCGACTGATCGTAATGCGGTGGTGGACAGTCAAGCCCGCGTCATTGGAGTCAATAATCTGCGAGTAGTCGATGCAAGCATCTTTCCTGCTCTGCCGCCGGGACATCCGCAGGCCAGCTGTTATATGGTTGCTGAGAAGATCGCGGATGATATTCTCCATGGGCCTTCTCAATAACAAACGTCACTTCGAAGGCGGACATCTGCACAGAGCTTCGATAGATTATCTCGCCTTTGACTAGGTATCCGGGATCAGGAATGATGAACTTGATGATGAATAAAGCTACAGCTCTAACCTAGCTTTCATTTCGAACATGCGAGGCTGCTGTGATGGCCTCGTGGGGGTAACCCAGTCACAAAGGAGGGCTAAGCGCCGGCCCCTACTACTTTTACACCACGGGCAGAGCGCCAATAAAATCCAATGTTCATATCTAAGATAGCGCAGGGGCTCTCGGTGCTAAATGGATGTTTTTGATTCGCGACAAGTGGCGTAAACACCATGACCCCTGCAGGTAGTGTTTCAGGCACAATCCTCCCCAAAAGTACGTCGTGAATCCTGGCAGTTAGCGACTGGGATAAGAATCACTTCACTCCATAACAGACATTACCAATGTAACTTGCAAGGTCAACATGAACTCGTCGGACCCAGAGTTAGTCGGATGGGTGTCGGAACCCAATGGACGAGGCACGTTAGGCCTTCTGACGACTTGTCTCACCACCATTGTTCTCTGCACCTGGGTTGTGATCCATCCGCGTGTATATCAAAGTGAATCTTTCGCGACATGTCACAAGCTCGCTCTCCTTGCGAAAACACTGCTTGCGCCCGAATTCATCGCCGTTGAGGGTCTCCAGGAATGGGCTCAGTGCCGGCGGATGGTCGAGGAGTGTTCGAAATATACAAACGGGGAGTTCAAGCTGCTTCATGCGTACTATATCAGCATGCTTGCTCTACGATATAGAACACCCGAGGGCAATAGGGTTGTTTGGCCCAACCAGTTTACTTGGCTGTTGGAACAGGGCGCCATTGACTGGAGAAGAGACTATGCAAGCTGGGGCCTCACGGAGAAACAGATCCGCGACAAAAACAAGAGCGACAGTATCACGAAGCTCATCACCTTGTTCCAAGTGCTGTGGTTCGTGGCGACGTGTATCATGCGTGCCGCGAATGCCCTCCCGCTCTCGCAGCTTGAGAGCATGACGCTGAGCTACATTCCACTCTTTGCCATCACTTACTTCTTCTGGTGGGAGAAGCCAAAGGACGTATTCGCGCCCACGGTTGTTGATCTTCCCCCGATGGACCTCGAGCAATTGATAAAGTTCGAGTCCATGGCCTTGAGCGACAAGTTCGATTATGTCAACGCCCAGAAGACGTATTGGAGCATATGGGATCTCACGCCCCGAGTCTTGGAGAAGGAAGAAGAGGAACGAGAATCAAGGAAAGCCACCCAGCAGACGCGGCCAGGGAACAGCCAGCAAGAGACGCCGAAATCACCGACATTCGGCGAAGCAGAGATACGAGGTGAAGAGGGCGAGATCAAAGCTCGCAAGGACATCGTGGTGGCACACTGGGACCCGTATCTGTACAATTCAAAGACCATTCGAGCCCTCTGCTCTCTGTTCGGGGCATCGTTTGGCGCCCTCCATCTGGCATGCTGGAACACGGCTTTCCCAACGGTCGCAGAGAAATGGATGTGGAGGTCCTCGGCATTTGTCTCCATCTTCTCGCTTCTCGCCTTCATGCATTTTGAGAAGGTCGTGCTCTGCTGGAACGGAGTCATTACCATTGTCCAGATTGGATCGCCAGCGCTGTACTTTGCCAGCCGTCTACTGATGATGGGGGAGGTCTTTGTCGCTCTGAGAGCAGTAGAAAAGCGTGTGTATGAGACTTATGATGTTGCAGACTATGGGATAACTCTTTGATGGCATTCTATGACATGTATCTGGACAGATGAACATAGCTCTATGGTTCAATAGTAAATGAAGGGTCCGCGGCCTCGAAGTGGCGCATCACGGCCATGGTGACAACAGGATAGCCCATCACCACATCATGTAGCCCACTCTTGAGGATCTCCTCTCGGATCACTCCGTAGTCGGTCCGCCATTCCATGATTGTCCCTGCAGCACCGAGGTTAACCTGAGACTCCGCCTTCTTGTACTCGAGGTCCTCGTAGGTGATGCCGACCGGGATCGAGCCGTTGACGGCATGCCAAAACAGAAGCTCCGAGTGGTGCGATGGGATGTCCCAGTCGTCCTCAGCGTGGATGATAGTGAGGCGGTATTTCTCCTCATTGACCTCGTTCATGCGGACCATTTGGGTGATGCGTTCGTTGGTCAGCCATTGATCGCGGATGAACCGGAGAAGATAGCCGAACAGAGCAGGGAATCGGCGGAGAGGCGAGAGTATAGGAAGAGTCCCTGCCACGCGATAGGTCGAGACCAAAGTCGGAACATTGACAAACGGCGCGACAAGGACCGTGCCTGCGAAGACAGTCGGAGGGGACTGCGATGCAAAGTGATGGGAGACCGCGACCGCTGCAGCGGTGCCCATGGACTGCCCGAAGATCACGATTCGAGACGCAGGAATGCCAACAACATCCATGGCCCATTCTGTCACGGCAAGTGCATCTTCAATCAAGCCAACTTCCGATGGCTTGCCCTTGCTTCGTCCGAATCCGCGGTAATCGAAGGTCAGGACGTGGATCCTGCCCGGGTGGCCTGCAGACAGGGCCCGGTAGTTGGGCACTCGGTGCCCCGACGCGACCGTACCCCCAGCCCCATGCATATGGATCACCAAGCGAGTCTCTGGATCGTCGCGCAAGAGCTTGAAGGCCAGGCGGGAGGTGATGTCTGGCACAAATCCCGTCTGCTCTGCGGCGAGGGCCAGCTCATGCTTGCGATACAACTCGATCGGCAAGACATGCCAGGCGTACAAATGTTGGTCGTCGGCAGCCTTGATGACGAATGGAGTCACTTGATTCTTGAGAAAGCCAAAGGTTTCTGGTACATCGAGGTCTCTGAACCAGGTCATTTGGATGGCGTGCAGGTAGACGACATGCGATTGGAAGGTGGCAGTGGTGAGAAGCCCCAGCAGGACTGCGTACAGTCCAGCTGCAGCAGCCAGAGAGGTGAAGCCATATTTTAAGACAGTACCAACGAAGTCATTGAGGCTCATCTTGAAAGGGGTGTCTGTGAGTCGAGAGTTGTAGAAGGAGAAATTGGAGAGGCTGGGCGAAGCTGCACTTGCACCTCGGCGCTTACGGTCGCGGGGCAGCTTCACTCCAACATTGCCCTCGCTGCTATAGAAGAGTTAGCTGGATGAAACCATCATAGAGTAATCAACGCTGGATGGAAAATATTCCCAAACCTGCTTCTAGAGCTTTCTGAAGGCCGGTGCTTGTACCAGTCCTAACTGAGAGGCTGAGGGTCTGAGTATGTGCTGTCCGCCGATTATATATATCAGTATGTTCCATAAACCTCACATCCCGGGACCCCTCACCAGGAACAAAATAAGAAAATGGGATAGATTGCAGTGGCCTGGGTAGGCTTATAGGGTTCCCAGCGAACCCTACATCAGCCCTAGGACTGTCAACGAGTCTATATCATTGATCTGCCCTGTCCTCGTAGTAAACCCATTCCATAACAAGTGGCTGCTATGACGCAGTCAGTCAATGATCAGTCAACACTTCCTTCTCCTGCAGCCCGTTTGATCTTCTCTTCACCTCTCTACCATTGCACTGCTTCGTCATGGCGACCCCGAGCACTGTTTCTCTCATCACCCCAACTGGTCTTTCCTACCAGCAGCCGACAGGACTGTACGTTGGCTGAATACGCATTCCATAAATGTTGGCTAAATGAATAGGTTCATCAATAATCAGTTTGTTGGCGGGCTCAACGGGCGCACTATTGACGTGGTACGTGCTACGATATCGGTCAATAGAAGTTGCAACTGACAACCGACAGATAAACCCAGCGTACGCCTACTAATGATCGAGATTGCTGCTGTACTGACTGCTCGTAGAACAGAAGAGAAAATCTGCAGCGTCAGCGAGGCACGCGAGAACGATGTGGACAGGGCCGTCGCAGCCGCTCGCAAGGCTCTAAACGGGCCCTGGAAACTGGCCACTCCTACTGAACGATCGCAGTATCTCTACAAGCTGGTCACCCTGATGGAGGAGTCTCTGGAGAAGCTGGCGGCGGTTGAATCGATGGACAATGGGAAGCCGATCAACAGCGCCCGGGGCGACATTGGGGAGGCGATCGGGTGTCTCCGGTACTATGCTGGCTGGGCGGACAAGATTGAAGGGCGAGTTATCGACACCAGTCCTCAGCATTTCAACTATACCAGACGCGAACCGGTGAGAATGACCTCGACCGGTCCCCAGAGGGATGCTAACTTGTCACTGCAGATTGGCGTCTGCGGGCAGATCATCCCATGGAATTTCGTGAGCTCCCTCCTAGTCAACGTGTCCCTCAATGCTAACAAGTTCGCTGCAGCCCCTGATGATGTGGGCTTGGAAAATCGGACCGGCCATTGCGTGTGGAAACACGGTGGTGATCAAGACCGCAGAGATGACCCCCCTGTCTGCCCTGGTTGCAGCTGAGCTCATCATGCAGGCAGGCTTCCCTCCTGGGGTCATCAACATCATTACTGGCTATGGCGACATTGCAGGGTCTGCACTCTCGCGTCATATGGACGTGGACAAAGTCGCCTTTACAGGATCTACAGCCGTCGGTCGCAAGATTCTCAAGGACGCAGCCAACTCCAACCTGAAGAAGGTGACTTTGGAGCTGGGAGGAAAGTCGCCGAACATTGTCTTCAATGACGCAAACCTCGACCAGGCTGTTCGCTGGATCCACAACGGAGTCTTCTCGAATATGGGGCAAAACTGCTGCGCAGGCAGTCGGATCTACGTGCAGTCGGGCATCTACGATGTCTTCGTGCAGAAGCTCAAGGAACACGTCCAGCAACTTGTTATTGGGCCTCCTGAGGACGAAAAGACCACTCACGGAGCGCAGGTCTCCAAGACTCAGCTGGAACGTATTCTTGGGTATGCCGCAGTTCAACTTGGTTCAGATTGATTGCTAATGCCTGCAGGTATGTGGAATCTGGCAAGAAGGCCGGCGCCAGAGTGGAGACTGGAGGAAAGCGCGTCGATCGACCAGGCTGCTTTATGGAGCCCACCATCTTCTCCGGCGTCTCGAGCGACATGGAGATCGTGCGCGAAGAGATCTTCGGCCCTGTTGGTGTCATCGCCAAGTTTGAGACGGTTGACGAGATCGTCGAGGCCTCCAACGACACCACGTACGGATTGGCCTCGGGGATACACACCGAGAACCTCAAGACGGCAATCGAGATGGCCAACAAGATCAAGGCCGGCACGGTGTGGGTGAATCAGTACAACGGGGTGCACTGGCAGCTGCCCTTTGGCGGATTCAAGCAGTCGGGCATTGGGCGAGAGCTGGGCGAGGAGGCGCTGTTCAACTACACGCAGACCAAGACCGTCTCGGTGAATCTGGGAATCCCCGTCGTGTAGTGGAGAGGCGGACCTTCGATCTGGATCTAGTCTGATCATCTGTATTTCCTGCAGTAAACAATCAACGTAAGCGGGGGTGACCAGCATATATATCGCAAGCTCCCTGACGAATCATGCAATCCAGACTCAACCATGAAGCCAACAAGAGTGCAATTCGTGACTGGCATCTCCGGATACTTTGTCAAGGACCTCGAGGCCGTCCGCCAGAGTGCGAGTTACGACCCCCTGGTCGACAACATCCAACCCCTCACGCCAGGATTTCAGCAGGTCGTCCAGCCCGGCCAGGTGATCTCCATCCTGCTGCATCTCCCCAATGGCCAGATGGCCGTGGGGGACTGTGTCGACGTCATCTTCTCCGGGGCAGCGAATCGCGACGCCCTGTTTGTCGCCAGCGAGCATCTGCCGGTGCTGCAGTCTGTGGTCCAGCCCTGGCTACTGAGCTGCGACATGACACGCTTCCGACCGAACTCTGTGCGCATTGATTCGCCATGGCCAGAGCTGGGCAATGTCTGCCTGCATTCCGCCATCCGGTATGGACTGTCGCAGGCGCTGCTTGCTGCCAGTGCATCTCTGCACGGTTGTGTGCCCGCTGAGATCATCGTGCAGGAATGGGGCATCGCGGTGGCTGGCCAACCAGTCGACATCCTGGCTTCCTGCCACCGCAACGACTTCCTCCAATTGGACCGCATGATCATGAAGCAGGTCGCAATCTTGCCCCACGCTTCCTTTCTCCACATCGATGACCTTGGGCCGGGCGGGAAGACCCTGTTGGAGTTCGTCGAGAAGGTGGCTCGTCGTGTCCAGGAACGGGGCCCCTCGGGGTACCATCCAAGGCTACACTTTGATGTCTACGGCACTCTTGGGGATCTGTTCCAAGATCAAGATCAATTGGTCGCCTTTCTCGGCCAAGTGCAGCGCGCAGCTCAGCCATATGACGTTCTCATCGAGTCGCCAATCATTGCCCCCACCAAGGCTGCGCAGATCGAGCGCTTGAGAGATCTGCGACTCCGATTGCGCGCACTGGCCATCCCCGTGCAGATTGTGGCCGACGAATGGTGCAATACCCTGCAAGACACCAAGGACTTTGCAGAAGCGGAGGCCGTCGACTTTGTCCAGATCAAGATGTCCGACCTGGGGGCGATCCACAACAGCATCGACGCTGTGCTCTACTGCCGCGAGCGAGGGGTGGGGTGTTGCCTTGGAGGATCCGCGAACGAAACAGACATCTCTGCACGCATGACGGCACATGTGGCACTGGCAACGCAGCCGGATTTCATGCTGTCGAAACCGGGCATTGGAGCAGACGAGGGGGTGATGATCCTTACAAACGAGATGCTGCGGACCTTGGCTGTAGTACATTCTCCTTGTCACAACTAGGACTAGCTAAAATTAATCATGGAAATGCTTGACAGAAAATCCTGCTAGCGAAGTGCCCGCATTGAGATCCGTGGGCGATCTGGACCAGTTCTTGCGAACGCGCGCCCTGGTCCACTCGATGGCAGGCACATCGATCTCGTTGTTGTTCCCTTCCTTGTAGATGCCCAATCGACGCAAGAGGGGGCTGTCCACCGTCTTCAGCATCAGTCGGTCACTGGGACGGACAAAGTAGAGCAGCCCCAGTCGGTCATTGCATGCCTGGTCGGCCGGGGGCACCACGACTCGATGGATGCCACTTTTCAGATATCCATTGGACACGATCGAGAGCATGTCGGCGATGTTGACGGCAATCTTACCTGGAGGGATGCGCAGCCATTCCCACTCGGCGTCCTCCGACTTCCTGACCTGCAGTGCGGCCACCGGCTGCTGGAAGACAAAGGTGATGGTGCCATTGTCCGTGTGGCCTCGCGAGTACAAGTCCTTGTACCTGTTGTTCTCCTCTTCGGAGCGCGCCCGGTACATCATGTACCGCAGCCCACTGTCGCAGTTGGCCTCGTAGCGGTGGCCGTTTTCCAGCTCATCCTCGGGGATCTCTAAGACGAGAGCCAGTAACCGGAAGAGCCGGTAGGCAATGTGCTCATGGACGTGCCGGTGAAACTTTTCGATCTCTGCCCAGTGCTGCCGGTAGATATTGGGATGCTCGCGGTCATACTGGGGGAGGAATTTCATCACGTTGTAGAATTCGATGTTGTCGCGCAGTCCGGGGAGGATCTCGATCGACCCCAGGGGACGATAGCCATTGTAGATGCCTTCTTCGAGTGGCGCTCGATACTTGATCCGTTCCTGCTCTGGAAGGGCAAAGAACTCGCGGCCGATCGCGAATTGCCGGTCGATCTCGTCCTGCGTGAGACCGAAATTCTCGACGTAGAAGAAACCTGCAATGAGTTGAGCTCGACGGGCCAGAAGGCAGGGAAGTGTACCATACCGATCTCATGCGCGGCATCCTTCAGCTGCGCGACCAGTTTCTCCTTACCTCCTGGGCGATCGAATTCAGAGAGGTCAATGGTGGTCAGTTCTGCATACTGGACTATTCGCCGTGAGTTTTATGCTATCGCGTGCTGGAATCATAGGTTACTTACGCTTCTCCGTTGTCTCCGGAGGGTGAGTATACTTGTCGAGATGCGCTTGGCCAGTCATGATGTCTACAGTCTGTGTGGAGTTTGGATAGGGAACAGAAAAAAAGATGCCAGACGGCTTTTAAAGAGTAAGCGGGGTTATACTCGGGTCATGCAGCTTGTTCCCATGATGTCAATGGGCCTTCGGAGTACCCAGACCTCGTCAGCACCAACAGTGGAACCCTTGGTCATAGCCATGCTCGCTTATAGGCATACCTAAGTCCCCATGCAAAACAAACTAGGCAGTAAACTCCGTATCTCTCACGGATGCCCAGACTCCGGCCTGGCATAGGGTTAGGGTTTGGCAAAGGTCTCCTTACTTTCATGCGTGACAGGGACCGTCACCACCCCCGTCTCCTCGTCTCTACCGGCACTGGAAACATCCTTCTCTGTTCCAACGGGGATGTGCTCCTTCATGGCCAACCAAGTCGGGTACACAGCGAGACCTTGTGAACGTTAGTATCCCACAATGGGCATTCGCGAACAAACATACCAAGCAGGATTGTATTAACCGCCAAGGGCACCCTTCCACCTGTCCAATTTCTCGTATTCAGGCCAAAACTGATCGCCTGCGCAAAACTCTCCTGCCCGCGCAGGATGCCGGAGAACCGACTCAGCTCCGAGATGTTGTCTGTCTTCGTCGCCAGGAAGTAGTACAGCCAGTTCTGCAGCGCCTGTCGCGCAAAGTCCCAGAGCAACAGCACGAAGAAGCCTTCGACGAACCCGGCATCCACCCAGTCCCACGCCGGCGGGTTTGCCGTGTACTTCTCCTGGATCACCCATCCATATATCCACGCAATGACGTGCCACACGACGACCCAGTAGAAGCCGAACTGGATGCGCCGCTCCACGGGGAGACCCTTGTAGTCGAGGAGGGTACTGATGAGCTGGGAGGAGAGCAGGGTTCCAAAGTTGCTGACGAAGCCGATGAGCGCTCGGGCGCGCACGCCAAAGTAGTATGTCTGGAAGTTGCCCGAGTACTGGTTGAAGTAGGCGGCCCAGAAGATCGGCAACAGGAGGAGGATATCGCGCCGCATGCTCGCCTTGTACAGGGCACGAAACTCGGCGGCAAAGCTGCCCTCGGCCCGCACAATCACCTTGGTCCCGTCGCTGCGCTGGACCTTTTCGGGCGGCGAGAGGAGGAGGGCCACGGGCGCGGCGACGCACTGCAGCGCCACGAAGATGAGATAGGTCTGCGCGTCGACCGACCCTTTCTTCACGGCCGAGGCGTCGTTATTCAATGCCAGCACGATTGCCCCGCCGACGAGCGGACCGCCCGTTCGAAACCACAGCCAAATGTTCATGTACCGACCGCGTTTCCCAGGCTCGGGGTAGCCCAGCGCGACAGCACCTTCACTCGCCCAGAAGAGCCCCGCGGAGACACCGCAGAAGACGGCGCCGACAAGGACCAGCCATTCATTCCCGTACCGGTTGTTGGTGTACAGTCCGGCGGAGTACACGGGGTAGCCAACCGCGCCGAGGAACAGCGTCCAGGCAAGACCAATGCGGTTGGCAAGGGGGCCGCCAAACAGGCACAAGAAGCCCATGAGCCCAAAGACAAGGGCGTTGGCTGCGTTGACAAGATAGGGCTCCTGGGCACCGCCGGCGCCGAGAGAAGACATGGCGTTCCAGAGGCCTGGAGCGAGGAACCCCACGGCGCCGATGACAAAGGCGTTGAACAGGGTTGAACGGTACCATTTTCGCTTCTCGGGGTGGGCATCGGGTCGGGCCTCCGTGGTGGAAATGGCGGATGGTTTGCCCATTCTGAAGATGTTGCGAGGAATAACAATGAAAAGATGGCACCCCGGCCGTCTCTTATAGCTTTTTCTCGCAATCACGCCAGAGCAGTTTGCCCCGCCCGGATGCTCCTAGTGTCTCTCTAGACTCTCTAGATCATCGTGGTGGGCGATTGCGTGCTCGGCCAAGCGAAAGTTGGAGTATTACTATCACGGAATGACTACGATGATATTGCAACCATGTGAGATGGATCATAGCATTGTTATCTATAGCAATTGTCTATCGTGGACTTGGTAAGCTCGTCAATCTTGATGCAAGTAAGGAAATTAGGTACGTGAAAACAAAAGCCAACAGAGTATAAATACAGAACTGACGGAGCTGGCAGAGTCAAGCCAGAGAGCAGCATCCACCCAGGTTACTGGCCCTTCATCCCCACAACCTCGCCAGCCCTCCTGAGCCTCTTCCCAACCGACCCCCAGCTCCAACCCTTCGGCACTCTCCCAAGCCAATACAGTCCCAGGGCTGCGCCCACATTAAACACGATATAAACCCACATGAGCCCAAAGTTCCTCCACCGATCGCCATAGTCCGATGACGACGACGCCAGAAACACGTCCGAGGAGGTCATCGAGCAGAACTGACAGTCTGTCGTCGCGTCGGGGTTATACAGGGCTCCTCCCGCCGTCTGCATATATGCAGACAGGTACTCGCTGCAGGTCTTCCCACTTGGCGGCTGCACCAGCGTGACTTCAACATCTGTGCATGTTACGGGCGTTTGTCCGAGACCGGCCGAGAGCATGCCGCTGATCAGGTAGGTCAGGGGCGAGACGCGGTACATGAAGATCCAGAAGCCGGGCATGGATGCGGGGGTTGCCATCACTCTGGTACGTTGATGTTAGCAAGGGAGAGAACAGTGGGCAGAGACAACATACCCACAGAAAATCAGGCTCATGGTGTACAAGATGAGCGCGATGATGGCACCGACTTCTGCGGTGGATGCACTGGCAACAACCATGATGGTAAACGTGGCGCAATGCACCATGAATGTCCAGATCAGCAGAACCATCAGCCAGCTCCGTTCGGTTCGGGTGTGTGTGACATCCGCGTTCTTGTCCATTCCAATTATATAGTAAAAGGGGAGGTAGATGATCACCGTGGCCAAACTGTTCCAGGGGATCTCGACAATGATGTTGGCCAGCATGAACGCCAGCCAGGAGTAGATCTTGGAGGGAGACTCGCGGGCTTCGTACAGCGTTCGTTGGAGGATATAGTTGGGCATGGTTTGGTAGGCGAGAAAGGCAAAGATGACGAAGAGCATGAAGATGGCGAACATTTGATGCTGGAGGCCCATGACGGAGATCTCCGTCTGCAAGAAGGAGAGACCGATGAATAAGGCCTGCAATGGATGAGCATCTGGAGACTTTGTTACTTTCAACAGACTTACCGTGCCAAAACACAGAATCAGCTTGCTCCATAAATAGGAAGGGGTTCGCCAGTACTGCTGGAATACTCGCGTGGTACAGAGCATCAGTTGCGTGCCAAAGGGCGCTGCGTACTGTTGCTGACTGGAGGGCTTTGCCTCACTCCGAGGGTTGCTTTTGAGCCTCTGCAACTCCTGACGCAGCTGGGCGTATTCAGGGCTGGCCTTCCATGTCTCCGGCCAGTCACGGACAGCTACACTTCCAGGTGCAGCCCCAATGACGTGCAACATCCACTCGGCAGGATTGGAATCCGCCGCACAGGGCTCTCCGCCATGGCGCTCAAAGTAGTCAATCAGCGTCCTGGAGTTCTGTCCGATGTCGCCGAAGTAGACGGTATTACCCCCCTTGGCCAGAAGAAGCAGGCGATCAAACTATTGGAATAGCATGGCCGAGGGCTGGTAAATTGTGCAGAGAATGGCTTGTCCGTGATCTGCAAGCTTTCTTAGCAATAGCAAAATAGACCATGCTGTCTGGCTGTCCAATCCAGAGGTTGGCTCGTCGAGGAATATAAGCAGATCAGGCTTTGCAGCGAGCTCCACGCCAATAGTCAGCCTTTTTCTTTGCTCGACATTGAGACCTTCACCAGGCAGGCCAACCACTGCATCAGCGTAGGCGTTCATCTCCAGCACGCCAATAATCTCTTCCACATAGTGCAGCTTCTCTGCCTTTGGCACATGGGCTGGCTGTCTCAAGCAGGCGCTGAAGACCAGAGCCTCCCTGACAGTGGTGGTTTCGAGGTGAATGTCCTGCTGCTGAACATAGCCAACCTGACGCTGGAAGGATGCATCTCGGGGACGGCCATTGACGCAGACGTCGCCTGTCACCACCCCGGCGTTTACCCTGTTGGCCAGTACGTCCAACAACGTTGTTTTACCTGCGCCGGATGCTCCCTGGGAATGTTAACGTTTGATGCAACAGGCCACGAGAGAGAGCAACAAACCATCAACGCAGTGAGAACCCCCGGCTGCACCATCCCAGACACCCGGTTCAATATCCTTCTGGGCTCTCCCTTGATCGACACCTCGTAGCAGAGATCTTCCCAGTGCAGAACGCTATGTTGCTCTTGAATAACCACAGCCTTCTCTTCATCCGCCTTCTCTGCCCGCCCGTCCAACGCCGTTGGCTCTCTCGCAGTCTCCTCATCTCGATGGACCTTTTGATCTAACTTGCGTTTCTGAGCTCGGTGGAAGAGAAGCACCTCGCCCTGTGACACGTCGCCGGGGATATACTCGGCGCAGAGCACGTAAGCCATAGTGAAACACACAATATATGCGATCAGAATTCCGAAGTTCCTGGTATACGATGTCAGTGCCAGTGCTGGCTGAAGCAGTATAGATATCTCTCCGCTGGGAAAGACGTACCTCCACACATGAGAATAGTAATATTCATAGCTCGCGGCAACATAGGCGTCACCACCGACAATGCTGCTCCCCGCGACAGCCCCCGCGATGGAACAGGTGCGACTCTGCGCGTCAACTCCCTCATACCCCGGTCCGCTGGGCACGAAGCTTGTGCAGGAAAACTGGCGCCCGCGCATCTCGTTCGCAACCAGACTCTCGTACGCATATGCAAGCGGGTCAATATAGTTGACCCAGCGCAGCCACCCTTGCATATTCCGTATCGGCAACACAAACCCTGCATACACGACCAGCCCGATCACAAACAGCGAAGTGGGAGTGAGAGCCTGCGCTATGCTGCGTGTCGACTGTCCGATGGTGCGGAAAATAGAGGACATTGTGAGGGTGGAGGAAAAGGCAAACAGGAGGTAGATGAAAAAGGCACCCGCACTTTGACGCAGATTGGCCATGAAGTAGAGCGGGATGTTGAGGGCGAGGGTGCTGAGGATTTTAGTGGGCAGGTCGCAGATGATGGAGGACAGGGCCTCAGACAGCGGGTGGATGAAGGCGTATGTTGCCTGCTTGTCGACGATGGGGCGTTGTGCATAGAGCGAGAGAATCTAGGACGAAGAGTCAGCCTTGGTCGGTGGATGGAATACAGCATCATACCTCGAGCGAGCTGTTCAGGGCGTTGAATAACAGGGCGAAGAAGAGGAGGATGCATCGGCTGTTGAGACTTTGGGTGTCGTCTGGCAAGTCATAAAAGACGCTTTCGAGGATCAGAGATATCAGAAAGCACCCGAAGATGGTCACGATGGGAAACGTCTTGTCGCCTTGGATCCGCTGGACGCCTCGCTGGGCGCAGAGGGCGACCTGCCGCGGGATGGAGATCGTGTATGGAGAGCTCGGGGTCCTGCCCAGTCAGTGGATGCAGCTGAGATGGAGATAAGGGTGAGGAATACATCAGGGAAGACTTCTCCACCGTTCTCGCATGGCGAAACTGGTCTGCCGATGGGCCTCCGACCGGAAACTCCTGTTCAAACAATGCGATCTGCTGCAGAAGGTCCTTGCGAAGCTGGCTTGCCTGCCAACAAGTCGCGAATTCGTCTGCAGTTCGAGGAACACGATCTTCATAGCCCGGCCGGACCCTTCGTTCCTCGGGGCTGGTGAGCGAGGTGAGGAAGTCCGGCACCGTCTGTCGCTCTAGACAGGAAAAGCCTATCTGGATGAAGTAGTCTTTTGCCCGCTCCACCGGCCCGTAGTATATCTGGCGGCCCTCGTAGAGAACGGTGACCTTGTCGAATAGCTGTCGACCTTGTTAGCCGGCCTCTTGTCTTAAGGGTCTTGAGGGAGGGCCGCAAACATCATAAGCTTCCTGGGGCGCCTGGTACAGCGAGACAACGGCTGTTGCCTCCAGCACGTCCGCCGAGATGCGAATTGCCCGCACGAACTCCACGGCTGTTGCGCTGTCAAGGCCTCGTGTACTGTTGTCACAGCATTGGAGCGGGCTCCGCGCGAGAGCCACCTCTGCAATACTGACCCGCTTGCGCTCCCCACCACTCACGCCGCGGACATAGTCACTGCCAACCTTGGTGTTCACCGTGTGGGAGATGCCGAAGACGGCCATGATCACATCGCGGAGATGCGCCGCGTAGTCCCTGCGCGATACATTGGCCAGTCGGTTCTGTGGCGTCCCGGCCAATGCTGCAAACATGAGCGTCTGCCCGACAGTCAAATGCGGGAAATGCACCTCGGTCTCAGCCTGGTAGATGGCGTCGCCGCGGAACTCCCGGTGCATGGCTTTCCGGGGGATTCCTGATCCGTGTGAGAATCCGAATGCTGGCGGGTAGGGTTGACTTCACCTTGATAGTTCATGTTCAATCCCTCGTCGAGGTGCAGCCCTCGCGTCTGGCCGGCAATCGTCTTCAGCAATGTCGACACACCACTGCGAGGGCATCAGTGAGGGATAAGGTAGCACTTAATAGGTTAGTTTAATAATTTTAATTTAATATTATTTATTATTTAGGCTAATTATATAGGCTATAAAACACTGCTACAAGATTAAAATAAATATAAATATAGGTAAAAATACTAATTTAATATTAATATTAATACTAATATTTAATATTAATAAAAATTTAAAATATTAAGGGCCCATGTGCTGCCGTCCAAGTTAATCCTAGCTTATTAAAGTAATATTAAGTTAAAAACTATTAATATAATTACTAAAAAAACCCTGTGTTATTAATA